TAACTTTAACAGTATAAAGAACTCAATTTTATAGATTAAAACAGGTTAAGATGATGACACATGGCCAATACTTAATGAATATTTGAAGAATATAATCAAGCTAAGGATCCATTAAAGCAGACTTCAAGTCAAATATAGACACTTTGATATATGCTGTTGTTACAATGAGATCAGATAGACATAAACTGTGATGAATCTTTTTGGACACACCCATAATCCTAAGATCAACATACACTCTTGTGATCAAACAGTGGGTACATGTCTGTCCTAGGAAACAGTAAACAAAACAAAGGGAAATTAAAGGAGATTCTAAAGTGGTGATATATATATTATATATGTTGGCAGGCATATATATATGTTGCAGTCACAAGGCACATATATAGTTATTTGAAACCCAGAAGACAACATTGTATAGTACATGAAATCCATATACATGTGCTAAAAGATTCTGTAGGTGTGTTAAACAGGAAGCAGCTCAGAAGTATGGCCTTTATGAAGCAATACAGTGAGCATGAAATCAAGTACATGTCAGCTTGACAACTGGCTTTCCAGCTGAGCTGGATGGCTTTGGAATTCACAGATCGAGGGCTGTTAATTAATTTAGTGCTCTAATTACACACCTTATGGAGATTAGTTTATGCTTTTGTCAGTTAAAACCTCATTTCTTTATTCACTATATCTGAGATAAACTTGTTTATTGACTTAACTGGAATCTATAACACAGATGAGATGATAGTATTAATAATCAATTTCTTTTTGGCAGGGCTAGTAGATAGTAGTACTGCACTGCTCCTCATCTTTTTCTTGGAAGTGACACAATAAGTAGCTTACATATTTTATGACTTAAATTTCAACATCAATATTAATTATTTTCTCCACTTACTTTGACAATTTCTTCATTCTGTGTAAATCATAATTAAAGAGTCTTTAAAGCATGGACCTTTCATCATACAATTCATCTTGCTAGGGTTAGTTAGTACATAAATTTAGAAGGGAAGTATTGAATATCATATCCAAAGTGATGGGCTTTTACTGTCACTTAAGAAAGTGATAAAAAGATGTGATTTTGAACTCTCTATATAGATATATATATATGTATAGGCCTGTGTTCCAGCTAGCTAGCGTGTACTATAGAGGTAGAAAGAGACATGCACCAAGAAGATCTTTTATGCTACCAAATGAGATCAGGTGGTTGAGATCTGATTATTATGATTATGTGTATAGAGAGATAGAGAGAGAAGAGAGGAGAGAGGAGAGCCCTAAGAAAACAAGCATGTATTATGTATAACTGCATATATGGTAATATATATATATATAAATATTAAGTGTATGATGTGGAGATAGAGATAAAACCCACAGAAAAGATGGCATCTTTAAATCCAGAACATACATCCTAGCTACTCCTAGCTGATGAATGATGATAAATTGCAGAAATTATTAGAGTAGAAAAGAAAAGAAAAGAAAAGATGAGAGCTACCTTGAGCTAGCAAACTCATAGAGCTTGCCCCTGGGAGAGAAGATGATAAGTGCAACCTCAGCATCACACAGCACAGACAGCTCAAAGGCCTTCTTCAGCAGACCATTTCTCCTCTTGGAGAAAGTCACCTGCCTGCTTGTGGCGTTTTCTATACGCCGCATCTGTGTCTTCCCCCTCACCATCTCAATCGCCTCCCCTCCTTGGATAGATCTCAACACAAAATTCTCCAAAACATCAGTACAAACACACAACCCACACCTCTCAACAACATAAACAACTGATAAAGCACCAACCTTTTTTGAAATTATGTATGCAGCAGCTTCCAAGAACTCAGCCCCAAATTGCAGAAATAAAGATCAGAGAAGCCTTCTGGTTGGAAGCCAAAAAAAGAATAGCAAAACCAAAGTGCCCAGAAAAGGGAATAGCACAAATCTGGCCTGTTGTGAGAGGAAAATTCCTAGCAAATCAAGAAAAGAAGGAAACAGCAGCAACTAGCTAGGTGTATATATATAGCTAGGGAGCAAGTTTTGGCTGATTCTCTAGGTGCCTTTTGTGGTAATTAATACAATACTATCACCAGAAAAGAAAGAGGGTATCAGCTCTCAGCCAGTCACCTCCAAAGCAGCAATGAAATTCCTATATATTTTCTCCATCATAGCCTAGCTTAGACCACATCAAAAGACAAAAACCCTTTCTTTAGAAAGAAATCAAAGAAAAAAAATACAGTGTAATTACTTATATAGGAGTGATAGTTGAGTGGAGAACCTAATCAGTTGCTTGTTTTGGTAAAAACCCACAAAACTATAGTGAAAGAGAAGATCAGATGTAAAAGGAAAAGAAAGGAAAACTTGTGGAGAGAGAGAGGAGAGAGAGAGATGAGGCAATCAACCTCCGCAGTACTGTAGTAGAAGTACGTGCTGTGGATGACCAATGAAAACACGAAAACGCAAAAGCTTTCCTAATTAAGTTTTATTAGTCTTTTACTTTTCAAGAAACCATTGGAAAGTATCTCTGATCTCTCCATTTTTTAAATCCTTACATTTCATATTATAACACCAATAATTTTTCATTAAATATTCATGTTATAGCCCAATCCACTACTAGGAGAAAGCCAGAAGGAACGTTCATATCTTAGCCCATATAACTTATTAGCGCTCGATTTGTGCGCAACTAATAAGGACTAGACTAGACAAATCTAGCATTAAATGCTCACTCAATGTCTTACCACCAACTCAACACAGCACGGACCTACTAAAATTACGTTCTGGGTGAAATTTGGCTAGTGACTTTAGCCAACAAAATACCACAAAAATATAAATCAGTGTAGGTTACCCGGGCTTACCAGCTCAAACTAAACAAGCTAAGCCAATTGACAGCTCCCAGTAATGATATACATACATTACTTTTGTTTGTTTCGATCTTTGAAATTGTGTCAAATTATGATTGGTAATCCCCAATCACTTGAAGAATAAGCAACCTCACAAGCACTTTGTAAATAGCGGGACTGAAACTGTTATTCTAATAATTTGTATTTAAATTTAGATTCAACCACTGTAACTTTAAAACTGTAACGTTAAACTCATGTAATTGTTACCCAAATGTGCACTCTATTTAAATATTGCCCTATTTACATTTACTTAGCCTAATCAAACGAGGAGTTGTAATCACTAGCATCATTAATTGATAACCCACCAAATGAATATCACCAAACAAGTCTAATACTTTCTATAAATAGCGAAGAACCAAAGATGGCAAATTGGTGCTTCCCACAAAAAGGAATGGCCAAAGTTATCTTCATTTCCACTTAACACAAATTAAATAAAATTATTTATTGATTACTATTCGTAATTCCGTATATTATCACTAAAATATGTTACAAAGAAAAAAAAAGAACATGACATGATTCGCACGATAAGCGATTACATTTTTTACACCAGAATAAAAGATAAAAGGAGGGTAGAGATTCTTTTGGTTCGAATGTTTAAAGTTAATTGGTTACAAATTATAAAATAAAAAAATAAAAAAATTGGAACCTAACCAGGACTACAAATTACAAAAGAAAAGGAATTTCATAGGGAAGAAGAGGACGAAATGGTCCCGGTGAGAGAAGATTGTTCACAACCCACAAATTGCACATGTGTCGTCCAGGAAAAAGGTATATTCCAATTTTTAATGTTTTTTGTTTGCAATTTTTAATGTTAAATGTTAACAAATAAAAACGAAGTTTCATGGGCACAAATTAAAGTTGTCGTGCGACACGTGGACTAGTCTTCTCCGCATGCACTAAACTGTACTACGCATAGAATTTTACAGTGTTTTGGGCTTTTCCATAACCATAAATGGGAAACATGACCATCCACTTATAGGCTTATACCATTAAAACAATACATGATTCTAGTCAATTTCTTTTTGACAAAGTGTTTTTTATATATGACTTTTCTTGTGTAATTTATTTCACTGTTATAATGCAATTTAACAAACTCAAAAACATTAAATTTTTTTAATGTGTAACAAAATTTCAGACTATAATATAAAATCAACAAGTTTCAATATAAATTTTCTTTAAAGAAAACATCCATTATTGAGTACAGCGAATCATCCTAACTAAATTGGTTAAACAAATTAAAAGGTAAATTAAAGGACCAGTGAAGACATTTAAATTTCGTCAACAGAAATTTAAAATGTATCGTCTTACTTATTTTGTACGTAAAAAGAGATACATTCTCCGGAAAGAAAAGCAACCAAGGTCACTTCTTCCAAGGGACCAAACGATGTTGTTGAGTTGCAAGTTGCAACCAAGTAGTAAGTACTAAACCACCCAAGGGACAAGAACAAATTTGAAGAGCGGTGGGGACCACCGGAGCATTATTAGCATGGTAATTTCCTAAATTAATTGCTAAAAATAGAAAGGCATTTCAAAAAGCCAGTGTGGAAAACGTGGTCCCGGTGCAGATCCAACGTCATGACATTGATTTTGATGAAGTCAGCTTTTCCATATCTATGTGAACATCAAAAGCCTCAAAAATCCTTACTGCACTTATAAATTATTTTTATTTTATTAAATTAATAAAATACATTTAACATTTTAAGTTTAAATGCCTAAAATATCCCAATTTATGAAAATTTATATAATATACTACATTTAAGAGCTTTTTTTTTTCTTTTTTTAAATTTTACATACAACATTCAATTTTTTCTTCACCACTAAAACTAATCCAAATTCAATTCTACTATCAATTTCTCCGTCACTATAAAACTAATCCAAATTACTTTAGTAAGTTGAGAAAGTAACTATGAACAAAAACTACATTATAACATAGTCAATAGTATTAAAAAAAAAATTACAATTTCAACAAACTATACTGAAATCCACAATACCCGTAACAAGAATTAGATCTCCCCCTTCCGCTAAAAAAGTCATAAGTTAACGTTCTCATCCACTAGACCAATACTTTGAAAGCACATTTAAAAGTTTTTTTTGAGAAAAGAGTAAAACGTTCTTCTAAAGACGAAAGACAAAAAGTAGAACAAATCAAAGTCGATAACCACATTAATTAGTAGAATTTTGTAAAAGAATAAAAGTTTAATCACATCACACAAAATGAGTATTTTATGCCAAAATTATATGGCCCCTCATTGCCTCAATACATCTCTCTCAAGGTACTGATCATATGTGAGTTCTTTCTTCTATGGCAATCAAAACTTAGGTCATAATATCTCTACCAGTACATGTTCTTCTGCTCCAGACAAGTTCTCATTTAACAATTTTGGGACGAAAAGCGCTATCAACAATGGGTTTCTTCTTAAACCGGGAATGAAATCTTCACGGGAGATCCTCCCGTCGTGATTGGCATCGAGCAAGTTAAAGAGATCATGGATCTGCATTTACGAGTTCGGGGCAGTAAATACACAAAATCTGCATTGAAGTGATTGCTTGAAAGAATGAATTGTCACTCACCTCGTCCTTGCTCAGATTCGGGATTGATAGCGTAAGAGATTCTTCCAACTGTCACAAACACACACACACAGTACGGGTTAGATTCTCGGGTTTGATCTAATAAGAAGCATTTAATGGAAATCATAGATGCACACCTCTTGCTCCAGAATGTAATGTTTCCTATTAGAATCACATTTCTCGAATGCCAATTCACAGGCTCGGGAAAATGATGGCTGGTTCAGAATGTGAACTGATGCAACCAAGAACTGAAAGCAAAAGAGTTCCCAATCATAAAAGAACAAAGTTTTAACGAAAGCCCACAGAATATCATAAGCATGATTCCAAGTCAACGGGACACCACCATAATGACAGTAAATCGAGAAGAGTGGGGATGTTACCTGTTTGAAAGTAATTCGCCCGTTCTTTTGCACATCAACAAATTGGAATATCTGCCAAAAAACAATACCCAAAAGTTCAGAAGAGATATAAACAAGGACTTGTGCATCGCCAATAAAAAATAGATTGACTTTTCGGTTAAGAAATGAGAAAACAGACACCATCTGCTCAACATGATTATGCCAACATCCTTGATTGAGATGGGACTCGAACCTTTGACCTTCCGTTTGGAATGGTAACAGTGATGCCATCAGACCACAAGACATCGGATAACGAGAGATACAAAAGAAGGTAAAACTTTCACAATGTAAACAAAAAATAGTAAGTAAACATCCTATTAACTAACCTTTTCAGAAAGAGCACACGGCTTGAGTCTTAGAACCCTGAGGAAGTCGTGTATTTTAACTTGTCCCCTGCATATGGAGAGAAGATCATTAAAAAACGCAGTTACTTATAACTTATCTACCACAGGCATTGCGTGAAAGGCTCTCCAAGAACAAAATCAAAACTCAAAGCCCTACCCATTCAAGAGGGATGAGAGATGCTTTAAAGAAATACGATGTAACAGCTAAAACCAGGTAGTTATATAGAAAATTAATGACTTGAAACAATATACACCATGTTGGAGTAAATTTGACATTTGGGCATTTATACAAGTGTTTTTGACTTGCATAGTTCATCAGGTTAGAGTTCAAAATACTGACATTCGTTCTGTTTAGGAAAGATTTATGGTTTATGAATTTATGTTATAAAACAAGAGCATACCTGGAGTCGGGGTTCATGGAAAGGAAAACATCCAGAAAGTCCATAGCCTCTAAAGAGCTCACATTAAAGGCCTGAAAGAAGAAACATATGCCTATGTTACATTTTCTTCACTTCCGATGAAATTAACATTAGTACTCTAATGCTAAGGTAGACACAGATGTCTTAATTACTCTGTAAAGTTCAAAGTAAGTCAATAAAAAGGTCCAATGTTATGAATAGTTTTTTCTCTTAAGAAGAATAAATCAAATATGAACTCACCGACTTAACCCATGCCATTTCAGTCATATACAGGGAGGGGTTTTCCTAAAAAACATAAAATCATTAGTATATCTCAGTCTCAAAATATTAGTATTGTATACAAAATATCCAACCCCCCACCCAACAAAAAAAAAGAAGGAAAAAAATTTGTATACCTTGTTGGAATCAGCAGCCTTCATAAGAAGCAAGGCATCGGCATAAGAATGTGATGTTTGTACAACATTCAGAGAACTAGCAATGGCATGGCTAGTCTGCAATAAGAAATTAATTATAACATTATAACCATTGGTACTAGTATATTAATACCTAGACTGTCGGACCATATTCACATACTACATGCTCCCGTTGCCCAATATATGTATCTTAATTTACCTCAAAACAGAGAGAACGAGCAGACCACAGAGGTAAAGTAGAGAGGAAAGTTTGAGGGGGGACCAAAAGGGGTCTTTTGTTAATTATTATTATTATTAGTTTTAAACCCACATATGCAGGACCACGTGGCTCACACATGTGCTTTCCATTACATCTTCACATCATCATGACAAGGAACAGAACGAGGATAACTTTGAATAGAAGAGGGAGGGCACATGGACAGTATTGTAGTTTGGGAGTAAGACTGTCAGAAAATACTTTTACAGTTTTACTAGCACCTATTTTATTCCTATTCATAAAATTTTAAGCTAAAGGCAAACCAGAGATCGGCACTTAAATAACAAAAGACTAAAATAATGTTTAATCAGACTTGACTCACCCTCTTAGCAAAATGAACAGCATTTTCCTTTTGATTCTCAAGTGGTGATACAATAGGAAGGTATTCAACCTGTATCCAAAATACAGTGACCGTTTACCATATCATAGTTACAACTAGCACATATATGTATTAACCATGCTCAGAAAGTAACACATTGTTTTGGTTTAGCATACCTCCATGAAATTGTGAAACTGTGTGAACATTCTAAACATCAATCTTGCCAAAGAAATGTTTCCCCTGGACACATCATAATCAGGCATGAGACTATGCGAGTAAATCAAACAATATATGTTCATTAAGAAATTTACACCAGAAAGATGCATACCATGATTGGTCAAAATGTACATGTGGGTAGCGAACAACAACTGGCTGGATAGGAAACCCGGGGATAAATGCACCCAATTGGAATGAAAGAATAGCTCTTCCATTGGTGGTGGTGCCTTCAGGAAATAAAAGCACTCGTGGGAATTGATCGCGAGAGGCCTTTCTCTGTATTCAAATCCTTGAAAGAATACTTCTGTATCAATTACTTATGTATAGATAAAATATTTAATGATTGGAATTTACTAATTCCGAAACATTTTAGAATTCATAAAAAGCAGTTGATAAAGCATTATTTGAATTTTATTTCTTGCACTTTGACTTTACATTAACAACTCCAATGCATTCATGTATGTAATTTGGACTGCAGTTAACTATAAGTTCTGGGTACATGTTAGTGATGATGCTTTAGACAAATAACAATTCCAATGTGTTTCAGCTGAATCTTTTGATTTTGATAGAGTTAGAAAGATATTCTTCCTATTTACATAAGTTATAAGATTGAGATTATTAAAAAAAAGAAAGCAGGGAAAAAAAACTGAAATTCTATTTCTCTATGCACGTCAACTGAAATAACAAGCAAAGATACAAAAAGTTTTTACCTTTATTTCATTAACAGCATTCTTCCTTGATGATTGTGAAAATCTATCTACGTATATCACCTGCACATTGAAAGAAAAGGGAGAAGCACAGTTAATTTTAAATCTGCAAATGCAAATCCAAGCATGCCATGGTAGGACATTTTTCCTGTGAATTCAATGGAGATAGATAATCCCAAACAAAACAAATAAAGAATGCAGAAATCCATGTTAGTCATTTCAATTACCAGTAAATGCAAACAAAACAATACCTGCATAGCTCTAATTATGGTTCCAACAAATGGCATGGAGTCATGAGATTCCGAGGCAACAATGGTGGGAAATAATTCATAGAAAAAGAAGATGGGGTCAATATATGATATGTGATTAGATACAACAATAGGAGCAATCTCCCTCGGGGCAGGTTTTCCTTTTCGCTTTATCCATTGATAACTGCAACATAAATCGGGTAAAGGAAAATCGTTACAAAGAATGAAAGGCAATGTTGGTACTCAATTGTAGTAGATGAAGAAGCTAAAAACTCTGCCTTTATATCTTTAACAAGATGGTCTCTAACTAGCTAGCTAAAAACTATAATAATTTATACTGGGCGTTATTAAAAAGAAAGGCTTGAAAGCTGGAAAAGAAGCAATTACCCGAAAGAGAAGAGGATAAAACGGGCGCAAATCCGGGTAACCCACATGAGTCTGGACCTCCATTTGGGCATCGGATTATGCCTATCCCGCCAGCCTCCGAGAGCAATCCGGGTAGCCGCATAACCAATCATCAAGCAAAACCCAAAAAGCGCCAGCCGGAGCAGAGCAACGGGCAAGCACAGCAGGATCTTCACCCACTCATACACCCCTTCAATCCCGGCGGTGTGGTTCAAAAACGGGTCAATCGTCGAAGACTCCGGCACCTCCAACTGGTGCGCCCCGAGGAAACCGTACGGGTTGTCGTCGACCAGCTCCAGCCCGGCGCCGGCGCGCCGGCCATCACCATTCCAGCTCTGATGCGCCGGCTGCGGAGCGCCACGGTCGTTGACGGCGACGATCGTGTGGGGACCATCGCAATCGGACGGTCGTGAAGGCGTGCCCGGCGGTAAAAGAGGAGTTGACAGCGTATGATTAGACATTTTAGTGTGATGAATCGCGCGTTGTGATTGTAGCTCTGGAAAGTGAGAAGCACAGACCCGATTTTTGTGGTTAAGGAAGAGCCTTAATAGCCCATTTTGTTTGTCGTGTTGTCTTTCGAACTTTTTTTTTGACCACGTGTGTAAGTGTGTTTCCATCTAATTGTTCGCTTCTTTTATTTTATTTTATTTTTTTTTATTAGATCTTCATTTTAAAGCTTTTTTGGTACGATTAGGACTAGTATTTCAGCGGCAATACAGGGTTCGAATACCACTGGAAATTTAAGGGTTATTAGGAGATCTTGATCAATTAGAAGTGATGAAGAAAAAATTATTATGTATAAAATATACAGATAAAAGGTGAGAATTTGTGACAGAATAAAATTACTTACGATATATTTACTCCACATCACTACAAGAAAAAATTACAATTCGCAAAGAAACAAATTTCGTCGTAAATCACGTTTTGCGATAGAATTCAATTCGTAGTATCCAGACTTGTAGTATTTCGTTTTGGTGAGCCTTAAAACATATGTAATTCAAATGATAACTCCTAGTTTTGAAAATTGAAACCATCTAACTTACGTTACGTAAGTCATATACTAGTACGTATATTCGCTAACTTAATTAGAAAGGAAAACAAGAAGTCTTACAAGATTAATTTCAGCTGTGTTTCAATCTTAAGCAACATACAATACTTATAGAAAGTGACAAGACAATTGCCGACTTTTTAGGAGTACCAAATAAATTATTGTAGAACTAAACAAACACTAACACGTATGTTTTTGTTATATGACAAGGAAAACTTACAATCTTTATCTAATATAGTGTGCATTTTTTTTTTATTACAAGGAAGGGGGACACCCATACAAACTACGCCTACAACAAGGCTCGAAACCTAGACCCCTTTCACATAGGGGAGCAATTCGATACCAGTGGACCATAAACCACTTGGTATCTAATAATGTGCATTAAGTAAACTTTATAAATCGCAGATTTTACGCATCAAATCAAATAGTGTGCATTAAGTAAACTTTATAAATCATAGATTTTACGCATCAAATTTAATTGAAAGAGTATTGACAATAATCTAACTCGTGACTTACATGTAGTTAGAAAATTTTTGCCCTCATAGCATATGGTATTTCAAACTCTTACAACTCTCCCGTTGTATTACCTTTTTTGCTTACAAATTATATCGAATAGTTAATTTTTTGTCCAAAAATGATAAATACGTAACTGAATAAATTTGATAGATTCCTAATAACTCGGAAAAAAAGAACCGTACCTCCCCTAAGTGCATGGGATTTACTTTCATTGATATTATGGAATGTGATTCACATCATCACATGGACCCAAACTTTCCTAAGTCAAAGATTGCACCAAACTTGAGAATAATTTTCCACCTTCTAAATTCCAGGAAAGTTTGAACATTCACCCTACCGTTAGTCCGTTACCAAACACCCTCTAAGAGTAACCGGTGAGAACGATATGACTTGGATTACTTTCGATTTATTCAAAGATTTCAATTATTTAGCTACCTAGTTGAGACTTGAGAGAGTATTTTGTTGTTCTTAAAAAATAATTTTAGTGTGTGTTTATATAGTTAAATCACTAAAAAAAATTTATGATCACTAATTTCAAAGCTACATTAGTAATTCGTTGGCTAACTATCGGTTCAAAGTTCAAAATGTTGTGTTCTAAAATCTTACCATTTTTTTCAAAAAACAAAAAAAAAAATTACCATTTTGAATTTGATATGTAAAGCAAAAATTGCACGTGACTGATAATCAATAATGCAGAAATGTTACGTAGAAGAGGATGGTTCATCAGTTGGTAGTCACTGTCACAGCAGCAAGTTAAGGTCTGTCAATGGCGGAAATAGAAAAGCATTTGTACATACAAACAAATACGGAGTATATGTATTACTAATAAAGTAATATAGCACTAAGTACAAGGGATAGCCTCGAGATCTACATTGCACAACTCATTATTAGTTTATTACTCATAATACTCATAATAATATGCTTTATTCACAAGGGATCAGATCGGAGGGCATGTTAGGAAGAACATAAAGGATTAGTTAATTAAAAATGTGTTTGGTTCGTACATGGAATTTGAAAGCAGAATGAGAATTAAATACTTGGTAATTGTTTTGGGTTTATGTAAAAGTATTTTGTCTGTTTGGTAGTAGGATAGAATTAGAATGATTACCAATATTGATGTTTGGTTGTGTATGACCTTATAATGGGAATAAATGTTTTAAAAATATAAAAACAAAAAACAAGGCAATTGATCATAATATAATGACATCCCAAGCATTTAATGCAGTAATACGGCGATTACTGAGAATGCGTACAAGGTACAGGATTGGACCGAGTTTAAGCCCTTATTTAGTTTGCTTGTTGGTTTAAGGTATTAATATCGGTTTACGGCGTGAGACCAGAGGTTCCCGAGCTAAGTGTAACTATATATATATATATATACACACACACACACACATACATAATTGACAAAAAAAGTCTTTTTTCTTAGGCATTTCGCAGGGTATTTATAGACAAGATGATGTGACACCTGCCGGAGAGTCGGGTTGCATGACACGTGTGATTCATGCACTCGGTGGTTTAGGTGGCTAAGGAGAAGCGTACATGTGTAGGATTATCATAGAGTGCCCAACGATTAGTGAACACGACTTAAGTGTATGCGCTGAGGCTCATCTGTGGCTAAGTAGAGGGGCTCGGCCATGAGTGCCGTGTAAGGTCGGGACCGAGCTCAGGAAGGTAGACAAAAGCTAACTAAGCCACATAGACATCCAACCGTCAGGTCGGGTCGGTCTGGTTGAGTATTCAGGTCGAGAAGTGACTAACACCTCACAGCGACTCGTATCCGACCGGGTCCCAGGTATAAATGGGTGAGTAGCACGGGGTATACTCCCTATCAACATCAATATGAAAAAAAAAAAAATAATTATAACAAACATCTAAAAGTACTAATTCAAACTTAAAAATTAGATTACCGGTAATATGGAATATAATAATGATAACTCATTTTTAATTAGGGAATGAGATTTTTAATTGGAGGCTCATAGTTGTGTTTTAAAAAATTGTCAACAAAACACGACAAATTAGATCCACACAGTGTTGTATGGATCATAACAAAAAAAATACATTTTTAATATACTAAAAGTACATTATTCGTGTACTGAATACAAAATAATATACTTTTAGTACTTAAATAATGTATTTTCTCTGAATATAATGTATGTAACACATTTTTAATATAATAAAAATACGTTACTTGTGTACTGAATGTACATTTTTTGATAGTATGATCTACACAACTGTGTGGACCATGATTCACACAATAATGATTGACAAAACATTAACTATGATTTGATTCTCATTTCTAAAGTGTAAACTCATGAACCAAACACACCATAAATTCAGTTAGCCAAAGTAAATATTCAAATGGGTGAAATATGATAGTCGTATCAAAAGATTACGAGTTTGATTATTGCCAACATATATTCTTGATTTGAAGTCATCACACAAGTTATATGTATAAAGAAGTGTGAAGTTTACTCCGGACTTGATATATTTGGTTCGATACATAGAAAAAGAGGATATAATAATTTATAAGTGTGAAAACGGAATGATGACATCCAGCCTTAAAATACCTTAGTTTGGGCTTCATGTTTTTGAGAGTTGAGACCCCTCCGGAAACTCTTGAGCTACATCATATCATTTGGAGCAAAGACTTGGGCTTCTTGTTTCACATATAAAATATATAAACATAAACGTGCAATTCAATTATCAGCTTACATTTTTTAGTTGAGATAAAATACATGTTTTAGTTTAGTATCAGAGCCATGTCAAAGGTTGCAACGACTCAAATAATTGTCCCAACAACAACTTATCTTAATATAAATAATTTAAAAAGTTAAACTTTGATGTGAATTATTACCTAAGAACAAGCCTGATTTATTCAATATACACTGTAAGTAATAAATACGGAGTACAAGTTTTCTTTTATTACCCAAAATTAGTACCTTAGTTAATAATTGGTACATGAAGTCTTATCCACAATCATTGCAAAATGACGTGTTTGACTAATTAAAGAGTGTAGTGTTAAAGTGATTTTAAATTTTAATGGCGTCCCATACATTCCCCATATTTGAATATTCACAGAGCATCAATGGGAATTCCATGAATGAATGAACAACTCCCTTCCATGTGCGAGTCGCCCCCACCTTTTCCAGGAAATTGGAAAACTATTCATAATCATGTTTTCCCAAGATGTTTAAATATGTATGTCCTCTAAATTAAATCAAGACTACAATAATTAGATACGATTTAGATTTGCACGATTAATAACACGAAATGGTTATATTAATAGTCATATGATATGACCACTACCCATAATCAAATGCAACAAATTAAAAATGTTTGAATCTGAAGCATTTAAATCAACGAGCTATTGCCAAGCATTTTGCTTGTGCTAGATGACATGTAGTGACCTTTCTCATGTGGGAGGTCACGAGATCGAACTTTAGTGGAGGTGTTATTGATTTTTTGTGCTTCATTAGGTTGACAAAGTATATTTAAATATAGATATAATAGTTCTGTGGTCACGTGGCGTGTTTGGGTCTTACTATTCGTGGGTTGTTTAATTTTTATCATTAAATTCAATAATTTGACTAGTTGGTAAGAATGTTACTAATATAAGTATATATATGGTCATAAAATCAATGTAAAGAGAGTGAAACTCTAAGCTCACAACATAATTTGATTTACAACTCAAGTAGAATGTAACTAAGCAGAAATTCTTGAAGCCATCTTCCCCGAAACACAATAATCTTTTAAAGTTTAGTTAACCTCCAGACTAGTTGTTCCATTCAAAAAAGGTGGCTATAATTCAGCGGGGGAATTAATTAGTCACTGTGTCCGACATTAGAAATCCTAAATACACCCAAATAATAGATATTTTATTATTTAAATTAGTTTACTTTTTTGTTGTCCTTTGATGGCTAGAGTCACAAGATGAGTTTCGTGTAAGTTTGTTCGTAAATAAAAATTAACTTGAGTTAAATTTTGCTCGAAGCATGAAAAATGAGGTAAGGTGGCACAAAAATGGCAGGTCTTGAAAGTGGTGGAATTAGGTTTAAAATATGATTTACTTGTCTTTCAGAAACACTTTGCTACTAATGGAAACAAGGTAGTCCAATCCTTGCATTTGACTCCAAGCAAGTGGCCCCTGAGGAAAGTAGCTCTTTGTTTATAAGCCACTTCTTTTAACCTAATAATCAATCATGACCTAGCTAGCTCTACATATTCCAAAATTTACAGCAACAATAGCTTGAAGGTCAAATTTCCAACCATATTAACCCAACAATTTTGAACACTTGTCAACCATACCGTTAATTCAACTATAAGGTCTGAGGATCGACTCTTGTATGAATACGTCATGTTAAAGAACTCTGGCTAGCCTTTTCCTATGTACCAGTCAATCTCTGCGAGCACCATCCAAACCAGATTAGTCTCATAGTGGTCAGGATACCGAATACTACCATATTTTTTGAACCATCCAAAAAGATATTGCTTAATGTAGTGCCTATTAAGCCACCCACACTATATATCACTATAGGTCATGTTGAATGGATGATAATAAACGACTTCTGTGCTTATTGCAATTATCTATGCAATGATATGATGACACTCTTGATTCTTCAACTATATGAATAATTTAGTATTTAGATTTGTTCCCAGGCAGGAAAAAGAAGAGAAAAGAGATCAAACTTTGCTGATCAGATAATAGATTATGGAGATGTATGTGTTTATGGTGCCTCTCATGTATCCTCATAATGCAACACAACCTTAAAAAAACATCCTTAAAAGAATTTAAAAAAAAAAAAAAAAAAACCAATAATAACAACATTGACAATCCCTCTTGCTTTCTCCACCTTTCTTCTACGACAGCCAATCAAAATCCTCAACAGACAACCAAGAATTTAAGCCAACGTCTCCTGTTCTTGTCAACTTTCTGTTCATGGCTATTGTACAATACATCTTTGACTTGTAATAGAATGTTTTCCAACACTTATATATAGATGTCCCTGCAACTGCACACAAACAATGATGAGAAGATCACATCTGCCTTACTTTCTTTTGAGAATGTTGGGGAAAAGAAACTTCCATTGCCTTCCTACTTTTTATCTCTGTCTTCTGCTTATCACAACAGGCCCTCAAAATGCAGAATCAGACAGCAATAAGGTGACATTTTAAGGTTGTTTGAATCTTGTGGTATGTATGTATAGCAGCCAGTTAATGTATATATACTGCATGTATATATTCTGCAGGACTCTTATATTGTGTTTCTGAAAGATCATCATCCAGTTGATGAAGAAACTGCATTCCAGAATCATATTGATCTCCTGTCATCTTTGAAGGGGAGGTCTGTTAGTTGAATTTATCCATTCCCTTTTTTCGATTTGTTAATGAAAATGTCTTTAATTAATCTCTGATATTGCTTTTGAAACAGCAGCCTTGAGGCTACAGAATCTCATGTTTATAGCTACACAAGAGTGTTTAATGCATTCGCGGCGAAGCTATCTAAAGATGAAGCAGATGAGTTATCAAGTAAGTGGAATCCTTGTACGTACGGTTTGGGAATCTCTGCAGCTTCTGAGGCTAACAAAGTTATTGATTGGAAAAATTAATGTTCCAGGAATGCCTGAAGTAGCTTCTGTTATCCCCAACCGGTATCACAAACTACACACGACGAGATCATGGGAATTCATTGGTTTGCCTCCTACTGCCAGAAGAAATTTGAAAGCTGAGAGCAACATTATTGTAGGTGTTCTTGATACAGGTTATGTATCTCTAAATAACAGACTCCCATTTGGCCATTTTCCTTGATCTATTTATACGTATCCTTCGTTTTATTGAAGTGTTTACGTGATTATGTTGAAACCACTTTTCCCAGGAATCACCCCTCAATCACAAAGCTTTAGAGATGATGGTTTAGGCCCTCCACCAGCTAAATGGAAAGGAAGTTGTGCCCATTTTGCCAACTTTTCAGGATGCAACAAGTAAGTTATGTATAAAATTTGTGCTTATTTTCAAGATTCGATTCGATACGAGTTTAGTGATTTGTGTCCTGTGGTTTTGAAGCAAGCTTATAGGGGCTAAATATTTCAAGCTGGACAAAACTCATGACCCCAGTGACATCTTGTCACCCATAGATGTGGATGGCCATGGAACTCACACATCATCCACAGTAGCAGGAAGTTTAGTACAAGGTGCAAACTTATTTGGCCTGGCCCGAGGGGTTGCGAGGGGCGGGGTGCCTGCAGCCAGGGTGGCTGCTTACAAGGTGTGTTGGGCTAGTTCAGGGTGTTCAGATCAAGACATTCTTGCTGGATTCGAGTCCGCCATTGCGGATGGCGTGGACGTTATCTCTATCTCCATAGGCGGTCTGACAGGCAGTTATACATCAGATGCTATAGCTGTGGGATCATTCCATGCCATGAGAAGAGGAATCCTCACTGTGGCTTCTGCTGGGAACGATGGACCGAACTATAACACCGTTTCGAACCATGCCCCGTGGGTCCTAACCGTGGGAGCGAGCAGCATCGACAGGCAGTTCAGGAGCGAGGTGGTGTTGGGCAGTGGACAAACAATTTCAGTAAGTTGTCTACATCGTGTTGAGCATATAACCATTAATGTGCAATCCAACTATCCGCTTAGGCTTTTAGTTGAGATGGAGCACATGGTGTGGGGGCGTGTTGAGCATATAACCATTAATGTGCAATCCAACTATCAACTTAGGCTTTTAGTTGAGATGGAACACATGCTTCAATTTATCGAGACTTAGTATTCTGCTCAGTTTTATTCTAGCCTATTCTTTTGGTTTGCTTAGTTTTTGTATAGGTTGTTATAACTAATTCCCTTTTCTTCTTTTACTGTGAATGACCCAATTTGCAGGGGATTGGAGTGAGCACAATTGAGCCAAAGCAAAGATCATATCCTGTGACCACAGGAGCTGATGTTGCCAAGAACTCAGAAAGTAAAGATGTCTCAAAGTACTGTCTTGAAGACTCAATGGACCCTGGAAAGGTAAAGGGAAAGCTTGTTTACTGCATATTGGGTGGTAGTTGGGGTGCTGATTCAGTTGTTAAAGGTCTTGGAGGGATTGGCACTGTTATCGAGAGCGAACAGTATCTTGATTCTGCTCCAATTTTTATGGCTCCAGCTACCATTGTTAACAGCACAACTGGGAAAAGAATCACTGATTATATACACTCAACCAGGTATCTATACTATACTGTACTGTTCTATCTGGTTTCTAGAGAACAAGAAATGATGGTTTAGTTGAATGCAGGTCACCTTCTGCAGTGATTCACAAATCCCAGGAAGTTAAGATCAAAGCTCCCTTTGTGGCATCCTTTTCAGCCCGGGGGCCGAATCCAGGAACACAACACCTTCTGAAGGTATATATATACATGTATGTGTAAGTTTCGGTTCCCCGGTGCTTAATCTGATCCTTGTGGTGTCTGCATTGAACAGCCTGATGTTGTAGCTCCCGGGATTGACATTCTAGCCGCGTACACCCTCATGAAATCCCTCACCGGCCTGAAAGGCGACACGCAATTCTCGGAATTCACACTCATGTCTGGTACTTCCATGGCCTGTCCTCATGTTGCTGGTGCTGCTGCCTATGTTAAGTCATTCCACCCAAACTGGTCTCCCTCTGCTATCAAATCCGCCCTCCTGACTACTGGTAAGCCAGATTGCATCCATTTTTTACATGTTTCTATTGGGCGTTGGTCGAGTTCAGCCCCTGTTCCATTCCAGACATGACGCTATGACTTACTATGGAGGGATGTGGTTAAATGGTTAATGTTCACCTACTTATCACCAATTGATTTTAAGTAGGATATGTTAACTAGATAGTCAAAGAACTCTATAGTTAAGTGTACTACAGCAGTCTAACTGTCAAATTTGGAACCGACAGCAACACCTATGAGCTCCAGGGTGGACAGGGAAGCTGAGTTTGCATATGGTGCTGGACAAGTGAATCCAGCCAAAGCAAGGAGCCCTGGACTGGTATATGACATGGAAGACATGTCCTATATCCAGTTCTTATGCCACGAGGGGCGCGAAAATTCATCGTCTTTGGCCACTTTGGTGGGCAGGCCGGTGAACTGTTCCAAACTGATTCCTGCAAATGGAGAAGATGCCATCAACTATCCCACAATGCAACTTGCCTTAAGGAGGAGTGGCCAAGAACCAACCGTTGCTGTGTTCAGGCGAACAGTCACGAACGTCGGCCAGGCTCAGTCGGTTTACAATGCCACCATTAGAGCTCCAAAGGGCGTGGAGATCACCGTCAAACCTATGACTTTGTCGTTCTCACGTGTCGAGCAGAAGAGGAGTTTTAAGGTTGTGGTGAAGGCAAAGCCCCTGTCAAGTGCACTTGTAGTTTCTGGTTCACTGATATGGAGAAGCAGCAGGCATATTGTGAGGAGCCCTGTTGTCATTTATGACCCAAAGAACTTTGATTAGTCCCATGTCCAGAATCTTGCAAGAAACACAAACATCCCTAACATATATGCATTTCACACAAAATGTAGAACAACTAGCAACAACCTTATACTATATATATCAAATAAGACATGAAGATGATATCTGTACTGTCATCTGATATACATAAATAACAGCTGAATCCTTTCCTTGATTCCAGTCTTGAATCCAAACCAAACATGACATCCTTAGTCCAATAATATTTTATTTCATTATCCTCAAAGCATTTGTTTGACCCACATCTTATAAGCACACACAACGCACGCATGACACATGCATGGCTTGCACAATTTAAATGCATGACTATCACTAAGGTCAAAGAAGGGAAATATATGGATCTATACTTGCACATTGTTGTTACGCTGGCTATTGCATAGAAATTGGAGTTGTCAAATTAATTAAGCACATACACAAAGAAATAAATTTTTGTGCAAATTAATTAAAATGCTTCAAAAACTGCAAACTCTATACAGCTAAGCATCCACGTCCTAAATACCTCAATAGTTTCGAGTCTCTCCACCTTTGGTCAAATTTTTTTTCTATACATACCATCAAATAATGATATATGTAATCCCCCCAAAAAATCTATCTCAATCTACCTTTCGTCAGCAAATCCAACAACCTACACAAAAGGGTAAAAGGGCCAAACACATTTAGTCGTCAACTCGATTAATATATATATATATATATATATATATATATATATATATATATATATATATATATATATATAAGGGATCAGGTGCATTTGAGGCTTCCCATGTGATCGTGCGGGTGGACGCACGTTAAGCATTAATCTGACGCACTTAAAGCACATAACACACGCACATTAAGCACACAAACCCCACGCATGTTAAGCACAAGCCTCACATATGTTAAGTACAAGTCTCACTGTTAAGCACAAGTCTCACGCATGTTAATCACAAAAACACACGCACCTTAAGTTTTAAAAATAACTCACATTAAGTACACACTCACGCACATTAAGTACAAGACTCACGCACATTAAGCACACGACTCACGCACATTAAGCATAAAACTCAGGCACTTTAAAGTTTCAACAACTCACATTAAGTACACACTCACGCACATTAAGCACAAAACTCACGCACATTACGCACAACATGCACATTTTTTTTGGTGAGTAAAGAGGAGCTACAAACGCCCCAGAATTAAGAGAACCTTCTAGTTGTCATAATATTGGCATCTCGGGAAAGAAGATTGCCCAAGCCACTAGGCGGGAGGTCGAGTAAGGTTGTCCCCCAAGAATTACTGTGGCCCAGATTGGCTAGGAAGTCAGCACATTGGTTACCTTCCCGAAGGACATGGCGGAGCTCGTAAGCGTGGAACCCTTCCATTAAGTATTTGCAATCAAGAATAAGCGTATCTGCCTCCGGACTGGATCCTAAGTCGTTGTGTAAGGCATTGACCACGGCTTCCGAATCAGATTCCATCACAAGTCTGTGAACCCCATGACTTTTTGCCATGAGAAGCCCCTCACGAAGTCCCCATAAGTCACAACTCGCACATTAAACATTATACACTCACGCACATTAAGTACAAAACTCGCGCACATTAATCACCCGCACAACCGCATGGGAAGCATTTACCCGCACCGGAACTTTAACCTATATATATATATATATATATATATATATATATATATATATATATATATATGTGTGTGTGTGTGTGTGTGTGTGTGTGTGTGTGTGTGTGTGTGTGTGTGTGTGTGTGTTTACATTGTATAAAAGGAAATTAAATTAGCTTAAAATGGGAGAAAATAAAACAAAATAATGCAAGCACTCATAGACATAGGGTTATAGGCGCGTTTGAGGGTATTTTTTAAAATTGACTGTTATTTTTTTTAAATGAGAGTCAATAAAAAATGGAGTGACATTTTACTATAGGAGTTAATGCACACGCAATGCGCACACACAATGCACGCAATGCGCACCACAATGCACGCAAAGCGCACGCATGACATATGCATGGCTTGCACAATTTACATGCATGACTATCACTAAGGTTGAATAAGAAGCAAAATATATGGATCTATACTTCCACTTGTTACGTTGTTACGGTAGTTATTGCATAGCAATTGGAATTGTCAAATTAAGCACGTACACAGAAAAATAAATTTTTGTGCAAATTAATTAAAATGCTTCAAAAGTCGCAAACTCTATATAGCTAAGCATTCACATCCTAAATACCTCATAATCTCGAGCCTCTTCTAATAGTTAATTGTGCTAATTTTTTATATTCTCGATCGATGTGATTTTGTTTTTTAAGTATTAAAAAGAGTGATCTTTTAAGTCTCAAAAAAGTGATCTTATAAAGATTAGAGTTTAATTTTTACCATATTTATTCTTACCAATACTCCTTCAATTAAGTCCATAGTTGTGGATTTTTCCAAACAAAAGAAAAGTAGGTTACAACTTTGAGTGGACTGAAGACACAACTTATAATGCCATGGCGCATGAAGGCACCACTCCATGCCACTAAAGTAGCCCATCCACTACTATAGTTTTCATCACTTATTATTGCATTCTTCTGTAATTTACTCACCACTCCAGTTCCAACCCATCATCATTATTGGTTCCTATAAGAGGTGGAAATATAATGATGTCTGCATGCCATTCCACCAACGTGAATGACGAGAAAAGAAGCAACAAAAAAGTAGTACACACACACATATATATATGCTATATACTTAGCTTAGTGAGCACAACATATAGTGTGAAAATAATATGAATAAAGTCCACTCATGTGGCAACTACCATATAATAATGTGATGGCATTCTAATTACCATTTCAAATATGTGATCATAAGTCTGAACCTTGGTAGTGGGGCTTAGATTTCTTGAGCTGAAAATATTTGAGAAAGTATAGAATAAACGGATGCCAGTCTAAGCAACACCCTCGTAGACATAGGTACATTGTTAAATGGCGTAGTCATATTTTCTTATTTCTTGTTTAATTTGTAGTTGATTTCTTGATCACATCAGGATAGAACAATTATGATAACCTTAGCTAGGGTCAATAATGTTGTCGATATCAAAATTTAATGGAAAACATTTAAAGGCCGGCCATGCTGTTATAACTAACTAATTAACTTCTAACCAAAAGGTCAACCGATATTTTTAAAGATTTTTGTTGCCTCAATGCTTCAACTATCCTTTTTCATCTCCACCGACTCAAACATTAATGACTTCCAACCAAAACCTAGCTAGCTACATGCTTGATTGTGCTCCCAGGCATTCTGGTTGGCCACAATATGCTAAAAAAGCAACCATTTCCGGCCAAGCCATCAACAACAAATGGTCAACAAACATGCACGAATTATAAATGGACAACATTGTTAGTTCAGATACATTAATTATTACATACGAAAGATGGGTAATATAATATATATTTCCCATATTGTCGTTACTCTTCTTCCTCCACCATTTAGCTAGCATCCATAATTAGGTGTAAGTTTATTAGGTTGGATTTGGGTGATATCCAAATTTTATTTTGGATATTTAAAAATTTTGAGTGATGTTTTTGACATTTAATACAACAGATAAATATGTAATTAACATACTAAAGTAGCTAAAAACGGATTAGCCGAGTCTGGTAAGTATGCCCGACAATGTCGTTAGCACTATTACATGAGCTAAAGTATCCCTATGGACTAGTTAGGGTTTTTAACTAATATCCGCACGGGGCTTAGCTCACTAGTTCAGTAGGTAATATTTAGGAGAAAAGACAAATGTTCGAATAATTTCGACAACAACATACATTATGAGAATTATGTTCAAAGTGGACAAATTATTTGTGCGCACAAGTATTTGACTATGTCTGCTGAGCTATTTAGTTACCGTGATTTACATCATCCCAAATAATCTATCAAACCGGGGCATGGAGCATTTGGGGTTGGGGATTAAACCTTTTTGGGAGAAGGGCTTTCAACTAATTGTGGTAACGGTTAGTATCATGAGAGAATTGTAGTATAAATTAGGAGTTAATTCCATTTTTGGTCCTAGATTTATAGGTGGAAGTCCATTTTTAGTCATTTTTTATCAGAACATCCCTTTTTTGTCCTAGTATTATTGTGATATGACCAATTTTGGTTCTTTATCAAAAAAATCATTGAAATTGCATTAAATACAAGAGCATTTCGCTCTTCAATTATGATTTTTTTTTTCAAAAAGTAAACATAAAATATATAACGAGTCAACACACTTTATATTAAAAAGATCAAAATGTCATTCTATTTAATGAAATTTCAACAATTTTGTTGATAGGGGACCAAAATTGGTCATGTCACAATAATACTATGACCAAAATGGGATATTTTGATAAAAAGAGACTAAAAGTGGACTGTCACCTATAAATTTAAGACCAAAAATGGAATTAACTCTATAAATAAGAGTTTATGGCATGGAACGTAGTTCCGCAATTGTATTGATGTTTTGCCTCACTCTTGATAGGTAATTGTACAAAACACCACATGAGCTGGCCGGCCTTCTTGGATGACATCTCCTTCATTATTCTTGCTTGTATGCTACGCTTGAATTGGTACTATACATTGATGTCACTGTACTCTAGCATGAGTATATAACATGGACTCTCATGCTTCTCAATTCTCATATCACTAAATATAGTTTATGTTCATATATTTGTATGGTATCATGCTTGAACACAGTTTAATTCATTATTATAAAGCTCATTATATTGAATTTAAAGGAAATATTTGACATCAACCATAAAATATATAGTGTATGAGAATCATGTTTCATCCACTCGGACACTCTTTTCTGAATAAGATAAATAACTTTAATTTTATATATGCTAAGTCATGGCCTGTCACACTCTCCCTAGCTAGCTACTAGTCTCCAGCCTGTTTAATTCAATTCTTTCCCCAAATTAAATTACTCCCCTTATTTATTGCCCAATATTGGTCGTCTTTCCAAATTCTAAGTTGGGTAATGGGCCATTAATTCACTCTTTTTGTGATATCACTCCGTAATAAATAACATGAAATGACTTTTCAATATGATGATTAAAGAGGAAGAAGTCCCATTGGCCGGAATGAGTTGATCCAAGTCTTTACCCGGAGCATTTGTATCCCGTGCTCACCAAAATGTGGCCGCCGACCTGCCGTAGCTCCGAGGTTATATATGTCACACATATATTAATTTCAGAATTCAGCTTATCATAAAAACCCAATAAATTCGAAATCTCTTTCGTACAAATTTAACTCATTCCTAGTGTGATCACTAATAAATGCCAACTCACCAACGGCAAACTCAATCTTCTTCAATCTGCCCCTCTATTAAAGTTTTCCTATGCCTTAAAAAAAAATCAAATAAGTATAGCATGATTCTCGTACTTTCTTGGTTTATCGTTACACAAAATGTGATAACCCTTGTGACCCTACTACTACGTATTAGCCTGCAAATCCTATCACTAGACACTAGTTAGTAACAGATCAGTAAATTAGTCTAGTTGTCTATAATTAACTAATTCAAACCAAGAACCTCAATAGATTACTATGTCTATTTGTCTTCTCTTTGAATTACAACAATGAAGAAAGTATATTGAACATGTATTACTTGTAATAGAGTTTATAGTACTCAAAAATATTAATAATTTGATCAATTTGATTAAAGTTGCTTTCATGGGACCACTTTCTTGTCCCATAAAAAGGTGGAGAGGAAGGGGGTACGCATGACTTAACTCATTTAGTCATTTCTTAGTCTCCGCGTTCAACATCTTTGTTTTGGTTGCAGCCAAAATGGTGTTCAAGATATTCTTGATTTTGCTGGCATTATCGTTGCCTGCAGTTTCAGAGGCTTCAGTGGCGCAGGACATGTACGTGGTTCACATGGACCCGACCAAGATTCCAGAATCAGGAACTAGTACTTCCGCCGGCGGTTCCAGGACATGGTACGAGGCTGTTCTTGATTCCGTCACTGAATTTTCAGCTTCCGAAAGCCCCCCGCCGCCGCCGCCGCAGTTGCTCTACGTTTATGAAACTGCCGTGTCTGGTTTTGCCGCAAAACTGTCCAGACAGCAGCTTGAATCACTGAAACACGTCCACGGCTTCCTCGCCGCCGTGCCGGACGAAATGCTGACACTCCACACCACCCATTCGCCTCAGTTTCTCGGGCTGAGAAACGGGAAAGGCCTCTGGGGCGCCAAGAGTTTAGCCTCTGATGTCATCGTCGGTGTTGTCGACACCGGAATATGGCCGGAGCACATCAGCTTCCGCGATGCCGGAATAATGTCCCCGGTGCCCGCTCGCTGGAAAGGGACGTGCGAGGCGGGAAGAGCCTTCTCCCCTTCAAACTGCAACAAAAAACTGGTCGGCGCAAGAACATTCTACAAAGGGTACGAATCCATTGTCGGAAAAATCAATGAAACAGTGGAGTATAAGTCCCCCCGCGACTCGGAAGGCCACGGAACTCATACCGCTTCCACGGCGGCCGGAGATCTGGTGAAAGACGCAAGCTTTCTCGGCCTGGCGAGAGGATCAGCCGGCGGGATGAAGTACACGGCAAGAATTGCAGCTTATAAAGCCTGCTACACATTAGGGTGTTCCAGCATTGATGTTCTAGCAGCTGTAGATCAAGCTGTTAAAGATGGGGTTGATATATTATCCCTTTCCTTGGGAGGCTTATTGCCAAAACCATTCTACACTGACAACATCGCCATAGCTGCATTTGGAGCAACCCAGAAAGGTGTGTTTGTGTGCAGTTCAGCAGGGAATTCTGGGCCATTGACTTCAAGTGTTAGCAATACTGCCCCTTGGATTATGACTGTTGCTGCTAGCTCCTTGGACAGGAGGTTTCCAGCCATGGTTGAGCTTGGAAACGGGCGTGTTTTTCGCGGGGAATCGTTGTACTCAGGCAAGGCTGTAAACCAGAAACTGCCATTAGTCTATGGAAGAACTGCAGGTGGGAAAGGAGCAGAGTTTTGCAGCCATGGATCACTGTCTTCCAGGCTTGTTAAGGGGAGGATTGTTGTTTGTGAGAGGGGAAATAGTGCTAGAGCTGAGAAGGGGAGTGAAGTGAAAAGGAGTGGGGGAGCTGGGATGATTCTGATAAACAGAGAAACAGAAGGGGAAGAAGTTTATGCAGATCCACACTTCTTGCCAGCCACAGCTTTGGGGTTTTCAGCAGGCATTGCTGTTAAAAAGTACATTAATTCGAGCAAAAGTGCGACCGCTTCAATAAAGTTCCAGGGCACGGTTTATGGGAACCGTGCCCCGGTGATGGCTGCGTTTTCGTCTAGAGGGCCGAGTGCTGTGTCCCCTGAGATCATCAAGCCGGATGTGACCGCCCCCGGGGTGAACATCCTGGCAGCATGGCCTCCAAACATTGGCCCAACAATGCTCGAGGCTGACAACAGAAGTGTCGAGTTCAACATCCTTTCTGGTACTTCCATGTCCTGTCCTCATGTTAGTGGCCTGGCGGCCCTCCTGAAATCCGTCCACGGGGATTGGTCGCCAGCCGCCATAAAATCGGCTCTCATGACTACTTCTTACACCCTAGACAGCAGAAAATCTCCCATCACAGATTCTGTTTCCACAAACCCAATCTCAGCCACCCCTTTTGCCTTTGGCTCTGGGCATGTGGATCCTGAAAGGGCAGCTCATCCAGGCCTGATTTATGACATTTCCACTCAAGATTACTTCAATTATCTATGCAGCCTGAACTACAACTCCACCCAAATCTCCCTTCTGCTGCGAAAAAAATCCGCTTGTCCAACCCATCATCATCACCAGCCTGGTGATCTCAACTACCCTTCTTTCGCTGTGATTTTCGACAGCAGCAGCAGCAATTCCAGCCACACTTTCACAAGAACAGCAACGAATGTCGGGATTCCTGAAAGCGTTTACGCGGTTCATGTGATGGAACCAGATGGAGTTTCAGTCATTGTCAAGCCTAAAGTCCTGAAATTTAACAAGATGGGGCAGAATCTGAGCTACACTGTCAGCTTTGTGGCACAAAGAGGAAAGATTGCATCAGGTGGTGGCCATTCATTTGGATCACTGGTTTGGAAGTCCACAAATTTTACAGTCAGAAGTCCCATTGCAGTCATCTGGCAGTAGATTTGGCAAGAAGATTAGCAAGCATTGAAGCATTGATCATTATATTTCACCAAAGTTTTAAGGAATTTTATTAGTGTTTTCAATTTTTTTTTTAAATGGCAGCTTTAATTTAGCAAGTAGTTCTGATAGTCTTATAATGCCTAATTAAAGCTAACTGAAAAGCTAGCTGAAAACTGAAAAGATATAAGCTCTGAAAATTGAAGAGTTGTTAAGTTAGCTAATTATGCTTTAAAATGTTTGGTAAACTTAGCTTTTTGATAAGTTGATAAATGTAAGAAGACTAAAAAAGATATTTTTATAAAATTTAAATAGGTTTGTTTACCTAGTAAAATTTAACATTTTGAAATGAAATTAAAATATTAGCATTATGATCTAACATCTCATGATGAAGTAGCAATATTGTTGCGAATCTCCATCCCAATAGAGATCTCACTTAAATTTTCGTTGAATCTTGAAGTTCATTGAGCAATATGTAATCCGGATGTTGTTCAAGCACATTAAACATCATGTCATCATACAAATTCTTTCGAATATAATTATGTAGTGCAAATGTGATCATTATAACATCAACTTGGGCGTCCACACTAAACTAATCTGTGACATTTTAGCAAGTTTCTTTCATCCCTTCTTTAAATACTCTAAACGACCTCTCAATACAACTTCGAATAGAAGAATGTGCACAATTGAAACATATATATATATATATATATATATATATATATATATATATATATAATCTTATAAGACCCTATAAAACTCGTATGATTGTGTAGAATTTTAAGTAAGATTTTTTAGAGGTATAATCATAGTCATACAATCAAGTAGATCTCCATAGTTTGTCCGTTGCGGTGGAATAAATATAAATAACTTATTAAAGTTTAGAAACAACTTATTTTTAAAACGCTACCTAACGTTTCAAAATAAACTATTATTTTAAGTTACTAGCTTATTTTTAGAATATTACTAAACAAAACTTATACGGAGTAGTTTATTAGTAACTTAAAATAAGTTAATTATATTCAAGAATCAGATTTTTGGGAAATTAAGGAATTAAAGGCACATGCTGGTCATTTAATGTCCATGCCAATCAAATCAAATTTCTCAAACTAATTTTTTTTTTTCTTTTCTTGAAAACCTCTCAAACTAACTTTAACCGCCAGATCTTCCTCCTTCCTTATATCACTCAATCTCCTCTCTGTCATCATTCAATCTCCCTGAAACCCAGAAAACACAATAATCTATTCATAGGTACAAACAGTTTACATTAACGTGTGTGTATATTTAGTGGGGCAGTGTTTTTGGAAGCTCCTCCATTTCTCTCCTCCTCAAACCTTCTTTTATTGGAACATTCAGAAACAGGTTTGTAAATCGCAGATATTGCAATGGCTTTTTTCTAGCTTTTAGGGGCAAAACATTGATTTTGTTGCAATATATTTCAAGATTAAAGAATCCCAGATGGCATTTTCTGAGTATGTATGTTTGTTTTCTGCAATTCTGCAGGTTGGGTTTCAATTTCTGATATAAAAATGCAATCTTTTAGGAAACCCTTTATCATATTCTTCATATTTTGATAGGATGAATAAGAAAGTATGAATTTTGTGGGGAAATAGATAAAAGTGATGGAGAAATATAATTCACAATCTCCATATCCATATGGGACTCCCTATGTATATCCTCCTGTTCCACCTGCAAATCAGCCATATCCTCCTCCTCAAAGCTCTGGGGCTTATTCTCCATATCCTTATCCTCAATTCCATTACTATCCATACTCTTACCCCACTCCACAACATTCTGCCGGTTTTAACTATGCATACCCACCCAGAATTCCAACTACTCCACAAGCATCATCTAATAGTGGATACCAGCAGGCCGCTCTCGAATATGGATATCCTACACCACCACCACAATCTCACCACCCTGGTGTTGTTCCTTATCCATACAGCTCATACTATATGTATCGCCCGCCAACTCCTCCTCCAAGTTCTTCCCCTCAGCCTAGTCTTCAACATCAGGGCAGTTTCAAGTATGGTTCTTCATCCCCTCAGCCTACCCTTCAAAATCAGGCCAGTTTCAAGTATGGTCCTTCGACCCCTCAGCCTACCCTTCAAAATCAGAGCAGTTTCAAGTATGGTCCTTCAACCCCTCAGCGTACCCTTCAAAATCAGAGCAGTTTCAAGTATGGTCCTTCAACCCCTCAGCGTACCCTTCAAAATCAAAGCAGTTTCAAGTATGGTCCTTCAACCCCTCAGCCTACCCTTCAAAATCAAAGCAGTTTCAAGTATGGTTCATCATCCCCACAGCCTAGTCTTCAACAACAAGCCAGTTTCAAGTATGGTTCATCAACCCCTCAGCCTAGTCTTCAACAACAGTGCAGTTTCAAGTATGGTCCATCAACCCCTCAGTCTACCCTTCAAAACCAGCAGGGCCATCATTTTCAACAACCTGTGCCTCAGCAGCAGGCATTGCAGGGCCAGCCAATGAGAGGCAATGAGTTTCGCGGCCTCCAGAGACAACATAGTACACTGTCTACTTGTAGTTCTGTGTCAAATTATGATCATGGCATAGACAGCACCTCTGCTAGCTCTTCTGCTAATCCATCAATGGATGATCTGACAAATATGCACCTGTCTGATAATCGCCCTCCTGGACCCGGGCCTTATGCTTCACCAGGAACCATATATGCATATCCTAATTCATCTTTTTCAAGATTGGAGTCATCTTCTGTATCGCGAGCTGAATCCACATCTCATCATCGCCCTTCCTACTCAAACACATTTGTGGAAACTGGATACAATAAGAGTCTGCAGCTTATGCCATTCACACCTAAAGGCGCTCCTAAAGTCTTGCTCATACATGGGAACTTGGGTATTTGGGTATACGAGGCGAAAAACCTTCCAAACATGGACTTGTTCCATAAAACCATAGGGGACATGTTTAACAAACTACCAGGGAACATGAGCACCAAGATTGAAGGACACATGAACAGGAAGATCACAAGTGATCCCTATGTCACAATTACATTATCAGGTGCAACAGTAGGGCGGACCTACGTGATAAGCAACGATGAAAATCCTACATGGATGCAGCATTTTAAGGTGCCTGTTGCACATCATGCTGCTGAAGTGCTCTTCATCGTGAAGGACAACGATGTGGTAGGATCCCAGCTAATAGGCACAGTGGCAATTCCAGTGGAAAACATATATGGAGGGGGGAAAGTCGAGGGATTCTTTCCTATCCTCACGAGTAATGGGAAGCCATGCAAGACTGGAGCTGTTTTGAGTCTCTCTATCCAGTATACTCCAATGGAGCAGCTAAGCATTTACCACTATGGAGTTGGAGCAGGCCCCGAATACACTGGGGTTCCCGGGACGTATTTTCCACTGAGAAAGGGTGGAACAGTTACCCTTTACCAGGATGCACATGTACCTGATGGAGGCCTTCCAAATCTGAAACTCGAATGTGGGATGCAGTATGTGCATGGTAAGTGCTGGCACGATATCTTCAATGCACTGCGAAATGCCCGGAGGTTGATCTATATCACTGGATGGTCAGTGTGGCATAAAGTCAAACTCGTACGAGATGATTCTTCTGCAGAAGGCTGTACTTTGGGAGAGCTTCTCAAGTCAAAATCACAGGAAGGAGTGAGGGTGTTGCTTCTTATTTGGGATGATCCCACCTCAAGAAAGATTCTTGGATATAAAACAGTAAATATTTTACTCACTGGGATCTAATTTTGTCTCATCTTTCTAGTAAACTTTCCTCAGGTGTAGCTTTATATATATGCAGGATGGAGTGATGGCAACCCATGATGAAGAAACTCGACGCTTTTTTAAACACTCTTCTGTTCATGTTCTTCTGTGTCCCCGTGTGGCAGGAAAGCGCCACAGTTGGATGAAACAAAGGGTAATAAGATATATGTGATCTATTTTAGTTATTTTCCACATCTGTAATCTTCAATCTTTTTTACATGATGATCAGGAGGTTGGAGTAATTTATACTCATCATCAGAAAACTGTGATTGTGGATACTGAAGCTGCGAATAATAGAAGAAGCATTACTGCATTTGTTGGAGGGCTTGACTTGTGTGATGGCAGATATGACACTCCTGGACATCCAATATTTAGAACTCTGCAGACTGTGCATGCAGCAGACTATCATAATCCAACATTTGCAGTAAGTTTGAAACTAAAATATTTGAGAACTATTTGTAGATCGAATTGAATTAGCTCGCTGATTTGATTGATCCAATGTAGGGGAATGTGAGTGGTTGTCCAAGAGAACCATGGCATGACATGCACTGTAAAATCGTTGGTCCAGCAGCGTATGACATTCTGACCAATTTTGAGGAGCGTTGGCTCAAGGCTGCTAAGCCCCGCGGCATTAAAAAACTGAAAAAGTCATACGATGATGCGTTGCTTAGACTGGACAGAATGCCTGAAATTCTTGGTGTTTCTGATGCTCCATCCATTAATGCAGCTGATCCCGAAGGCTGGCATGTGCAGGTAAGGTCTGAGAGAGAGAGAGATTTAAGTGCAAGTTTTAACGTTGAGGGCACCAGTTTTTTGCATCCTTTTTTTGTCATTCTGATGCAGATCTTCCGCTCCATTGACTCAAACTCGGTTAAAGGCTTTCCTAAGGACCCTAAACGCGCCACAATGAAGGTCAGAGCATTGCAGATCAGACAAGAAAAAAAAAAAAAAAGTCTTTTGTTTTAATGATTGGTTTTGAGGTTTTTCTAACGTTGTTTAGCAGAACCTAGTGTGTGGCAAGAATCTCCTGATTGACATGAGCATACACACAGCATATGTGAAGGCGATTCGTTCTGCACAGCATTACATCTACATTGAAAACCAATACTTCATTGGTTCCTCGTACAACTGGAGTCAATACAAAGATGTTGGTAAGAAACATCTTCTTTGTTGATTGTTTGGTAATTGAAAGTTGAGATTCTGCATTTTGGCAGGTGCCAACAACCTGATACCATTTGAAATCGCGCTGAAAATTGCTGCCAAGATAAGAGCACATGAGAGGTTTGCAGCATACATTATCATCCCAATGTGGCCCGAGGGGAATCCAACCGGTGCTGCTACACAGAGGATTCTGTTCTGGCAGGTAAGGTAAAGTTTGCAACTTCAAGTGTTGTGGATTTTGAGAGAGATATATATGGCTTCAAGTTATGTATCTATCTGAAAGATGTTTATTGCTCCTTCAGACAGCATGTTATTAGTTGAGTGCAATGTTTGATTGATTCATGATCTGATGATGTTGCAGCATAAGACAATGCAAATGATGTATGAGACTATTTACAAGGCTTTAGCGGAGGTTGGGCTTGAAGATGCATTTTCACCCCAAGATTACTTGAACTTCTATTGTCTTGGAAACCGCGAGGCCCTGAGCGAGAGTGATGCATCAAGTAATGACACTAATTGGCCCGCTAATAGCCCGCAGGTTGGTTAGTTTTGAAGTTTTCTTAGCCTCTACCTCTACCTTCAATGAGTTGGACTTACCCAAGCTGATTGGCGGGATACCTTTATGGGGGTGTATTACCGATCGATCTTGAACTTTTGAGAAGGGTTCGAGTGCGAGCATACCTCTAATGGGTGATATTGCACATCGTCGACTCGTCGTTCTTAACATAGGGCCTATCGTGACCAAAATAGGCACCGTCGTTCACAACGCAAGGCCCTTTTGTGCCCTGTTGTTCCGGGGGACGAACTGGGCACGGCTCCTTCGAGGGCCTTCCCCGGACGTCGAACAACCAACTTAGAACTAACTAGTACGGACAAAGGGAATCCGACATTCCCAGCCCGTTCCCTGCTCAAGCAGTCCACCGAACAGCCGACGAGTTCAGTTAGAATTCGAATTCGAATTTTTGTGCCGTCCCCGACTGGCACGCGGCAACCCGCTCTCGCCGCGGGAGCGGCTCAAGCAGTCCGCCGAACAGTCGACGGGTTCAGTCAGAATTTGGATTTTTGTGCCAATTTGAATTGTGCACATCGAGCATTAGCTAAGCACCGAGCGGTTAGGGCCTGAGGAACACTAGCGAGGGACTAGTTCAGACGTTCAGTCTTGAACTAGCTCGTGACCACCTCTAATTCTTTATCTTTCTTCTCCTTTCAATATGTTATTTTGAATAATTAAGGTCAATCTTGCAGCCCCACTGAACGATGTGGGCCATATTATTCAACTAACTTGATGTGAACAGCAAGCAAAACTCTTGTCTCTCTCTCATATCTACATACACTCCATGGCTATGGTTTCAGGCACTGAGCCGGAAAAACCGGAGGTTCATGATTTATGTGCATTCCAAAGGCATGATTGTGGACGATGAGAATGTGATCATAGGATCTGCAAACATCAACCAGCGATCCTTGGAAGGAACAAGAGACACAGAGATCGCAATGGGAGCTTACCAACCTAATTACACCTGGGCAAGAAAACGATCAAACCCCCAAGGACAGGTAGCTATACATACAAACCATCAAATCCCCCTTGCAAACATTCATTGATTAATCGAATAATAATACATTTGCACTCTTCAGATTTATGGCTACAGAATGTCCCTGTGGGCCGAGCATCTGGGAGTCGTGGAGGACTGTTTCAAGCGGCCCGAGTCTTTGGAATGCGTTAGACGTGTCAGATCAATGGGAGAAGCCAACTGGCACCAATTTGCAGCTGATGAAGTAACAGAAATGAGAGGGCACCTGTTGAAGTATCCGGTCGACGTGGACCGGAAGGGCAAGGTGAAGCCTCTTTCTGGGTGTCCAATCTTCCCAGATGTTGGAGGCAACATAGTTGGATCATTTCTTGCCATTCAAGAAAATCTCACCATCTAATGTTTCATGTTTCTGTTCTCATGTTCTGCTAAAACTTCACAAACACAAAAAGATGACAGTTGTAGGGAATGCAGTTTTGTTTTAGTTTATTTCTGCAGATAGATAATGTACAGAGAAGAATGAATTTGGTTCAAATTGTACAACTCTTTACCAATCACCATTAATGTACATTTCAGAATTCAGAGAATCATCGATAAGAATGTAAACTGTAATTTAAGGATAAATATGATATAATGTGTAGTCTCGTTAACAGTTCAGATAAAACATATGATGTTATGTTCAAATTTCATATTATACTCATCATGTTGGTCAGTCAAAACAGGCGAAAGATTAATTTAAAAATAAAAATAAAAGATGCATTGCAAGATTATTATTGTTCAGGCAGCTATTGGATACAACAAAATTGAACCAATCTTAACTGCAAAAAGGGCACATAGAATGTCACCACATTTTGTTTTTTAACAGAGTTTACACATTTGCAGTATCCATATTAGGCGCCAGAGAAATAGGTGTAGCGAGTCTGGGATCCAATTATTAATTCAACAAGTTTTTCTGCACATGAAGACGATGTAAGTAAGGGAGAAGTTAGGGTAATTACAACATCAACCATATTCAGCATGTAGTTAATGAAAGATCAAGAGAAAGTTGGGAGTTTTACTTAATTGTATGTAATTTGTAATAAACAAACCTGTAAAAAATCCAACGATAGGAATAGGTTCTACTAGCTTTTGAGTGCTTTCAAGTCTTCGCCTGAAATAACCGACAAGCATTAGCACAATGTTCTTCAATCCAGCTAAAATAAAACAGGAAGTGCTGTACATATGAAAAGAATTGATAATTGGGATTTGGGAGAACATTGTTACCGGGTATATGTGCTGAAAAAGGGATCTCTCATAAGGTAAAGTGCCCACAATAATTTCCGCCTTTTTAACTGCATCAAACCAAACCACAGGAACTACACCCTTTTAGCATTAAAACAAAATCCCGAGGAAAACCTTTCTCAGACAAGAAGGACAAAATGGGACAAAAAAAATAAGTCATCACAGGAGGGTACAGGTTGCCTTGATCTTTTCTAGAACTCTATATATAATAGATTTCAAAGTGAAAAACAATTCTAACCTCGTCCTTCTCAGAGTTGGAAAGTTGAAACTGCTGGCTTTTACTCCTCTGTGGGCACAGATTGATACAAGAGAGAATGCCATTTCCAATGACATCGACAGCCAATGAAATGACCCAAGGAAACCATGATCGAGCCCCATACTTCCTTACCAATAATACATAAATAAGTGGTCTTAGTACAAACATGACCTCCCCTGTGACAAATAAGCTTCCAGGAAAACCTTTCTCAGACAAGAAAGTTGATAGACTAGGTTTGATCACCACGGCTGGAGTGACAATATGGATAAGAAGAAAAGAAAAGTAAATTAATATGCAGAACATATAATCAAACCACTTTACTTCAGCTGAGCACCAAATAAGAATTACTTGGTGGTGGAGGTTCAACAATAGTTTGTTGGTGTTGAACCCTACGCAACCATGTAGGCTCAGAAACCATCCTAGCATGTTCACCTAAACTGTTCAGGGCAGATAATGCCCTTCCTTCAAGATTAAATGAGTTCAGCCCACGAACATTATTTGGAATATGCATTTGTAGCTTTCCATTCCTTCCTTCTGGTCTTGGAACATCAGAATTGTTTTCAGGATTTTCAGTTTCCCCACCAAGCAAAAGCATTTTATATCCACTATTCCTAAACACAATCAACCTAACTAGTACCCTGAAATTCATAGAACAAATTATTTTAGACACATATTCAACACTGCATAACCACTAAATGAAAAAGTGTAGCACTTGGCAGAATGAAAATACTAAACCCCTTACTTGACAGCCTCAGTAATAGCAATGAAATTCCATTTTTTTTCTTCTCCACAGAGTTGTTCAGCTGCAACTTCAACCAAGGTCTCCAAGTCCTTCAGCAATGTCAGGCATAATGACAAAGGGAGAAAAGAAGGCTCTGAAGGTGGTGTGTGCATACGGGTTGGCGTTGTCTCAATAATATGCTCATTTATGGTAGTCATCATTCCCAGAAGTGATGATACTACAAAAATGTATGACAATGCAAAAAATGTAATTGCTATGTGGATAAAAAAGAGAGGTCGGGTAAATTTCAAGCTAATAAGGAATTAGCTTAGTTTCTTAAAATTCTAAATCATGTTAAGTGTAAACAGCATATATATTATTATTTTACAACTTTATGGAATGTATGAGATAAGAAATGTATTACTAATTAAAATGATAAGAATATTTTCTAAGCATAGATTTATAAGCATCAAGAAGAAGCTTAATGTTACCAAAAATTCACAAAACCTGCTTCTGGCCCAATCTCTGAATATCCAAACTCATCCGGAAGAAGCCATGTCAATCCCTGAAAATAAATTTGCACCCAATGAACAAGCATATATTAAGTACCTCTCCAGTTGGTTATCACATTCACATGTTACTCCATACAATATTAGTTACAAGTCCAAGCAAGAAGAACAAAACAAAAACATGCCAAGTCCTGTGAAAGATGCATTGCATGCCAACTCCACACACATTGCACTTAAAAACATGACCACTTGAAAAACAACTTTTTTCTTTATCCTTTCTAGTAAGTAGTAACTAATCAATAAAATATCACATGACAAATAAAAGAAGTAATTGAATGTCCCCCAAGAATGGAGAAAAGGTTGAGAAAAAGAATTCCATTTCATGATTTCCACAGTACTAGAATTTCATCTAATTAAACGGCTACAATATATACTTCAAGTCCTAGTACAAAGTCGTGATTTAATTCGGATTAGCTTTATCACCCTCTGTCCCTGTCCCTGTCCCTGTCCCTGCCCCCACCCCAAAATGTAAATTAGATAACAGAATATGTGTCAACAAAGCTAGATAACTAATAAGATATGGTTGAGTTTCCTAAATTTCAAAACTAAGTAATTTGGTTGACTTTTGTATGATTAATATTAATAAGATAGCATTAGCTTATATAATGCACTATTAAATAAGAAAACAGAATGTGCACTAACAAAGCTAGACTAGACAGCTAATGTGCAGTATCATAAAAAGATAAAAATTACAAAAGTACTCATCCAATTATTGAAGGCTATAACTAATGACTTGCTAAGAATCACAAATTCCTAAACCCAAAACAGTTTAGTCGTCATTACAAACAAGAAAACATGTCCAACAGAATCTATATATATATGAATTGAAATATGAAACAGTAGAGATCAGTGGAGAGGGCTTACATTAATTAGGGAACCCAGTTGACGAACAAAATCTCTATTACTTCTAACCCATCTCTTGTAAGCCTCCATAGTCTCCAAAGGTCGAATCTTTCGCTCCAAGAGCACTAATTTTTGCTCTTCTCCGCACTCAGTCGAAACTGAGCCCTATTGGGTTTGACCCGAAGCTGATGCCTCCTTGGTAATCAACCCCGGATACGAAGGAAAGGAAAACAATCAGCTCCTGCAGTGATTTCAGAAGCTTTTGTGCATACAGCATACCAGAAAGGTGCAGTAGTGGAGAGAAAATGGCTAAAACGGATGAACATAACCGCGATGAGGTTTGTCTTGTTCCTCTATGGGCTGTTATTGAAGCTTTAGGTCTTAATCGTGAACAATACAAGGGTTGCTTAATATTCCTAATAATAAATGTATGTTACTACTTGTTTTGAAATTTTTATTTTCCAAAAATTATAACCGATCCAAATAAGCATATATTGTAACTATTTATATTATGAATTATGATTTATAGCTTATTTTAAGCTATAAATAAATATAGGGTCTGACAAAATATAGAAAGTTTACTTTTTAAAATATAACTAGTAGCTTTTTAGCTTTTTTCTTTTCTTATTTTTATTAATTTACAAAAATAATATTATTTATTTTTCATTAATCAAAATTTTATTATTTTAGTTTATTCTTTTATATCTTTTTATACTTAAGTAATTCAATAATTAATTTTATTAAACATTTTAATTTTAATTAATTAACTTACTAATTACTAAGCTTCTTAACTTTCAAATAGCTATTTAGCTAGGCACGGCAAACATAGTCATATTTTTACTTTTTAGTCCTAAAATGATCATCTAGTTTTGCATAATATCTCTTAACTAATTCAATAGTTTAAAAAAAAAAACACATAAATATTTAATTAAAGTGATATTCTCCATGAAACGAACTTACCAGAACTCCGGTATAGTATGATTGCAGCAGCTCAGAGCGATCGCCGGTGAGGTTTCTCAGAGAATCAAATCTGCCCGAAACGGCGTTGCGGATGTCGGTAATGGGCAAACGGCTGCCGTCGGCTGATTTAACGGTGAGTATTATGCTCAGAGTGGCATGGAAAATTGGAAACTGAATTTAAAGGGGAACGAATCGACAATAATTGTGTATCCTGATTGATTCCGCCGGTTATAAAGTCGGAGTATGAGAAAATATGGTTGGGGCCTAGAAGTTCGCAGCGGAAATTTGATGAATTAAGAAATGATGGCAATTATATTTCACGAGGAACACATTGGGTAGGGTTGTTGGAATTCACTGGTAATTCTACTTGTTTATCATAGTTGTGAATCACGAAACTTGAGATATACATATTATATAAGGGTGTGTTTGATTCAAATACTTGGTAATGATAATGGATTTTGGTGAAAATTTTTTACATGTTTAGTTCAAATGATTATCAATATTGATGTTTAGTTATATATGGCCTTATAATTGAATAAATGTTTTAAAAATATAAAATTAAAAAATAAATCAATTTGTCCTAATATAAATATATAATACATCCAAAACACCAATATGGAGAAAAAAAATTAAAATCACCAATCTAAACTTAAAAATCAGATTACCAATAAGATAAAATGATACATATTTCTAGTTAAGGAATGGTGTTTTAAAATGTTATCAACCAAAACATTAACTATGATTTTGATTCTCATTTATGGTATATAAACAAATGAACCAAACATACCCTAATGGATTTTTAAGAAAATGAGTAATCAAATTTCATAGTTGTGTTTAAAAAAGTTGTCAATCAAACACTAACTATAATTTTGATTCTCATTCTTAGGGGGGTGTATTCAATCCAGACTTTTAAAGAGTTTTAAAGACTTTTAATGACTTTCAAAGTTTAGGTGTATTCAATTTAGACTTTTAAAGACTCATTAAAAGTCTACCGGTATTGGATTCAGACTTTTCAGAAGTCTTTAAAAGTATACTGGTATTCGTTTCAGACTTTTATAGAGTCTTTAAAAGTCTACTGGTATTCAAATATTTATCAACTTTCATAGACTATATCAGAAAAGGATTTCTGTAGACTTTTTCTTCATTAATATAAATAGATGAAATCCCACCCTCCAACCCCAAACTTTTCAATTTTCTTTACAGACTTTTCTCTCTCTCTATAAACCGACAAATTCTTCATCAATTTCTACCAAATTTTACGGTACGTTTCGAACTTTTCATAATACTATACTTTATAATTTATTTATTTATACAATTTTGTTTTGCTTTTCTTTCTTGCTGCTGTGAACAGCAAGCTCAAGCTTGCTATTCGCAGCAGCGAACATGTGTTGCAGCAAAAATATGCTGCGAACAGCAGCAGCTTGCTCCTGTTCGCAGAGATTTTAAATATGCTTAAATCTGCTGTGAATAGCAGCATCATGCTGCTGTTCGCAGCAGAAATCTTCTATAAATTTTTGTTGCAACTAGTAGAATTAATATACTCAAATTTTTAAAAATTCGTTTTATATAATTAACAAAATTTTATGTTATTATTGTTCATTAATTATTAATATATGTGCTTGTGTTAAGTTGAATTTTTGGAGAGATTCTTATTTATTTTATAGTAATGGGGATCAAGAAAAGAGTAAAGGTAAAAATAAATTTAATGAAAATTATGCATTGTGAGCACCTGAGGAGAGTAATGAGTTGTTACAACTTGAGTATATTAGTGAAAATTGATTATATTTTCTTTATGTATAATATATTCTATTTTTGTGACAATCAATTTTTTTTTTTTTTTTGCAATACATTAGTTTATTTATGGTTTATAAAAATATATTTTTGTAAGAAAATTATAAATAATGTATTAATAAAAGTTATGAAATGTTTGTAAGGGTGTATTCAATTTAGAGTTTTAATGATTTTTGTAGACTTTTTAATATGAAAAAGTTTTTAAAAGTCTATAAATGTTTGTCCTATGGATTTTTAAAAACTCTTACCAAGTTTATGAAAATTTAAAAGATTCTATGAAAGTCTACAAAATCTCTACAAAAGTCATTTAAAATCCATCACTTTAAAAGTTTTTAAAACTCTTTAAAAGTCTTGATTGAATACACCCCCTTAATGTGTAAACCCATGAATCAAACATAGCCTAAGTTTTGTCACTTTAAATTTGTTTAAAGATACCCTGTTAATCTCGTCCAATTAATTTCATATTCACTTGTAAAATATGTTAATATGAATTTCTCTTTTTGACATTACGAGAGTCATCTCTCAACTTAGCATAAGTAGGTAATATATTACACATAACTCTACTATATGTCAAACTTGAAATAACTATAAGAAATAAGGATCAAATTGGCCACTGAACGTAACCTGAAAATGCAATTAGGCCACTAAACGAAAAAAAGATGCAATTAGGCCACTGAACACTTCAAATGTATACAATTTCACCTGGTAGCAGGTTACCATCAACTTTAGCAGGTTACCTGCTTACGTGGCAGCTGAGTTGGCATTTTTAATAATTTTTAAATAATTTTTAATAAATTTTTTTTTTAAATAATTAGTTAAAACAAATTTATTTTTGTAAAAATTTTGTATTTATTTTTTTTTCAAATTTTTTTAAAATTTATTATTAAAAGTTATTAAAAATTATTTACAAATTATTAAAAATGCCAACTAAGCTGCCACGTAAGCAGGTAACCTGCTAAAGTTGATGGTAACCTGCTATCCGGTGAAATTGCATACATTTGGAGTGTTCAGTGACCTAATTGCACATTTTTTGGTGTTCAGTGGTCTAATTGTATCTTTTTTTCGTTTAGTGGCCTAATTGCATTTTCAAGTAACGTTCAGTGACCAATTTGAACCTTATTCCTAACTATAATATCAAACGGAGAGTCACACCTCCACTTTTCATGAATATTTATCGTCACCACACTATTTCTCACACTTTTTCATTATTCTTAAAATATGCTGAATAAGACTTGAAAGCCATTGAAATTTGTCACCATGAGCTAGCTTCTCGGTTTTGCCAATACCACATCGTCCAACATCCCATTGCAAAAGGATTAATGTTTTACGTATCTTTCTTATATTTCCCATTCTGATGCGACATCGGACATATAATTTAAAGTAATTCTGTATGTACTTTCAATTTTTACTTTCATTTTGTACTCTTATTATCGCATAAAAAACAATGATTTAGTGAGTGAGGTGGGGCTGGGACGCTGGGTCGAGCAAATTTTGACCCAAATAATTTTACACATTTTCCTTTATTTTTTATTTATTTGTTTTTCACAAAAAGAACCCAAATGTACAGCAGACTGGGAATCAGAAACCCCTTTCGGCTCTCGCTCTAGGGTTTTGAAATTTCCACAGAAGTCAATCTCAATATCGCGAGAGATGCAGCTGACTCTAGAATTCGGGTATGTTTCTCCCTTTCTGATGTGAATTATTATTACCTTTCTATGTATTGATTTCGTTAGAAGATGAAAAACACTAGCTGAAAAGGCTCACGTCCACAGAATGAATTTTGGAACTACTAATACGAAGATATAACTGTCAGAAATCTTGATCATGGTCCGCAATGGTTTTCTCTGCGAACTTTGAACTCTGGAAGTAGTAAAATATGATTCGATAGAACAATTTATGCTATAGGGCAGATACTTGAACTTCTGAAATGGAACAAAGTTGTCTCCTTTAAAAATTCTGTCTTTTATCTTCATGTTTTCTTTGCATTCCTGTCTGTTACCGTACCATGCTTAAGATGTTATGTTATTGTAGCTGGAAGTATATGAAATGGTTATCTTACATGTATAAGATGTTATTTTACTGCAGTTAGAAATAGATTAAACCTGAGCTTTTTGTATTATTTTTCATAAAGATATAATTTGCAGTCAAAACTCAAAATTGGTAAACAAGGAATTCCTTTTTGAAGTAATGTTGCCTTACCCAAAATCCCTTTAGTTAAAGGTTTACTTGGTTTTTTTCTATTCAAGCAAAGGAATTGTAAAAGTACTGAAGTGTGAGAGGCCTGAAAGTGTATTATAAGGGGCTATTACCTATCAAACATGTTTTCCCATACCTGCCACTTACCTGGTGGTGTCAAATTACTTTTTGATTTTACTTTGATCTGAAACCTTTCTGTGTTACTTTGATATAATTGTTCAGAGGCGGATTGGAGCTTCTTTGCAATTCCGTGAAGATCCATAATGTCAGTGTTGAACCACAAGATGGAGAGCAAAAGGTGAATCTCTTTCTCGTTGATAGTTGTTTAAATGATTATTTCATTCATTATCTTGTTCACAACTGACTATAGCGGTGGTTTGTTTCCTTTGCTTTCTTGTCAGTTAACAATGAAATACTTGCTTTCATGGGTTCGCACCAATTTGATCAAGGAGAGGCCTGAAATGTTTATGAAGGGAGACTCTGTGTAAGTAGTACTCAAACTGTACTTTATTTGGATTAAAACTACATTTGACATATTCTTTACAATGCAACTGCTACTTCCAAATTAGTACGGACTCTATTTTGACATCATATATTTGAGCTTTGCAATAATCTCCACGATGAATGTTTGTCCAGCTAGTGAGCTATGCCCGCATTGCAAAATATAGGATCGGGAATAACAAAATTTCCAATGTCAAAATAATGGAGACTATGATGAAGGAATAACAAAATTTCCAATGTCAAAATAATGGAGACTATGATGAAGGGTTTGAATTAGTTGTCATTTGCTTGTAGGAGGCCTGGAGTTCTAGTCCTCGTCAATGATACAGATTGGGAACTAAGTGGTCAGCTTGACACTGTGCTGGAAGAGAAGGATGTCATCGTTTTCATTTCCACATTGCATGGTGGATAATTTTGAAGCCTTTTCCATATTACTGGCTAAAGTATTTTTCTGGATATTAGTTGTAATCAATGGATTTTGAAGTTTTTTTTTTTTTTCTTTTAATAAAAAATTTGTGTTTTGCACTAGTTGACAATGTAGTACAAAGGCACAAAGCTATAAAATGTCTCTTTGATGAGGAAAAGCTGCTGAAACCACTGAATATATGACAATCTTTTTTTTTTTTTTTTTTGTTTTTTAATTTTTTTGTTTTTTAAATTGGCCTCACTACATACTACATTGTCTGACCAATGTTGCAAAAGGTGCTAGTCGGGCGTTTGGGGAGCGCCTAGGAATCCGAGTATATCGTATCCACTTTTAATCGAGCATATCGTATCCACTTTTCCCACTCAGAGTTAGGAGTGGAGTTGTTAGTCTGTTATAATCCCGAGTGGCTAGGAATTGTTAGTATGTTATAATCTCTCAAACTAATCAATTACATATGTTAGATGACTAGTTGAGTGCATGACTGAAGAAACATAGAAGATGAGTAGCCGTGTAGGCAAAAAAAAAAAAATCACTCAGCTGAGTTGAGCGCCGACTCCCTAGGATGCCTAGTCAGTTAGTCGGTCAGCCGACTAAAAGCGGTCTAGAGCTGAAATCGCCTTGGCCTAAGGGTGCTTAGGCCGATTTTTCCAACACTAGTTTGACCAAATAAAATCATTTATTGTTTTTGAAAGAGTGCTAAAAAGCTAATAATAAGTTTCCTATTAACAAATGAATGAATGATACACAACTAGTAATAAGTTCCCTTCTGACCCCCCAACTTCTCAATCTCAAACCTTTTGTTTCCCTTTTCTAAGTGGTTCCAGTTCTGCTTCAGCAGCTTTCAATTGTTCCTTTAGTGTGGATACTCTGTATTCCACCTCCTCTAATGAGCCTCGAGCCAGGGCAGGCCGGTATGGTGTTCTAAAATTACTTGAAAATGCCTTCAGAGCATCAACACCGCAGACCTAACAAAAACTCCATGGTTAATCACAGGCAAAGAATTCGAATAGATTTGCTTCTGCAGCCATGCCAAGAAACTTTAGGTACAAGAACCAGCCGGTAGAAAAACATGGCGGGAATAGTTCAGTATATGGTACATTTATAAAGTATTTCCATATGGCTGATCAAAATACGGGAATGTGCTTATGAGAATCTGAGTACCTCTTGTGGCAGCAAAGGCAACTTGGTAATGTTGAAGTCGTCGTATAACATGTAGAACTGATCCAAGTATTTTTGTTGCATCCGTGTTCTAGCCTGGAGCAACTTTGACTCAATAGCTAAACACAGTTAAAAGGATGTTGTCTTGAGTGTGCTGGAGTAAGCTAAAATGTTGAAAAATATGGCAAACATGCAAAAAGTACCTTCTTCGTCGAAAATCACTTGGTTAATAATAATGTTATGTGTATCAATCTCAAATCTGGTGAGTTCCTGCACAAGCCTCTCAGTCTCGTATAGAGAGAGGAACTCCGGAATACAGACACAAACAAATGTTGTCAAGTCCTGTCAAAAAAGGCAACGATGAATCTAGAGGACTTTAAAGAAATTTGAAGTTAATTTCCTTGTATTGTTTTTGGGTGACAGAGAAACTCGCAGACACTACCCGATGATGTGTATTAGGTAAACCCCACAAACCATACAGAAGAGGTAAATCGCCCTAGGAGGACTTGTGCAAGATGGTGTTGGCAAGAATCAAACTCGTGACCTTAAGGTACGAGAATCATGTTCCTTCCGCTCAGCCATTTCCTTGTATCTTTACCATTATAGTATATAGAGATTACTAACATTGTGCAGCCATCTATTAAAGAGACACTAGATGAGATAGTGTAATAAAATATTGAGCGTAAAGTAATCTCCCAAAGAGTTCTTTAGGCGTAAAGAAAATGACCATATTCTAAGTGATCTTTTACCGGATCTTTGAACTGCCTGTTAACTTGTTGAATAAGATCTTTCATTCCCTCAAGCCTTCCAAGTATTGCATCCTCACCAAATTCATCGCCAACTCCAAAAAGACGACCCATCTGCAATACAAAATAAATTTCACCCGGTTCAAAGTAACCATATATTAACAGTCGAATGCATCAAGGGAGGCTGAGAACCTACCTGGCTCAGCAAGCCACCGAATTTACTCTTCAAACTCATCATTTTGACAAGGCCTTTCTCTAGTGTTGCCGGAAATTGTAATAATCGGAGTGTGTGGCCCGTGGGTGCAGTGTCAAACACTATAACAGAGTAATCCATGGTTTGCACTAACCTGTAAACGAAACCACAATAAAAAGTGGATAATGTAGATTGATCTTATCCAATCTTGTTTGACTTACAATCTAATCTAATAACACTTGGCACTTCAAAAACACAATAAAAAAGTGGATAATACAAGCAAGACACTTACTTTAACATCTCAGCAAAACTCATTGCCTCATCAATCCCAGGAATGGCATTTGCCAAATCAGACAAAAACCCATCCATTCCAGCTGAACTACCTGCCTCTTCCTCCTCGACATTCGGATCAACTTCCTACAGAGCAAATTTAGGTAAAATACTAGAAATCCCAACTAGTTAAACTCCATTTTCATACTCCCTAATCAAGATTAGTTGAAAAGCCAAAAAAACGAAAAGGGGAAAACCAAATTGGACTCCCTAACACCAACACCAATCAGCCATGCTAAGGACTAAAAAATGTTGGAACCCCTAGTATGACTCCAACATTAGTACCCCAACAGCAACAGCAACAAAAACTTCATCTAAACAAATCAAAACTTGGAAACAGTGAAATGTTTCATCAGAATTTCCAAAAAGATCACACCTTTAGCTTCTAATATTCAATCCAGGCATAACCCAAATCCAAGAAAAGGAAATTAAGAGAATGGGTGTTCTTGTTCTCCTAATACATAAATGAAGGGAAGAAATGCAGAAAGCATATGAATAATGAGGAATGATGAAAGAGTGTGTACCATGGCATAGAGATTGGTGAAGCCATTGACAAGGGTAGGAGCTTTGGTGAAGCGCTGTTGGAAGGCGTCGCTAAGGTTGTGGGCAGGATCAGTGGAGATGATAAGGACGGAGGGTCGAACCTGAGAGAAAAGGACGCCGAGAATGGAGCTGCATGTGGTCTTCCCAACACCGCCCTTCCCTCCTACGAACACCCACTTCAACGTTTTTTGGTCTAAAACGTTCTGCACTGATCCTTCTGGGGAATCCTTCGAAGCCATGGAATCGGCTCCCTAACTCTAACTCTCCTCTTCAACGTGGACACTTTCTTTTATACAAGAAGCCCAAACCCAAATACAGAATTCCCAATCGTCCTAGGACATTACTTCTGAGTTGGTAGCAGAGATCCGATCATGCCTCCTTCCACACTTTCGCTTTGGCAGGTACTCTATTTTTGTCCCTTTTTCTTTTAAACAATTTTATTTTTCTTTTTTCCACCCCACTCAGGAAAATTACAAGCCTAGGCTCACCAGGCGGTCTTACACAATTTTTTGTTCATTTTATAATTTTAGTCGCTATGCATCTTTCTTTTAGCCATTGCAGAATAAATCCTTACAAAAAAGTCGTGATTTTTGGCGCTGTCATAATTGGTTCATAGTTTTGTTTCTCGAAAGACAAAATTTGTATTTCATAACTTTTTTATAAAATTAATGGGTGTTCTTACATACTAATAAAAAGAGAAATCCGCACTTACTATCCGATGATGTGCACGTCCCGTCTTGTGGCTCTAGCCAACAAAGGATTACTATAAAGTCAACCGGTTTAGGTTTGTCCATAGTTAGACGGCATAAATCAAAAAGACTAATACACCGCTCCTGCTGGCAGTCAAACTTGTAAACTTGTAACTCTAGCCAACAAATGACAATTTTGATTTTGAATGACAAGGAAAACCTCCAGCCACTATCTGAGGGTGTGTACGTCTCGCATCTCTAGCCAACAAATGACAATTTTTATTTCGAGTGACAAGGAAAATCTGCAGCCACTATCTGAGGGTGTGTACGTCTCGCATTGCGATTCTAGCCGACAAATGACCACTATAAGGTCGACCGACCTAGGTTTGCCCATAGTTGGACGGTGCAAACCAAGAAGGTTAATAAACTGCTCCTGCTAAGACCTAAGAGTGGAACTTGTAAATTTGTGGTTATTAAGTCAAAAGTCTGACTAACATAGTTGGGTTGTGCCGTTAAATTAAAGACATGCCAGAAATGCAGAAATGAAGTAGGAGCATAAAGGCCATACTGCATCATTGGCAGCTCTGAAATTAGCAGATTCTGTAACATGTAAAACACACACATATATATATATATATATATATATATACAAAGACAAAAGGAAGGTTACATAGATGCAAGGCCATCAATAGAGGGAATTGTAGGTGAAGCAGGTGGCTATGATGGAGAACACACAGATGACTAATGAAGGAAGCAGGGTGACATTCAAGAGCCTGCTCATCCCCCAGTATCCTGCCAGGGTGATTGTGCCATCTGCAAAAACCCGAGCCAGCGTCCCAGCTTCTGTCGAAAGCAACCCACCATTAAAGGTCCCTCGTGCCAGGCGCGATGACATCACCCGAGACAGGAGTGACAGGTTAACGCCTGCACCACCATTAACGAAGAAGAAATTTTTAGCAAGCTTGAATCAATGCAGTTCTGTAATTCAACTGGGAATATTGATTATTGAATACCTTCAAGAACTTCAGCTGATACAAATGTGATCAGAGCTGAGCAGACATATTGGGGGACTGAATAAGGGATTATGACTTGGAAGCTCAGGATTATGCCCAAACACACCATAATTTCTGATGCCAGCAGAACTTGCCTGCAAGTATGCATCATATGAGACCTGCAGATTGATCCTCAGACAGACAAAAAACCAGACATCATAAACTTTACCTTTCCTCAAACATGTTGCTGAGGTAGCTTCCGACAAAAATGCTCACAGGAAGAACTGTCACTCCGAGAAATGCCAGGAAAATCGAGACATTGCTCGACGACCATATAAAGTAGTACGTGGTGATAACGCTTGATTCTGCAAGTAGAATCTCCATTGCATACTTCAACATGAAGTATATAAGTAGCTGAACCTGTTCAGAGAGAGCATACACAATTCACATGATAGAAATTGCAGAAAGAAAGTTAATAAAATGATGTTTTTTTTTAACCTTTACAGATGGAGTGAGCAGCCTATATGCAGCCATGACAGATGTGACAGGTTTCTGGATTTCCTCAGCAGACTCTTCGCTTTTGTCACATTCTTCATCTTCATCTTCATCATCATCATCATCAGCTCGTTTCTTCTCACCCGAACTCAACAGCAACGGCTGAATAACATCGTTCTGTACTACACCGTTTTCAATCAGTCCTGTTACATATGTTGACAGGAATTAATTAAACTCGGGGAAACGAAACCAAACAAGAATCAAAGTTCTAGTAAGATGGCACACCATTATTGGCTCCTAGATGCACACCATTCTCTTGTTCTTCCTTTGGAGGCTCTCGGAATGAAATCCACAACCATAACAGGTAGAAAAGCCATGCTGCAGCCATAACCCATCCCGGTAAAGTGTCTTGGTTGAATGTAACATTGAAGATCTTAATGTTAGCTTGAAGCAAGCCCGCAAGCGCGGGCCCACACGCCATTCCAAGCGCACTGGCACTGACAAAACCCGCAGACGCCTTCATTCTCAGATGAAGAGGAACACAGTCGCTGATATAGCGCCTATTGACCGCCCTTGCAGATCCCAGCCTGAAAACTGAGAAATATTACTCCATTTTCAATGGTTTTAGTTTCTTGAGTATATTCATCTCAAAAAATTCTTACCCACAAAAGACACGACCAATTAGGAGTATGTATATAGAATTGAAATCATATGCCAGGGCATATAAGGTGTTCCCCACCAGAAGAACAGTGCTGCTAAAGATAAGAGGCCTCAGGTATGATTTATTTGACCAGGCACTAAAATACACTGAGGAAAACACCTGAGCAACAGCCATGGAGCCTATCACAGCACCACAAACAGTGGCTGCAGCTCCAAGACTCATGGAGTAATCGTCGGCTGTTGGCACAATAATGTATGTATTCACCATATACAGAAACGTATTTGCCAAGTTCAAAACGAGCGACATGAAGTGATATCGGTCACTGATTGCATGATCCTCTGATACATTTGGCAAATCTTCGGGCAAAATCAGTGCATGTTTCCCCAAATATTGCAGAAAATTTGTCGAATTCGTTAGCATGTCCACAGCTGCTTTAATGTTGTCAATGGTAGGATCCTGCATTGAGTATAGTTTAGTCAGCATAATGCACTATGCTTACTTCCAAAGGGTCATCCATCCTGTGACTGCTGTAAGTCAAGCACGCTTTAACAACTGGTTGTCATATCCTACTTAAAATCAATTGGTGATAAGTAGATAGACATTAATCATTTAACAACATCCCTCCATGGTAAGCCACAACGTCACGTCTAGAATCACAGAACATATTTGGAAGTTCAGTAAAAATCTGTTTTTACTCTAGTAAAGTTACAGAGGGAATTAAATGGCACTGAAGTAGAATCAATGTATAGATATGAGAGAAAACCAGAAGAGGCACAGAGGGCTGATCATATATCGAAACATAGCTCCCACGTCGTTCTTGGAGATCCACAAGATTGTGAGATATGGTCCCAACAACTGCTGAAATTCCCTGCAGATACATGACAGAAATTCATGTTAAAACAAACAACTGAGGAACATTGAGTTTGTCTCATACAGGGATTAGGAATATGAGTTTGTGCAGGTAGATTCATTGTACAGGGAGCCTATAACCCCTATCACCATCACTATGAATTAAAGGAATAAGACGTGACTACGTAAATCTTGTCTTCTTTACTTTTCTGCCATTATTATTATTTCTTGTTCTTGTTAATCTCAACAGAACAAATGCATATGCACAGCAAACAGAAAACTAGAGTTTAAGGATTGTCTTACCACATGTTTAAAGATCTGTCTTAGCTGGGAATAAGGATGGTTGGCTCGAGTCTTGACATAGTAACTAGTGAACTTGTACCCACACCTCTTGTCAAACTTCTTCAAGATCTTGCGCAAGCCGATGGCATTCATCTCAACAAAAAACAGAAGTTTTAGGAGATCCCTCCCGACGTCCCGGTAAGATTCTTGCAGCTCGGATACATTATTCAAACCATCTACTTGCTGCAGAAGGGAGTCCTGTTGTTCCCCCAGATTGGATAGCCTGTGTGCTAGTTGACCTTGTTGTTCCAACACAAACAGGACAGTCTTTTCAATCTGAAATTATAATAAACAACAAACCACTAATCTATCTAATTAACAACACTAAATACATGATAACCTGCAGTCTTAATTGCTATCCACCATGTTCATCTGTATAGATAGCTACCTGCTTATCCAGAATCCTGGAGAAATCCTTCAGGACAATCACGCGATTTTCATCAGACTCGTTAATCTGCCTCACATATTGCTTCACTTTCTTCTTCATCAACTTGTAGTTTATGTAATACCTGAAGGACTCATACATAACCACAAAAACAGAAACATTAACCATGATCCAAGTACCCTTGCATTTCACTGCCATAAAATCTTGAAAATTCACATAAATGATGCATTCACTGCAGTGTTTGAATGCATATAGAAGCAGAAATCATCTGAAATAAACATGATTGATTTTAGGGAAAATTGCATTTTTGGTCTTCCAGTTATAGGCGTGGTATGTTATGCGCAAAATGGTGAGTTTAGTCCTTAAAGGATCAAATCTGCCACTTTATTAAGTGACATATTGGACTTAATAGTTGATCAGGTCTGTAAGTCTGTATCACAGGTATAACTTAATGACCAAAAATGATAGAAATAACATATGTTCCTAGGAAATGTTTGTGTTTGATCATCTAAGGTTAGAGCTACATACATACCCTTGCCATTCCAGAATCTGTGTTTCTTTCAACTTTTTCCCAAAGGCAACCATCCTTCAAGTAACCAAAACTGCTATCCTGAAAACAAGAAAATTAAACTGACAACATATGTAAGCAGAACTGCAGAATTGAAGCAAGATATTCAATAAAAAAAGGCAAAAATTTGATTCCTTTCTACTTCACATTTTCCAAAACTAACATAGATATACCACGTGTCCAGATTGTCTACATTAAAGAAAACCCGTTCAGATACACATGCATTATTTCAGTAATCTGATACTAAACAATGGTAGGTAGTAGAATATTCAAGAACCCATTTTTCCCCTTCAATTCAACACTTGCTATATATAGTTTAATGACGAAAGGGCAGGACACCTTTGGACTATGCGGTACGTAGTAATGACAGTGCGACACGCCACAACCATGGTCCATGGACTATCAAGATCAAGTGCGTATAGTACGTAGTATAGGGTTATTGGTACGAGGATCTCCGGCGTAAATACGAGGATGTGTCGCATGAACATCGGGATTAGTTTCGGTGTACCACCACGTTCCATTATATATATATATTAACTGCAATACCAATATCTCCATCATGTTTGTTCCGTGATGTTTGCGCACTATGTTTCATGCACTCACATGCACATATTAACGCTACCCAATATAACCAACTAAGCTAGCCCAAAGGGAATCATCACTTATGGAAATCGAATCCGGGTTATTCCGGAATTCTTCCCCCACAAAGAGAGCTCATTTACCACTTGAGCTACCCTATTGGGTTAAATCAATAAAAATGATAACATGTTTTTATTTTATGAATCAATTAGGGCAAGTCATCGTGTCACTAAAAGCTAAAGAATGATTACTCTTTGAAAGATGCATGTCTTGGTTCTATATCAATTATGTTGAAGGTAAAGTTGAGTTGTCATTTCTCAAAATCCGGCCAATCTCCCTAGAAGATGCAACACATTACACTGCACATATAATACATAGCTTTTTCTTTTAGTTTATATTTTTTGTATGGTGATTATTTTCTTTGCTTTATGAAAAACTTTAACGTTGCTACACATCTTTAAGACTGTAGTAGATAAATTAATGGACCTTAAGAAGGTAAATCAATTTAAACAAACTCTTTGATAATTCAAATGTGGATATATACTAAGTGAAGCTTGTCCATGAGAACTTAATCAGAAATTAAAGTAAATATATCATACATGACCAGTTCAACTGATAGGTGAATAATCAATACTAATTAAAAGTTGAATTTGTAAATTTCAGCTCAGCAGGGCCACAACTCATGATGGTGATTATTTTGTGGCCCACTGTTGGGATGATTTTTGGCAAATTAAAGTAAAAATGATATATATGCTGGTTGGATAGCGACGTCCATAGCTAGACAAAACTAAAACAATATATGCATGACACGTGGATCCACGGTATATATATTATATTCCAGTCATGATATCCACACGTGTCTATCTTGGATTGGGATACACGCAAAATCTAACCAAACTTTTATAGTGCCTTGTGAATTTCCCTCGCATGTTTATAACCAAATACTAAAAATTAAAGTAATCAGATTGGGTAATATATATATTTAAAAGAAAAAAAAAAGAGAGAAATATATAACATTACTCAAGAATACATGAAAGTAATTGTATGTAGGCCAGGGTGTTTTGAGGTTGAAACTTATATATATATATATATATATATATATATATATATATATATATGTATGTATGTATGTATGTATGAACGGCCAACCAAAAGAAAAGCCGATTGAAAACATGCATGCATAATGTAGAGTAGTACGTAAAGAAAGTTGAGTTGTTACGTACAAGTACTGCAGCTGAAGATGGATTCTGGATGAGTTGAGTTGCAGCCACCTGTAATTAGGAGCTGTGAAAGAAGAGCGAACTGCAAGCTGCACTGGAGTACATACATGGACAATATAATGGACTATATATATAACATGTGCATGGACTACTATTATTCCAATTTTTTATTTTGTCAATTCATAAAATCATAATTAATAAATGTAGTGGGGAAGGGGAAAATGGGTTGTTTTCAAAAGGTCCTTTTAAGCTATCAAGGGCCACATATAATTCTACATGAAAACAATTAATTACAAGCTAATTAAACATCCTACACCTTGGATAGTTAGTATATAAACATGTTACTAATGCAACTCTAAGCTAGATTGTCAATCGTGTGTCGTATTGAAGAATTTTGGATCATGTTTTTTTCTTTAGGTAAGAGTTAAAATTCTGTTGGTACGATCTGAACCAAATTAAATCTAGATTAGTCTGGTGTGTCATGTTAAAGAGCTCATGAGGGCCAAACTTTTCATAGTGGTGGTAATACCAGATATTGTACAGTGCTATATATATAATAGTCGTTACATTGGCTTGGTCGATGTTATTTTATTCACAAGCTAAGGTTCCAATTAAAAATTATAATTGAAGAGAATTGAGTGGTTGCTTTTATTTTAACTAGACATGGTTGAGAATAAAGTTTAGAAGTTGGGGTGATTGGAAGGATGAGGTGATCTGAGGCAGGTAGGTATGTGTAACTATGAGCAAGACACATCAATTAATTATATTCAAACAACCTGAGGTGGTGGTCCATTCTTAACAAGCTAGATAGGAGTAGATTCTACTGAATATACTCCCCCGACCCACATATATATTCCTCTTTATTCGTCTGTACATGTATGCATGCCAACAGACAATAATAATATAATCAAATCAAACTCCATATCTGATTATCTGATCTGTACCAATAAAATTAAAATTTAAAAAAATGAAAAGCATATATATATGTGATCTGTTTTGTTTGAAAGGTTTTGATGTTTTATACATGGCTTTCTCCACTCTTCCAAATGTTCCCACGAACAGCAACCTTAATAAATTAATTGCCAAGCTCCTTCATCCAATAATACTGACTAAGATAATGGTTTTAAAGGTTGGACGATGGAATCATGTTTGACATGTTTTGTCTTCACTACTGACACTAGGCTTTTCATAAGCTAGACAATGGTTATTACAAAGTCACTAAACAATGACCATTATGTTGACTAATTTCTTGTTGATAAACTTTATAGTTTCTGGAAAAAAGATCCGATCCAGCTAAGCTCAAAATAGTTATAATATATAGTTTAATTTGCAATTTAGGTTCGAATTTAGCCAAAATAATATTTATAGTTTCTTTAAAAAAACACGATCAAGCTAAGCTCAAAATAGTTATAATAGTTTAATTTGAACTTGATGAGTTGGATAAAAAATTACAAATATAGGTTTGAACTCAATTTGGTTGGTTCAAATTTAACCAAAATCAAATCAAATTTTGACTAAACTAGGCGTTTCAAGTATTGCTAAGTGAACTTCTTGTTTTCTAGAGATGGATAAACATACATTTTATGGGCCTTGATTACCAAACAAGACTTCAGCATACTGACCCAATAGGCCTTTTGTACTGTTATAAATGTTTGGACTTTGGATCATATTAGTTACTATTTATTTATTTGTTTTCCCCTTCTTTTATCACAAGCAAACTACAATTTTATTTCTAATAAACATATATATATATATATATATATATATATATATATATTCTTTAATTTACAAGAAAGTCCAAAGTTGTTATCTAAAAGTGCATTATGAGTAACCATAACGAGTTAAACCAGTCCAAATTACCTAGTCACTCCAACATACAAGGAGTTAAACTTCTTTTTAGGGTGAATGTGGAGTTATGGATAATGTATAATGGGTTAAGATTATGTTCGGAAAAAAAAGGTTATAAAGAAGTGAATGCAGAAGCTAGTAATATTATATTATATTCACAAAGAAAAAAGAAATAAAATATAGCAATATGATAGCTACTGCTCTGCTGGCAATCTATGACATGGTTGCAGCTTGCCGGCCGGAATCACTGCATACCTAGCACTCAAAATATAACTGGACTGACAATATTCCTCAGACAGTGAAACCTATCTAGTACATACAAAAACAAAGATTCTAAACAGTAGTATAAAGAAGGTTTAGGAAATTAATAACTAACTAATTAACTGCTCATAATAACTTCATCAGTAACTTCCTAGATTTCGTTAAACTAGTAATCTTGATAACAAGACCTGGGAAAACATCATCGAAATCGTTGATCTGAGTATTCTCTTCAAGGATGAAAGGGTCGTTGCACTTGTCGCTGATGGTCTGCAGCGTTTCCCCTTCCTTAACTACGTAGATTTCGTCGCACGCCGCATTATCATCGTTCTTGTCGTCGCTGTTGCCGCTTATGTAGCTCCCGGAAGCCAGCGTTTCTCCGGCGACACAACTCAACGTTACTGTGATGATAATCAGGAAAAGCAGCAAGGAAGAAGAAGAAGAAGAAGGTTTGGACATGGCGGAAAACTAAGCTATGGTTACGTTTGTGTGGATCGGAGATGGAGAATTGAAGAAAGAAAGCTATGGTGGGTTTATTATATAAGTGGAGTGAAGGGCGGGCGGGGAGATTTTCATGGGAAGTGGAGGTGATGGGTTGAGGGAGGTTACTATGTATGTAGTGGTAGATGTTTTAGGAAGGTGGTTTCTCCATCTTTTCTGATTTCTTTTTCTTGAGAAAATTCCATAAAGGAGACCAGGCAGGGTTTAATTGTTGACCAAGGTTTACAACATGGGATTTGAATTCCTCCTAGGTTGCTCATTCTTTGGCGGCGACTTTACTCGTCAAATACAACAATTCAATGTGCGAATTGAAAGAGATGGATGCATGGCTAAAGGGAATATAACATAATTTTTGTACTTAAAAATCTAACACTAAAATTTCGAGACAAATTAAGTATTAATTAAGGTTTTGAACTGAAATTAAAATTGAAAACTCACAAAATTAAAGAATCCATCAACTAACTAACTGTATGCTTTTGCAACCGTACCAAAACCTTCTTAACATCTTTTCCTTTTCCTTTAGAGAGCTTAAAGTAGTCATGTTCCAGTAATTGTTGTGCAGTTGGTCTCTTCTTTGGATCTTTACGAAGACATTCCTTGATTATTTCTCCAAGTGGACCGGAAAGCCTCTCAGCGTCGCCGCCGCCGCCGCTGCCGCCCGGATTCCGACCACAAAGTGGCTTCATTCTGTAAACATATTTTCCTGATGATTTGGGAACAATAATGACGTCGTTGTTGATGAATTCCTGCAGTCCGTTGTGAGTTTCAACAGGAATCTCCCCGAAAAGAAGCTCCAAGATTAGCAATCCAAACGACCAGATGTCGGCCGCCGTCGCGTACGGCGGCAGGCTATTCCCCGGCTCCGTCTTGCACTCCCGCCACGGCCCCGTTACCTCCTCGCACGTCAACGAACGGAACGCCAACTTCACCGTCGTCGTCTCCTCGTCCATGTATATGCAACCGGCGCAGACATTCCCATGCACGTTGCCGCCGCCGCCGACGCGGTGGATGCAATCCAAACCCTCCAAGATTTCCCGGAGAACAAAGGCGACCACCGGCTCCGGCAACCCGTTCCTAAATTCCGACGACATCATCATCATGGACCTCAGCGAAACTCTCGACACCAAAGGCATGACTACCCAGAGGTTGCCGGGTCTGTCGACCCCCGCCGCAGTGAAGGAAACGTGCGGCGCCACTAGATTCTTGTGGACGCAGCGCCTCGCCAGCGCATATTCTTTCATAAGCTCATAAACGCAGTCGAATTTGTGCGTGTTAACGACCAAAACCTGAAGCGGAACCTCCGATTTAGGCGACGCCATTGATGAATACGTCACTTTCAGCATGACGGCGTTTTGCGTCGAACGGAGAGTCTCCACCGGAGTATATCTGTGTTCTTCGCGAGAAAACTCCATAGCTCGCTTCAACTTGAGTTGAAAAACACTGCTTTCTTTGCTTGCAAATCCGATGGCTTCAGTCTCGATCCTCTGGTTTATTAGTTATAGTGTATTAGGTTAATTAGATTTCTATTAGTTATAGTCTTAGGTTAATTAGATTTCTTCTCAAACTAGAATGCTAATTGTATCAGTGTTTCTATTGATATATAATTTGATTTCTTCTCAAACTGGGATATGCATTCTTCCAAAGTTTGGAAGAATGACCAGGGATCGAGTCTCACCAGCGGCAGTGTGGAAGCAACCTCTCAAAGTGATGGCTCCTTGTACGCAGTGAGCACCGATCTAGCCTCTGTGATTAATGTTCAGTTAAGTCACCATGATTTACAACCTCCCACCGCTCTGTCGGACCGGGGTGTGAGGGACCCTTAGGGTTAGGGTTCAACCTTTTTAGAAGAAACTGGGATATGCATGAATTGATGGATTTGATGCCTAATAATAATAATAATAATAATAATTATTAATATTAATATTAATATTAATAATAATTATTATTATTAGCACAAAGTCCAATCAGCATGTAACCCCGAGGGTAGAAATGTATTTTCGAAACACGAAACGGCAAAAGCACAAATAGTGAAATTAGTGAAATACTAAGGCGAAGGCGCGGAGCTATCTGGTAATTAACTACCAACTAGATTCTGATAACTGTCATGCCGCTTCTCCTGCGATCCCTCCCGCCACTTCCTTCCATTTCCCCTTCCAAACCCAACCCTTCACCTCCGGCGCCGGCGCATAATACCGGAATTCCGAAGGCCACAACCTTAAGAATACGAGCAATCTCGAAACCGAAACCGAATCCGAATCCGAAGGCGAGCAAACAAGAGGATGATTACCATGCCACACTCAAAGCGCTCAACTCGAAAGGGAGATTTCCGCGGAAATCACTCGGCCAGGTGAGCAATAATTCGAACTATTGATGCGGGCGTGAGGGTTCTTTGGTTAACTCACAGGGGCATTTTGTCGAACAATGTGATGGCCATCATTGATTCAACCGACGTTTCTCACTTGAACTGTTAATTGCAGCATTATATGCTGGATTCTTCGGTAAACGAGCTGCTTGTTGCGGCTGCAGAGGTGAAGGAAGGAGATATTGTGCTTGAGATTGGGCCTGGCACTGGTTCCCTCACCAATGCTCTTGTTAACTCTGGTGCCACTGTTCTGGCAGTTGAAAAGGTCCATTTTCTAAAAAAAGCTTTCTTTAGTTGGTTTCCTCTGGCAATTTCTTCTATGTGGTTTTTGAGTCACGAGCAAAACTCATAGCCACTACTCGAGAGTGTGCTTGTTACCTTAGCCTATAGGATCGCAAAGTGGTAAATCGGTCTAGGTTGCTCGTAGCTGACCGGCTCAAACCAAGAAGGCCAATAGGCCACTAACGCTGAGAGTTGAAATTGTAACCTTGTGGTTACGCTAAAAGTCTGACCAACTTGCCTACTTTTATGTGGTTTCAATGTGTAGGATCCGTTTATGGCTGCACTTGTGAGGGAGAGGTTTTCCAGTCTAGCTTGTGTAAAGGTAATAGTTTTACTTATTCTGGTGGCGTTTGTTCAATGAATTACATTTTCTTATACTCTTTACTCAGATATGAATATATGATTACATTTTCATTCATAAATCTAAAAGTAGAAGACTGCTATTTTCTGCTGAACCTATAGGTTGTGGAAGAGGATTTTACAAGATGTAATATACGCTCCCATATATCCTCAGCTTTGGAACCTGCAACAGATTCCTTACATGGTCAATCACAATTTGCAAAGGTTTGAACTATCATTGTGTTCTGATTCCCCTATTTGGGCTGCCCCTTTCATAGTTTTTGTGTACAGCGATTTATGAATTTACACACTTTTTTCAAAAAGGTCCACACTCTTCACTGTTTTGCAGGTGGTTGCTAATATACCATTTAACATTAGTACAGATGTGGTTAAACAACTTCTTCCAATGGGGGACATCTTCACAGAAATTGTTCTTTTACTCCAGGTCTGCATGTTTTTTTTTTTTTTTTAATATTCAGTAACTGCATTCTAAAATTGCTTGACAATGCAAGCATCACAAATAGAAGTTGCGATGTTAAGGTTCTCCAGTTCCCATTCTCAATTCTAACAACAACAATAATTGTAATCTTTGATATGCTTGCTGATGAGTGAGTGATCTTTGATTGAACTTTTTCAGGAGGAAACAGCCTTGCGCATGGTGGATGCATCCTTAAGATCATCTGAGTATCGGCCCATTAATGTTTTCATCAACTTTTATTCAGGTAATTTGCAGAAAAATAACCTCAGATCCTCCCAATTGCCGAAGAAAGAATTGAGCTGGAGGATCCAAGGAAAAGTTATCTGTGTAGTACCAAGTCTGTTAAGACACAGCCTTTTCATGTTGGCACATGGCTGATAGTTAGCAGTTTTGCCCAAGAAAAGTTAACATCTGTGTGAATTGCTTTTCTGGGCTTTAATATCTTGATGATTCATATGCTTTTCTTTTAAGTCTTATGTATCTTTATTCTCTTTACAGATCCTGAATACAAATTTAAGGTCCCAAGAACATCCTTTTTCCCCCAGCCCAAAGTAAGTCATTATTTATTTTTCCCATTTAGAGCTATTTACATCTGTCAACAAATTTTCTGTACAATCATCTCTGTTCAGGGAAGCTCGAGAGCAATGTCCTGCAAACTGTAATTACAATGTTGGACATTTAAATTATCAAGCACTTGAATAGTTGAATGTTAACTCTGCAGATATTTAATTGAATACAGACCACTAGCAACCTGTGAGGTGCCATACTCTCTAGCAGAAAATTGCTGCCATGTAACATAACCATGCATTTGGTTTGGAATTTATCATAATTTTTATGTGATCAGTCTGAAGATATATGGAAAATTTTACAAAATATATACCGTGCATGGATGGCGTATGATTTATATAGTTGTTTTGCCAGAGCTGAGCTGAGCTGGTTAATGTTTTTGAGCTTCTGCAGGTTGATGCAGCGGTTGTTTCCTTCAGGCTAAAGCAAGCTGCAAATTATCCTCCAGTGTCTTCCAGCAAGAGCTTCTTCTCAATGGTTCATACTGCTCACCAAATCCTAAATTTTCAGTTATATGCAGAATTATGTTTGAGTTTTAATAACTGTGACTAAAACTTGGAGTTTGATGACAAGTCTTTCTACTGTGTTAGGTTAACTCTGCCTTCAATGGAAAACGTAAGATGTTGCGAAACTCACTCAAGCACATCTGCCCTTCCCATGAGATAGAAGAAGCTCTTGGTAGTCTTGGTCTTCCACCTACTGTAAGTATTACTCCATCATTGTATGCTTTAAACTTAAAATTAGCTCTTTTGTATATCAAAATATGATGTTCTGGTGTTGTGCAGTCAAGACCTGAAGAGCTTGCATTAGCAGACTTTGTAAGGCTGCATAACCTGATTGTGAAAGAGTAGAACTCGCGGTATCACCAAGGATATCCAAAAATGGCAGATAAAGAGCTAGCCAGTTTCAGCCATGGTAGACAATGCACAGTAGTTTCAGATGCTGTCCAGAATCCAAAAATATATGCAAAACCAGACAGAGTTACCAGGTTTGGATTGCTGGTCTTGAATTGATCTTTGTAAAATTGGTTTAGGTTCCCAGAAAGTTGTCTATTAGGTTGTATGTTCTCAGTTTCTGCCTGCTGTTATACTATGGATTATTGAGAGTCAAGCCATTAAACTAAATTTCCAAAAGAATATATGTGTATTAATCTCAAATTCATAAAACAGTACAAAGAGCTCTGAGATGATTGATTTATCATTTCTCTGCTCTGTTGCCATTCTTTAAGCATGGAACTGATATATAAGATCTAAAGATCTCAGCTTGGTACCAATAGGATCAAACTCCGCCGCGGAACCATCCCGGGCAACCTCGCTCTCATAGCTCTGTTGCAGCTCCGCCGCGGCCGCGGCGGGTGAGAGTGGCCTTTTGGGCCTCTTGTTCTGGATGAAACAATCCCTCATGCGCTCCTCAACAGCATCAACACAGACCTTGGAATTATGTTCTTCTCCCTCCAACTGCATCGGGTCGGTTTCGTTCTCGCCGCCGCTCACGGCGGAGGAGACGGAGTTCTCGGCCGGGTGCTGCGGCGGCGGGGGGTTGTTTTGCGGTTGGGAGAGGAAGAGGGAGAGGTGGTGGTGAGCGGAGTGGAGGGTGGAGTGGAGTCGGAGGATTTGGGAAGGATCAGTGGTGGTTGGGAGCTGCTTCGCTGTTAGGGTTGCTTGCTCTAGAACTGTGATTAGCTCCGCCACTGATCCGCCGTCTACCACCATCTCCATCTCTCTCGCGTCGTTTTCCAGAGCCGCAGTGAATCTTGGTTGGTGATTATACGCGCCTTGGAATCTCAACACTAAAATCAGCAAACGCTTACAAAGACAACTACGGAGTATTATGGAGTGTTCGAGTGGATTGAATTGCAATTTCATTCATATCAAACTCAATTGTAATTTTACGAAATTACAATTCTTTTTAATCATAGAAACCAAACAATGTAATTTAAATTCTCGTTAGGGATGACAATTTATACCCTCTTGTTGGTTTTGCTCCTGTATAATAGCACAGGAAAACTTGATTCAGAAAATATTAACAATAATCAAACTTGTAACCTTAATACGAGGATCATATTCCACACACTCAGCCGTACTTTTCGAGACATTTTTATTTGAATGTAAAAACTTTATTAGTCCAACCAACTATCGAGTTTGAATTTAAAAACTTCCGTAGCCAACCTATGGTAGGTGGTGAATCAAAATCAGATTTGACTTCAATCTAAGAGTAACCACCTCTAAAGGGAAAGAATAAATGATGCATTTTTATAGCAGCAATACAAAAGGCTGTGTACTATTTTCTCATGACTTTACAAAGGGAAGTGTTTGGTGTTGACTATAACTTTAGCATCCGGAGATAGTCATCTATTATGGACATGGCAGATGAGCGGTAGCCAGAACCAAACATGTTATAGTGATTCAAGTAATGATACAACATGTACACATCCCTCCTTTCCTCGAACCCCGCCTGCTTCGGCATCACCTTAAAATCCACAAAGGAACAAGTACGATGAAGATTCAGATGTGAGCAACTATGAACACACTAAACCTTTCAGAAAGCGGGAGGGTACCTCGAAGTAGCCTTTGTAGAAAGCAGCTCCAAATCCAGCACACCACGACATTCCAAACTCCGCCTCATTATGTCCATCTAAAAGACAAAAGAATTAGTCGAGTTATCAGACCAGGCGGGTGGAATTTGGATTAGTCTCACAACAGTGGAGGACCGTGTTGAGCATATAGCCATTAACGTGCAATCTAACTATCAACTTAAGCTTTTAGTTGAGATGGAGCACATGCTTCAATTGACCGAAGGCAAAAGTACAGTTCCAGGGAACCGGGCAAAATGGCATTGAACTTATGAACCGAGGACACTTACAATAACATGCGGGGTCGAGAATCACAGGTTCCCCGTTCTTGTCATAAGTGATGTTGCCACTCCATAAATCTCCATGCAGTAAGCATGGTTCTAGTACCACATTCTGAAATAGAAGTCCGAGATTCTTTGCCAGCTTTTGTCCTTGAAAGCGATAAAATCCAGATAAATAACCAAGGCAAAAAGTAAACAAACCACCGCAAATTTGAGAGAGGAAAACCTTTCTGATAAATGCTTGAATCGCCATACTGGTCCCGAGCCAACTGTACCTGGTACATCAATCTATGCTCTGCGTAAAAGTCTATCCAATCTTGGGTCCATGTGTTTATCTGCGGAGTACTATACAGATGCAAAGTAGATTCATTAGAAAACCGATCAACTGTCCAATACAGTTGTAACTTCTGTAATAGAATCTACCACAAAAGCTGTCATAATTTGTTTGCTCTTTCGTGGTAGGTATACAATTGTCTTTTCCAGATGAATTGCATGTAAGCAAGTGCCTGAATGCATTGCATTTTGCGTCACTATATATATATATATATATATATATATATATATATATATATATATATATATATATATATATATATATATATATATATAAAGATGGTAAAAATTTAACGATACCTTCCAATAGTATTATCAACTTGAAAACCAAACCCCTTGTCGGACTTGGCTGCTTTATGCATTTCAGCCAGCTTCCTTCCTAACGCAGACTGAGAACCAAAAGATGGTTGTTAATGGAAATTAAAATGATTTAAATGAGAACAGGACAAAACTTAAAGAAGCGCACACCTGATCACGTCTAGATGCACCAAACTCGATGAATTCCATTATGATGTATGATCCGCCTGTTGGCAGAGATCCAACCTATAAATGCACAAGTATATGTTCTTTAAGAATCTACCAACGGTAGAAAGTTTAAAATCGGTTTAAAGACTAGAATGGGAAAAGTAGCTAATCCCACCTTATATGGTTTAGGGACCCGGATCGACCTTGTCTCATACATAGCATTTAAACCCACAGCCTCTCCTTCAAACATTGATGGGCCAATGCCTCTGATACATAGATTTTTTTTTACAGAATCATCATCTTAAGGAAGCATCCATGGCATTCTTAAAATGTGAAGTCTAGGTTCTGTTTGACCATATTACTTTACATACAAAGTACCTGTTTGTTTTTACAAAGAAAGGACCAGCATCAGTGTCATAGCGGTTAGCATTACTAATGCACCCTCCACCAATTGACCTAATTCCCGTAATCTTTGTTGCCTTTCCTTCTGAAAGGATCCAGTCACGAATCGGATCATCACTCATTGCTGCCACTGTTTAGAAGGCCACAACCAATGGAATCAGCAAACCTCAAATGGGAATTTCATGTAAAAACTCCAATTGACACTGCAAGAACCCATCAGTTTTGTTCCCACCATCTCTCTTTCTTTTTTTCGGAGACCTGAGGTAAATCAACCTAGGTTGCCCATAACTGACGGACTCAAACCAGGAAGGCCAATAGGTCTTTCCTGTTGAGAGTCGAACTTGTAAACAACCTGACAAACTGGACTGGGATTTCCACTATCTCTCTTTATTCTAAAGCTAAAAACTTTTGAAGCTCAATCCAATGGTTACACCATAAAACTGCAAACTTTTCAAGAATATGCCCAAAGCCCTTACACACTCACATCTACACCACCTTCCACGAAACACTACTATCCCTAAAGCATCAAACTAGTTGGGATTTGGGCACTTTCTAATCAGTATAGAGAATTCAAGATTCTTACAAATAAATGCATAAGACAATCAAATTAATTATGGCTAAATTTATTAAACCCCAGTGAGCTAAAAGCTAGCAGCTTTCACACATTACCTTTAGCTAAAACCAAGCAAAATGACATCTTTGCTCCGACCAATAGACACAAATAAACTCAAAAAAAGGACATAAAATTCCCTTGAAAACAGCTAAAATTTAACGGTTCTGTATGGGAAAATTCAGAAATTAAGGGCGACAGCTAAAATTTTACCGACTAGAAGAGGTTTGTGGTCGTTGAAGGAGGAGAATCTGAAGCGAGGGCGAAGCGCAGAAGAAATGCAGGAGGAAAAGGAGATGAAACCCACTTGTGCCACCACCATTGCTTTCTCTTTCTTGCCTCACACTCGATTGGTTCACGTTTCTCCTCCTTATTCATGTTTTTGCTTTGTGGTTTCTGTTTTGTCACTTAAGGGGCCGTTTGGTTCACGGAATGCTAGATTACCTTAGGAATGTTAGATTGCTGGGAATGTTAGATTACTGGGAATGTTAGATTCCTGTGTTTGGTTAAAATTGAGGTATGTAATATAATTATGTTTGGTTTAGGGTTATCTTATCTTTTATATATATATATATATATATAAGCTAACATAAAATATATATCTTTAAATAATTAGAATTAAAATGACAAAATTCATAAATATGCAAGGTTATCCTACATTACCTAACAAAATGAAGGGAATCACATTCCCTTCAAAATCCTATGTGGAGGGAATGTTGCATTCCCTGGGAATGTTATATTCCCTCAGAGAAAATGAACCAAACATAGGAATGTAAGCTCGGGAATGTCACATTCCCTTGGTTATATAATATAACCTGAACCAAACGCCCCCTAATTACTATCTAGTTAACCCATGGTAAATCTTTTTTACCCAAATTTTACTACATTTTTTACTTAAATAATTTGTGGTGAAATTGATTGATATGTAGTCATTTGCCTATGACCTTCTAGTTTAGTGGCACGAAGTGGCTCTCCCATATAGAAAGTCACGAGTTTGAACTTCAGTGGAGACGATATTGACTTTTTGTGCTTCAGTGAGTTGAAAAAATAGTTACGAATTGTATTGTAACAGAGTCAATAATCAAGCTTACTAACAGTTCAAATTGTTGAGCTATTAATTGACTTTATAGGTAGACATTCTTGTTCAAATGAATTTTACAATAAAAAGAAACTGAAAATGTGGTCAAACTGAAAAAAGACTGATCTGAAATTTTGTATCCAAGTTTATGCAATGATAGTATGAGAGTGGGAAATCAGTAACATCAAAACAAGATACAGAATTTCCAGAATATCACTGTATGGACCTCTATTAGAACTCAGAATGGACTGCAAAAACAGCTGACCTAATAAATACAGAGCTGAAAAATATTTACACAAGTTAATTATACCAGCAAACATCAATATCATTCTGGGGAAGAAGCAAAGGGAAATGCCATTCGTTCGTCGTAAATTAACACAGTTCTCCTTCAGTCATGATCTTGGCACTGCTGCTGCTTCTGCAGAACCCGCAGGTTCGATTTCTATTGCAACGGATTCCGTATCTCTTTCGTTACTTGCATCAACCTGTGAACGCTCAGCAGTAGGAAACAGCAGTAGTTGCCGGGAATGCCCCATTGAAACCTCGGAACTATCAAAGGATTCGTCTTGCCCGAGTATTGCAGGGTGTCTTTGTTTTCTTTCAGAAGAGTTTCTTACAGAGAGGCGACAAACGGGGCAGGTGGACTGTTTTCTGAGCCATATATCGATGCAAGAGAGGTGAAAAGTATGGCCACATTTGGGCATGATTCTCAGAACTTCCTTCTCTTGGTACTCAGCAAGACATATCGTACACCTGGAACGCAAATTGCTAGCTCAGCCTCGTTAATGGGCAAAAAATAACCCATCGAAAATGCATTAGAATATATCAAATTTCAAGTTCGATACCTAAATAACGAGAAAACGTTGGAACACACATCAGGCTGAAAACCCATGGCCATTAAGGGGCAAAGTGCTGGCCAGATTGGTTTTTCTGGCCAAGAAGGGGTTCAAACTCCCGACCTCTCTTATCTTAAAGGACAAGAGTGCACAGCCACTCACGCCAACCAAGCTGGTTAACCAATCTCCTTTAAACTAACAGTTCTATTAGATTAAATACCCCATACATATACTTGCACCTCTTATATCTAAAACGAGCATGAGTATCCATATGCATTTACACGCAATGAAGTACTCCATGATATTCTGAGTCTACGTTTGTGTTCCAAGAATGACAATTGATTATCATTGTGGTGCTTACAATAGCTGTTAATAAACTGAATAACGTCGCATTTCATAGAAGTATAACTTGAGGCACTTACTGTGTGTCTTCAGAAGAACTGAAAGCTTCGGGGTGGAACTTCAGGGTCGGAATTGCAGCAACCACAACTGGGTCAAGACCATTATTTCGATGCTCTGGCTGTAAATCAAGAATAGTGTTAGCAAATCATACATGTCATTATGGCACAAGAAATCCAACATCAAAATAACATAGTCAAACAGGTTACAACTTTAACATAGTCAATCTTGAACTATGCACACCATGACAATTTGGGTAACGCCCCATCACAAGCGCTTCCACGGCCCTTTCCCTAATAATCTGCGGAGGAGGTAAATCCCGGGATGTGTGAATGGAACAAACACATCACGAAAATTGACAAGAGCCCAAGTAACAGGTACCCACCAATACTTGACTCACCCCAACCTAAAGCATTCAATTTTCGATTTGTCTCTTTGTTTTTAGGTGAAAGAAAACAACTTATTGCCCAGCTCTAATAATGTCAAGAGCAATAGGATAGGACTATGTGGTCTAGCTAGTGGTGGAAGATGTTGACTGCCATTTTGGTATTGCAGCCATTAAGGTTGTTGTTGAGGCAAAGACTTTTGGCCGGCAAAGTTGACACCCATCCAGGCTTGATAATAAACATTATTTAATTCTAATGCTTAAACAGATAATCATGGATCACCAGCAATGACAACAAAACATTAACCATAAATCAAAAGAAGAAGAAAAACGAAAAAACATATTGAAACCATGGAAGAAACAAACATACATACCAGTTCAAGATCAATTCTTGATTCAATCTCAAACATTTGCCTTGACTGCCGGCGGCGAAGCCTCCCACAAATCAACCTAGTACACACAAATACTATGAAAGTTGCACTCATCCCAAACCCAATGACTGTGGTAATCAGATTCATCCCTGACCCCAACATCCTCACCTCACCTCAGCTTTCCTAGTCTTTAAAAAAACCAAATCTCAAACACCCAAAATTCAGCACAGTTCTCTCAATCCAAACAAACAGAGAAACATCAGCTCGATATACAGAAAAGAGAAAATGGGGAATGGTTGCCCAAAGGAAGAATCTTTGGGGAAAGCATTATGAGAAATCGGAAATCAGTAAATAATAGAGACAATCAAGATTCACTGATGAGCAGCAGAAGAATAATTAGTATGACTACTACAAAGTGTAAACACATAAAGCCCAGATTGAGATTCACCCTAAAAATCCAAACTTTAGTCAAGAAATGTACACAATTTACGAGATGAGAAGCAGCCAAATGGAATTCTAATCCCTTTGGGTGGACTCGAAGCTAAGACGGAAAAGACCTGGTGGAGGGCCATCAATGGATGGTGTTAGATGCGAGAAGAAGAAGCACTACAAGCCTTGCGTTTCATTTTCCCCTTGGCTTTGCTGTTTTGGACTCGCATATCAGTGGGGTCAACTTGCCTCCTTCCTCTCTCTCTCTATATATATGTATACTATAATTGTATTGTCATCCAACATTTACTGGTAAAAAGACAAATAATTATAAAATTATAGAATTATTTATTGACTTTTTAAATTTGAATCAATTAATTGATCCTTCATTGATTAAAGTTTATAATAGATATAGTAACATTATCCATATCTTTTTAGTTTTTACTGTCTGGAGTAAATTTGCGGTTGGAGCAACTTTTTGAGGTTGCCGGAATTTTGGCGGCCCAAAAGGGGAATGATAAAAGTGGGAATCTCAGAAGATTCATTTCAGTGAAGCAGATTCTACTACGTTTCTCCGAGTTTCTTTCACTGTTTTCTTTTTATCTTCCTTTTGCTTGATCCACGTGGTGATGACTATAGTCTATACTCTATACTCTATAGGGACACTTTTTCTTTCTGGGCTGATTACCACTTTTGGATAACGCCCAGATTTGTGCCATTTCGTTTGTGACACCTGCATCCCTTGTCCACTCTTTTATAGCCACATTCAATAAAATATAACAATCCTTTAACATTGTGCAATTTCTTGTCGCATAATTAAAGGTTATTTGTAACTTCAGTCGAGTTGGTTGATTAATTGCATTAATAATTATAAAATTTTAAATTTAATTCTTTGTGAGATCTGTCTGTTAAATTATTAATTTAAAATTATAAAACAAGTTTCACTGAAAAATTATAAGACAAGTTTCACTGAACATATCATCAAAAGTTAGATACAGATTGATTGATGAGGGTTTGATATATTATTTTGGATTATGATTATGACACTAAACAAATTGCCCACATAATTAGGGCTTGTGTATTTGAATAATAGCCCAGAAGTTTCAATAGCTTCTTGGGCTTTCCCTGTGCGGCCCATTTTGGGCATTATATTATTCTATATACACGGTGGCACCAGGTGGCGCTCCGCCGCCTGCTTCCACTTACGGCGGCCAAGTTGCTGCGCGCCAGACGGGACACGGTCTCACAGAATTATGGGATTAATTAAACAAAGAGAGAGGAGTGTGATCCATGCATGCATTGTTAGGTTAGTCAAAGGTTAATTTTAACCTAATTAACCTATGCTTATGTATTCTTCCGTTTGTTGTCGGCCGGATTAGACTTGAATTCATCTCTGCATGACTCACTCAGACTGTAACACCTTTCTTTGACTTCCATAATTTATTTCCAATTCTGATGTGTTTTTGCATTTGATTTGTTGGGATTAGGACAGTTCCAGCAGCATATGAATGGGATTATTTAGTTAACCTACCTTAATTAATTGATTACCATGACGACAAAGCACTTAGCAGTTAACATTAGATCAACCTTAATCAACAACCACTGTAGTGTTTTTCAAGACTGGTCTTGCATGTGATGTAATAACTTGATTGTGGCCTAGCCGCCGGCCTAGCGGTAGTGGTAGTAATCTTTCATTATCAAACAATTAATGGGTAAACTAGTCGGGATAATTGATAAATGATTCGCTAATATACCGGTAAGATTAAAGAATATATTCCTATATGTATGTGTCATATATGCATGTTAAATCTCGATTAACAGTGTATATATAGTACTTCAAATTAAATTTAGAAGACACGATGGTCTGTTATATCACATGCATTATAATATGTGACACATGATCGTACTAACCTGTTCTCGATTGAACGATTCTGATTGCTCGCGAGTGTTTTGTCTCTCACCTTACTCTGCTCTCTCTGGATGGTGTATGAGGTATGTAATGTGAGCAGTGACCTTATATAACGAATGGTCATCTGGTTGTATGTCTTTAGGTCTCCTAAACCCTAACCAAACTCCTAATCATAATGGTAGTCTAACTATTAAATTATTAATGTTGCATCACATATCAAATACTAAATATTACCGTAACTTATCCTATTATTAAAATAATGATATAACATGAAAACGTTACGTACAGGTTGTTGTATATATGCGTTATGTTAAAAACCTTTCGGTTAAGTCTTCCTCGACCAACAAAATAATCTTTTTTTTTCTTTTATTTAGGAAGGGGTTGACCCACCAACAAAATAATTTAAACCCAAAAGGTATGAGTTTACTACAATAACGGTCTATATACGTTCATAGTCATCCCAATTTCTGTTTGAATTGTTCACTTTTTTTTTTTTTTTTTTAAATATATAAATGTAATTAACGAATTATCCTTATTAAAATTTGACTGAAATTTACGAACTTGTGTTACAATATTTTACATAGGTTGTACTATACAACATATCCTTCCATATGATTACTTAAAGAATAACAGGAATTTTGTATGTATCAATCATTAGTTCAGATCCTCCAATATAATGAGTACAAATGTTGCCTTTTCAAGCCACTGTGCTAGTATTAGTATATAGAGATAATTAATTAATTAGGGTTGCCAACAAGGGCAAGTTGATAAGTTCTTTGTTTATGACATTATTAGACCTTAATTCCAATAATTGAGGCTGCCTGCTTAATGATGTAACGTGACAGATACTTTTTGGCTGCTATTCAATCTAAAATGCTGCTATGCTTAATCGATACAAAATTTGACTCTATTCAATAACTCATTCTTGGCCTTGACAGTGACCAAGCCTTTTCTTTATTGAAATGTGAGTGTGATATATATACATCAGCCACTGCTCGAGAATGTGCACTAGTTCATCCATATATAGATTATATACGATCAGTTCAATTGAGAAATTGTTGACGGTAATCGAACTCGTGACGTTTTGATAAAAAAAATTAAGTTGCACCAGCTTAAGCATCTTTTTTTAGGCTAAATCATTTCACTTTTAACTCATTGAATGATAGTTTCATTATTTGTCAATTTGGACATATTGAATTTTGATCCGCGCATAAAATAATGCAAAAGTAAAATTTATCATTCAAATTTTAATTGTGATTTACACATCCAATATAAGTCATAATTTTTTTGAGTATTACTAACTTTGTTACAATGTAGTATCTGTTCATATTTATTTTCTTAACCTGTTGAAGCACAAAGAGTCAATACTGCCCTCACTATGACTCGAATCATGACCTCCCATTTGAGAGAGTCCTATATCAAAATTAGACCAATGCTACGTGTTGTTGAACCTATACGAGACACATGCTACACACTCACGGGATGAAACTAATCAAGCTGAACTAGTAAAAAAAAAAAAAAAAAAAAAAAAAAAAAAAAACTCAACGTTTTATCAATAAACTTGTGTCCGAAGTAAATGTCACACATCCAAAATTCCAAATCACTCTTTCTCCATTTAGGGTTTATAAATTATAGAATTTACTAGTAATGTTACGGTCCAAAGACTCTTTATAAGAAATATCAAAATATAAAGAATCTATGGCCGTACATGATTAAGCAAAGTCGGAATCCCAGGCAAATGAGACAATGCAACAACCTCTTCCTCCAACTTGTCATTTATTAAAACCTGATGATGATAAATACTAAAGTGGTTGTCGTTTAGCAATCAATAACCATGGAAAAGAGTTAAGCTTTTATCTTATTTTTGACATCACCATTTTCTCAAACGTTTATCGATGTATTAACGAAAACTAAATTCGAAATATACCAATTTAAAACTAAAATTAAACTTTCTCCCACTCAAACAAGAGTTTGATGAGCTAAAGAGCAGACAACAGTAGAGACACAAATAGGACCCCCTGGAGCCCCACAAATCATTCTCTGTCTACGTAAGTAATCCTTAAACTAATCATTCTGGCCGGATTTTGAATTTCGAAAACTATGAATATTGAATTATAATCAAACGTTTGTATAACCATGTCTAATTTCAAATTGACCAATTTGAAACCGTCCTCGGTTTTGTCTGCTTCTATCTGGTCTTTTATGCTTCGTTTGATCAATCAATAATGTGAGTTTGGTTCGTCAAGTTGTGTGCATTGCATGGCTTACAAGTTGGTTTTTGATGTATTGGCGCCCCAACTTGGAAGCATGAATCCACCACTCTCATATGGATGTAAATCACGGTGACTGAATAACTCAGTCGACATGAACTGTCCACTTTGAACATATCCCTACACTGTCACTGCCGAGGTTCAAACTTGGTCTCTCCCCTCAAATACAGCCTACTGAACCAGTGAGTTAAGCCTTGTGCGGGCCATATATTCATTCACTTGTTCATAAATAGTAACAATAATTATGAGAATTACTTTGATTTACGAAAAAATGGGCAACTGTTTTTTAGTTGACTCAATTAAAACTGTCAATTTGTAACTTATATAGTTTGATTAACAAGAAAGTCCGCAACCGCTATTCAAAGATGTGCTCTGAGTGAAGTTTTTATTGTGACCCTAAGCGGTAAAGGACCACAATAAAATAAACTAACTATCCCAATTAAATTGTCTATAACTGACGGATTCAAATGGCTAGATTGAGTGAATTGCTATCACTAGATTAGATAAAGGAAGACAAAATTAAAGAGAGGTAAACTAAAGGAGTAGTATATATATGTTAGCTGCAATTAATTAACCTCAAATTAAAGCTTATTATTAATGTGAATTATGAGAGCAGGCATGTAGACATAAAAGATATACGTTGAGATCGAGAGGTGGAGGATCCAATTTAATTTGTTAAGACATCTTTATCAGATCAACTCATTCTTGTTTTTATGTGCAGTGGTGATAATATATGCTGCGGAGAGTTCTTAGTTGCTACGCCTTCGCATATCAGGCCAACCTCATACATTCTGCATCCTGCAAAACGACTGCTAACTAAATTTAACAACTAAACAACAAACAAATAATTGATTGAGTGCCTGCATGTGCAGCTCAGTTGATCAGGGTGAAATTTGAGAATAATGTCACAGGATCCAGTCTTACATGCTTTTGTTTAATTAATAGTTAATAATTTATTATAATATGAACTATGAAGTATGTACTTGTTGAAGTAGGCTTATTTATAGCCACATGCAATGTTAGCTTAACGTCTCATGCACTTTGATGCTATTATATATAATACTAAACTAGCTAGTACACCTGAAAATAGTATAGTTACGTTGCTTAATTAACTTTGGTGATCAGATCAGATCAGATGATCATGGCGGCTTCTGAAACTCCTGTAATTACTACTCGTGCCGGCAAAAAATCTGCTACGCGGAGATTCGTGGGCGTACGGCAAAGGCCGTCGGGGCGGTGGGTGGCGGAGATCAAAGATTCATCTCAGCGTGTGCGGCTATGGCTGGGGACTTACGACACAGCAGAAGAGGCAGCTCGGGCGTACGACGAAGCCGCAAGAGCCCTTCGCGGGGAGAATGCTCGCACCAACTTTGCGCCGGCGCCGGCGCCGGCGAGTCCTAATTCATCACTCCACTCCGATCAGTCTGCAGGGTCGTCATCGGACGGTAATAATAAGCATGGGCTGAGCTTCTCTTCGTTGAAAGCCAAACTGAGCAAGAATCTGCAGAGTATCATGGCGCGGAGGAACTCGGAGAACAAGTACTCATCTTCCAAAAGCAGAGTGAGCGATCACTTCACCTTCGCCAGTATCTTCCACCTGAGGAACAGTTACAATAATTACCAGTTCCAACACGGCCCGGCGGCGGTTGACATGAAGAAGATGGAGAAAGCGGTGGTGCAGCCCAGCATCGTGGTGCCGTCTGCTGCTGCGGAAGAGGCGGCGGCGGCATATTATTGTTCCTGGGAAACATCCTCGGATTGCAGCAGCGAGTGGATGATGGGTTTCGGCCACCGGCAGCACATTAATAATCTGGACTCCGATAATGGATCTGAGGCTAGTGAAGCCGCCTTTCTTGGCGAACAGGACCCGCAGATGATGGGTGGGGGGTGGGGTAGTAGTCCGGACACCATGAGCGCTAGCAGCAGCGGTGAATTATTAGGTTCCAGGAGCAAGAGGTTCAAAGTCTCTTCATCCGTACTTGTTCCCCCAACCTTTACACAATCTTGATTAGTGTAACACCTGCTAAATCAAGTTGTGAAACATAGTCTTTCTAGTGTTGTTTACCTTAATTTCTTGTATGCTTTGTCAGCTATTATATAAAAGTGATGTTTATTTAATGCACATCAAAAAAGATTTGTAAATTATCAAAAAGGTTACAAGTTTGATTTTGTCAATACCTTTTCAGTCAAGCTATCACAAGTATCTGGTAAATGGTTGTTAACGCTTTAACTGTTAACTAATTAGGTTAATAGTTAAACTGGACAGCTCAATTAGTCATAGAGGTGAAAATTAAAAAGAATGATCAAGGATCGAGTCTCACCAGACCATTAATAATGGTCAAATAAGTTGAAATTTATTGATAGACTAATTATTTTATACCAAACAGAGCATAATCTTTTTAGTCTAATTTATCTTCTACACTTGGTAAGTTACTATATAAAAATGATATTTATTAAGTACAAACATTGAATAATGAGTGCGATCAAGTATGTTAATTTCGTTATTCCAACAAAGAAAATGCAGGCTCCTCGTGCACTTATTGAAGCAACTTTGGACGGTCTAATACAATGAAAGGATGGTTTTGTCGCTTTTGGTACGCTGCCCACGCTTCCAATAATGATATAATTTTTTTTAGTATCATTATTGGAATATTATTGGTACAATACTCACCATCACTAATTTTTTTTAATCTTTATTTGTCATATACTCCGTATATTAGCAAAGTTCTTATTTATAGGTTTAATAATTTATCCATTCAATTGTTTGGGTATATTTTATTTTAATTAAGATCGGACTCTAACTTACTACTCCATTAAAAATGTTACCAACCATTCTAAATTTTTTACTTCCAATCTTCTTCTTCTTCTTACGTAGTACACGGAGTATTTTCTAATTTGAAAATTAACTTTCTTTTTAATTAATATAGAGTGACTTTCTAATTATCTTTTTATCATTTTTAATATGTTATATTTGGACTTGAATTAATGAAAATGTTATGTTAAAAAAAAAAAAAAAAAATTCATCCACCATGAACGTACCCAAATTGTTCTGTCACAAAAAGGCAGTGCTTTTTTCCCAGCCCCCACACAACAGCCGTGTCAGAAGTCAGAACACCATTTCCTTGGTTCCATAAATACCAACTTTATTATTATTTCCAAAATCCCCTTTCAAATTCACTCAATCTCCATCATACATTCTGTAATCCTGCACCCACCTTCCCCTCTGGCCTCTACAGATTATAATCCGGATATGTAGAGAGACAAAGAATCTGAGGTGATAAAAAGACAGGTCTTGTACTCTTGTCTAGTTGTATGACTTTTTTCTTTTCCCCCTTTTCTTGTATAAAGATTTGAAATTTTTTCTTGGAATATATGGCCATATAGGGATGCTTCTTTTGTTCTCCTTGCAATATGGAAATACCAAGTTGATTGTCTTGTTCGGATAAAACTGTGTACTGTAAACCGGAAAAGCAAAACAAAAAAAAGCCTTTTAAAAGTCTGGTATGTATGCTTCTCTCACTACTTCAAAACTCTTCTGTTATCCTGTTACTCATTTCTTTGCCCAGAAACTCTCTTACATTTTTACAGGTACTCTTTATCTTTTGTTATGTACTCTATTCTAGTTAGATTTTTAGCTTCTTGAAACAATGGTTTTCTGGGTTGGGAAAGGCTAACAGTCAAGGATCAGAGGTGAAAACAGAAGTGGGTGAGTTGAAGGATTTAGGATCAAGCAATTGCAGGTGGTTTCTTCAGAATAAAGGGTGATTGCTTCAATCTGAGTCTTAAAGATTGCCTTTTTGGAACTGGGGTGGTGGGAAAAATTAGTTTTTTTTTTTTTTTTTTCAAAATGCTTGTTTATGGGTTAAGCCATTTTAGCTTTCAACTTGGAAATGATGATATTTTGAAGATTGATATAACTAGTGGCTGACTTATCATTGCTTGGGCTACTAAGTTCTACTGACTGATATTTTTTCTTGTAGAAATAGTGTTAGAATAGTCTTAGTGGCTCATAAAGTTTTGAATGACTTGAATGGCAGGCAATTTGAAGTACTATTAAATTCTACCTTCATTTTGTAGTCAAGGATCCTGTTCATAAATTTAGATACAGATCCTTGTATTCACAGCTGGAGATAGAGACTGCTACCTTCTCTTCAAAGCAAAGTCTCTTCCAATTTTTTCCATACAAGAAGTTAAAGTTGAATCTTCTAGAACAGAAAAGAATTTTAGATATATTGGCCTGGGTTTTTCTTAATATTTTGGCATTGCTTGGCCATTGGATTATATCTCTAGGAAAAGCAATCAAACTTTATACCTGAAAGGTAAAGTTATGAACTTTTTTGTTGTTCACTAAACATTTAAACTGCCCATTCTTTAGCTGAATTAGATTCTACTCGATACCGCCTACCAATGAGCTTTTTGGTTTTAGGATTGTTGTTGCATTCAGTGTCATCACCTCTCGTTTTAGTATGATCTTCTTTATCTCAATTTCTGCATTTTTAGCCCAATTTGCACTGAATGATTATTTTAAAAAGCTTTTTCGTGAACTTTTATGGGGCGGCTGTTGTTTTGCATATTCAGTGGATGTGCCCTATGTGACCACACAAGATTTGAGAAACTCTTTTGGCAAAAGCTTTCACTTTTGCTTATCTTGGGTCCTTATCATTTAGGCTTTAATTTGCTTTCTTTATTGTAGTTCTTTGCTGCATAGGCAGAAGTATGGTCCCATTAATGATCGGAAAAATGGCTGAATTTGGAGGGGGAAATGCTGTCGATATATTATCAGCTGAAGATTGGTTGTTGCGTGCACAAGAGCTCGTTCCAGTGGCACTGGAGACTGCACGAGGGGTTAGAGGATTCCCGGGAAGGTGGAAGATGATAATTTCAAAATTGGAGCAGATTCCATCGAGGTTGTCGGATTTGTCTAGTCATCCTTGCTTCTTAAAGAACGCCCTATGTAAGGAGCAGCTGCTGGCAGTAACGAAGACGTTGAATGAAGCGATTGAACTAGCTGGGATGTGTGTGAAAGAAAAGTACGACGGAAAGCTTCAGATGCAAAGCGATTTAGACACTTTGTCCGGGAAATTGGATTTAAATTTGCGTGATTGTGGGATTTTGATTAAAACGGGAGTGCTTGGTGAAGTTACTCTATCATCAGCTGCAGCGAGCTCTATTAGCAGCAATTTAAGGGAATTGCTTGCCCGTCTTCAAATAGGTCATCTTGAGGCTAAACATAGAGCTCTCGATAGCCTCCTGGAAGCCATGAAAGAGGACGAAAAGAATGTTATAGCCGTCTTAGGGCATAGCAATATCGCAGCTCTAATCCAGTTGCTTACTGCTACTTCGCCTCAGATAAGAGAAAAAACAGTCAGAATATTCTGCTCGCTTGCAGAATCTGGATGCTGTGAAAAATTGCTCGTTTCGGAAAGTGTACTTCCCCCTCTTATACGCCTCGTTGAATCCGGCACTCCCTTGGCTAAAGAGAAGGCTACCGTTTCTCTTCAGAGATTGTCAATGTCAACAGAAACCGCTCGATCGATCGTTGGGTATGGAGGCGTTAGGCCACTGATTGAAATCTGTCGAACGGGCGATTCTGTTTCACAGGCTGCTGCTGCTTGTACGTTGAAAAACGTATCTTCTGTGCCCGATGTGCAACGAGTGCTGGCTGAAGAAGGGGTTGTTAAAGCAATGATCAGTCTTCTCGATTGCGGTATTCTTCTCGGGTCGAAAGAGCACGCTGCTGAATCCTTGCAGAATCTTTCCTCGGGCAACGATGATCTCAAAAGACAGATTATATCCGAGGGCGGTGTTCAAAGCCTGCTAGTGTATTTGGATGGCCCGCTGCCTCAAGAATCTGCAGTCGGGGCATTACGAAACTTGGTCAGCTCGATTTCCATCGAGGCATTAATTTCGCTTGGCGTCCTCCCGAGGTTGGTTCGTGTACTCAAATCGGGATCGCCCGGTGCACAGCAAGCCGCTGCTACTGCAATCTGCAGAATATGCACATCATCTGCTACGAAAAAGACAGTAGGCGAGGCGGGATGCATCCCTCTTCTCGTTAAAATGTTAGAGGCAAAAGGAAATAGCACGAGGGAGGTAGCTGCTCGAGCGCTCTATACCCTGATGACCCTCGCATATAATTGTAGAGAACTCAAGAAGGACGATAGAAGTGTGCCAAATTTGGTGCAGTTGCTCGATCCAAGCCCTCAAAACAGCGCCAAAAAGTATGCGGTCTCGTGTCTTACCTTGCTTGCCTCGAGCAGGAACTGCAAGAGGCTGATGGTTTCGTATGGAGCTATCGGTTATCTCAAGAAGCTCACCGAGATGGATGTTCCGGGTGCTAATACGCTACTCGAGCTTTTGGAAAGAGGGAAACTGAGAAGTTTGTTTAGCAGGAAATAAATAATAGCCTTCTATGATGAATTCTCTCTTCTCCTTTGACTAATGCCATTATCTATCTGAAACAAATAGCCTCTTTTTACCATCTGCAAAGTGTAAGCTTAGCTTGTTAATCTAGCAATCCAAGTTGTTATGTAAACTGTAAACATAAACACCCCCCTGGCCCCCTCTATTGGTTAGAGAATAATGTATATATATAATTCTATGATTTCTCGTTTAGTATACTAGTTGACAGATGGTTATATTCCTCCATGCTCTATGAATGCTGTGTTTTCTAATGATTTGCATTATATACATGCATTGTTAGAGCATCCCCAATAGGGATTTTAGCTCAGATTTTAAGGAGGTTGATCCTGGGTGGAAGAGAGTGTTGGAGATAAAAGATTTGAGTTGTTGCAGAAGTGATGATCTTTTTGTCCCCTGAAATGGGCCCCACAAACTCAAACACTCACCAACATCACTCAGTAGGCACGTTAAAGATAATCGCCAGTTTAATTGCTTTTTCATTTTTCTTTTTTCCTTTATTCCTCTTTCCTAATTTGGATTCTAAAAACTTGTGCAAAATCTTGGACTATTGAGGATGCTTTTAGAGCATCAATATCAACTGACCACGAGGGGTTCTTTTACGAATTTTAAGGCAAATCGGAGAGAGAAATGGAGAGAGAGAGAATTTGAATTCATCTGCAAAGGGAGAGTTATTTCAAAAAGTGGGACCCACTGACCAAAAAAAATTCACCCGCCAGGGCTTGCGTGATCGTCACAGTGAGCCCAGCGGGCGCTTGACACTTATTACTTTATTATTATTTGATTGTAAAATTACTTTTGTTTTATTATTATTTTTTTCTTTTTTCTCTCCCCTCCTATATTCTTTTTCCTAATCACACTTACAAAAATTCCTAAAAAAAAAGCTCAATCATTGTGGATGCTCTTAGCATTATGACATTGTTTATAGGATCATGGTTGTGTCTAATTAGATGTTGACATAGGACTGGGCTTTATCAAATTATTATGTGGGCCCAAATTCAAAATACACAATTTACATATTGAATGTTCACAATTGTTGTAAAAGGTAAATTATGAACATTAAATAAGTAAATTGTGTAATGTAAACTCGAGTTCATATTGCAATGTGGACCCGAGTCCATGGTATAACTATTGCTGAGCTTTCTGTGTAATTTGTTTTTTTGAAACAAAAAAAAAAAAAAAAAAGAGTCAAAATTAAAGCCCAAGAGGCCAAGACTTAAATGGGCTTATGAAGAGAACAGATGCTCGTCTTAATGGGCTATACGAAGATATATCTTGTAATGGGCTTACAGTCGGAGGCCTAATTCTTATCCGGTGACTTTGCGGTTTGCCTCCCGGAGATTCGGAGCAACCTGCCGAGTTTCACGTCTCCGGTCTCTCTCAACTCTCAAGCGATACATAGAGAAGCACTCTCAAGCAACAGCTTCTAGTGATAAACTGATCATCTGGCTTCATGGAAACGGAGGAAGATCAGTCGGGTTTGATGGTCGACGAGATCTACGCGAACGGCGGCGGAGCCGTCACCAACGACGGTTCCAATCGCCAACGGCCGATCATTAACGGCGAACAGCTTGATGTCGAGGCCTACGCCTCTCTGTACAGCGGCCGCACCAAAATCGTGCGTCTGCTCTTTATCGCTGACCGCTGCAACAACGTTTCGATGCAACTGGAAGCTCTGCGAATGGCCTATGAAGAAATTAAGAAGGGCGAGAATACGCAGCTGTTCCGCGAGGTTGTTCAGAAGATCGATGGACGTTTGGGGCCAAATTACGGGATGGATTCTGCGTGGGCGTATGCAGTGGACCGCCGGGCCGAGCAGAGGAAGGAGAGGCTCGAGAATGAGCTCAATGCATATAGGGTATGGTTATACATATTTGCAGCTTGAATTTTTACACATATATGCAGTTTGAAAACCATTCACAATAACATTGCTAGAGTTAACTGATGCTTGAGTGATTTTGAGGTTTCTCAGTTTCTGGAGGTGATATGAAATCCCTACCTGTTAATGTATAACCTTTCCCAGTTGTAAACTAGGACACTTAGTCACTTTACAGTCACTTCTACTGATTTGATGAAATTTCTTTGTCTGCTGTAGGACAGATTTCTTTCCTTGCAGGCATTCAAACCAGAATATTTTAAAAAGAATTTGCTGAAACTCTCATTCTTTCTCTCTATCTCTACAGACAAATCTGATCAAAGAGAGCATTAGGATGGGATACAATGATTTTGGAGATTTCTATTATGCTCATGGGCAACTTGGGGAGGCTTTGAAGAATTATGTCCGGACACGGGATTATTGCACAACAGCAAAGCATATAATTTACATGTGTTTGAATGTTATTCTTGCGAGCATTGAGATGGGTCAGTTCACCCATGTCTTGAGTTATGTTACCAAAGCAGAGCAAGCTGTTGATTCCTTAGATAATGCTACAGCCCCTAAACTTTGTTGTGCTGCTGGGCTGGCTCACTTAGAGGCTAAAAAATATAAACTTGCTGCTCGGAAGGTATGCCATCTATTTTCCTCAATTTTTTTTCCAATGTCAATGTAAACATCTACTACGGAGTATTTCTCATAGTTACAGCAACCTTGCTTTACATACTCTGGCTGCTGGGTAAGACACCAAAATACAGAATTATGATATAATGATAATAATATCCAATTTGAAACTTCATTGAGTTTGCACCACTTAAAAGTTACAAGATAAGGATGATTTTGTCCTTTACCATTTTGATGTTGCCCGCTTGTACCCATTGAGGGGGTTAGCAGTGGAATTAACTCTTCCATGGCCTTGCTAAAGGTTACTAGTAGATTAACATTCCATTTGATCCTATGCAGTTCTTGGAAGTTGGTCAAGAACTAGCGAATGAGTACAATGAAGTAATTGCACCCCAAGATGTTGCAACATATGGTGGCCTTTGTGCACTTGCAAGTTTTGATCGAGCAGAACTGAAGGCAAATATTTTTTTATTGATTACTTTATGAACAACTTTGTTGATTTAACCTCAACTTTCATGGATTATATACTGCCATTAATCATGTGACTTTGTTTTGTAGAGCAAAGTTATAGACAATGTTAACTTCAGAAATTTTTTAGAGTTGGTACCTGAGATTCGAGAACTTATCCAGGATTTCTACACAAGGTAACTAATATGCAACTTCAATTCTTCGAACAATCTCCATATCTCTGTGAGTATTTGACTGGTTAAAATTTATGTTATACTTCATATTTGCTTTTGATGTTTACAGTCGTTATGCATCATGTTTTGGGTATCTTGAAAACCTCAAAACAAACCTATTGCTTGACATTCATTTGCATGACCATGTTGAGACGCTGTATAATCAAATCCGCAACAAAGCTCTCATCCAATATACCCATCCCTTTGTCTCTGTTGATCTGCACATGATGGCCAATGCTTTCAAGACTAATGTAGCTGGGTTGGAAAAGGAACTTGAAGCCTTAATTACTGAGAATGAAATTCAGGTAATGATGTAGTAACCAACTCCTTTGCCAATATATGTTACCATTTTGTGTCCTACACTCCTTGACCTTAATATTTATGTTCTTGCAGGCTAGAATAGATTCTCATAATAAGATTCTTTATGCAAGGCATGCTGATCAGAGAAATGCAACCTTCCAGAGAGTCCTGCAGACCGGTAGGGAATTTGATCGAGATGTGAAAGCTATGCTTTTGAGAACAAGCCTTCTGAAGTACGAATACAACCATAGATCAAGAAAACATTGAAACATATGAAAAGCTGAGCGTGAAATTGAAATTTGTTTGAAATCTTGAATTTTTTGTTTTTTGGTCCTCAAGGATTGTTTTTGCTGGTACACAATTTTCCAATTGATTAGTAGACTATACTCTCATTGAGCTGGAATTTTGTGATTACATCTTCCTCAATCTCTGTCAAAAGTGATAGGAAATTGTCTACCCACACCAATTTTATATGAAATGAAATATGTACATTTTGAGAGACTAATAGCCAGATTTGTGGGATGGGATTGAGTTTGTTCAATCAAATTAATATATTCCTATTATTTCTATAAACAAAAGTAGTTAATTTAGTGTCCCAAAATGAGTGGTTAGATCATAATTTTCATATAAAAAAGTTATAAATTCAATTATTATCAATATCCTATGGCAAGGTTGTGGTTTAGTAACCAAGTAGATAGTCCATCCAGATGTCTCATATTTAGTATGAATTGCACTTAAATTAAGGTTTGAGGACTTGTATATAAACATTTAAAAAATGAGAGATTAATTGTAATTATCAAAAGATCAAGGGCTCTAGTGTATTTATCCTTAGTCCTTAACTAAACGACATTGCATTGTAAAGGAAATGCATCGTTTCTTCTCCTTCACACTGCATATGCTTACAAAAGCAAACAGATAACTTTATTATTACGAACATAGATTTATAGTGTATGATTAGATCTTGAGTAGAAGAAGTGAAGTGAATGCGGAATGGCTAATCCGAGCTTACCGGCATCCAAGCGAAATTCGCGGCAGTGGCGACTGCTGGACGTGTTGTCGGCAGCCTTCTTCGCGGCGGTGTTAGTTTTCTTCTTCTTCGTCTTGACGTGGCTGGGTGACTCCCCTGCGAAGCCGCCGCTCCGCTCCTCCGTGGATCCTCAACAGCGCAGCCGAGTCGTGGAGCTCGTCCAGTCGGGGCTGCTGTCTTCCCCGATCCAGGCTTGCCCTGCTAATTACGCGGACCACATGCCCTGCGAGGACCCTAGAATTAACAGCCAGCTTAGTAGAGAGATGAACTATTACAGGGAGAGGCATTGTCCGTTGCCTGAGCAAACTCCGCTCTGCTTGATTCCACCTCCGGAAGGGTACCGCGTTCCTGTCAAATGGCCCGAAAGTTTGCACAAAGTAAAGTTTATTTCTCTTATTTCTCTCTAGCTTTCTTTCAAGCTAAAAGGTCTGAACTGAATTGTTATAATACATACTGTTAGTTCATCATTTTGTTCTCTAACTCAACATTTAAAATGCTCAGAATGTTGTGTGCTTTTGCTATTGTAAAAGACACACTGCATAGTGTTGCTCAAATTAGTAACTAATCATATTGGAAACTAGTTAGAAGGCTACTAAAGTCTGAAGAATTGCAATTCCGAGTAATGCTTAGTCTGAACTGAGCTGTTTAGAGGCCCCATCATTTTATTTTGCATCAAGCTCTTCCCTTTAGATAGGATCTGGCCATCATTAGCTGGATTGGGTAGTAGGTAAAATACTCAACAGTTTGCAACCTTAGCCGAGCCAAGTATGATCTGTTCTAACAAGCTTGGTTGGAGTGAGTGGTCGTGCCCTCTCATCCCTCTTGTATGGAAAAATCAATATGGCCAATACTCTGTCCCTTAATTGGGTCAGCCCGATGCGGATGGGGATTAATGAGTATGATATGAGCTTAAAGTCCCTTTAATTGGATCTACCCGGTGCGAACGGGATTAGTTTGACTTATGATTCCAAATAACTCAGTGTCTGGTGAACCCTTGCCCTTTGCATAGTTAATTGCATTTACTGATTTCTTCAGTCTTTTTTTTTTTTTTTTGGTAACTTTTAAGCCGCCCATTTTGTACTTGCACCCAATTCATATTCAGTGATTAAAGAATATCACTTCATCTTTTGTAAGTGGGTTGATTTGTGTCAAATTAGGATCTTATAAGTCCTTTTTCAACACCTTTGAAGTTATATTGTGTTTGTTGCAGATATGGCATGGGAACATGCCTTACAATAAAATAGCTGACAGGAAAGGGCACCAAGGATGGATGAAAAGGGAGGGTCCTTACTTCATCTTTCCTGGTGGTGGCACTATGTTCCCAGATGGAGCCATACAATATATCAAGAAACTTAAGCAATATATTCCTATAGGCGATGGTGTTCTGAGGACTGCTCTTGATATGGGATGTGGGGTAGGAATTCAGTTCTCTTTTATCTTTACTTTATTGGAACTCATCAAATTTTACCATCCTCAAATCACGCCGCTCTTTTCAACTTTAGGTTGCCAGTTTTGGTGGTTACCTACTTGCTGAAGACATGTTGACGTTTTCTTTTGCTCCAAGAGATTCACATAAATCTCAAATACAATTTGCCTTGGAACGAGGAGTACCGGCGATTGTTGCCATGCTTGGGACTCGCAGACTTCCATTTCCTGCTTTCGCATTTGATTTGGTGCATTGTTCTCGGTGCTTGATTCCTTTTTCGGCATATAGTAAATTTCCTATTTCCCTGGCCATTCTTGTACTCCAATTAGTTTACTGCTGTTTCTGATTGTAACAAAACAATTTTCCATTCAGATGCAACATACTTCATTGAAGTTGATCGATTACTTCGTCCGGGAGGCTACTTTGTCATCTCTGGTCCTCCGGTGCAGTGGCCTAAAGAAGATAAGCAATGGGCAGAGCTCCAAGCTGTGGCTAAATCAATGTGTTATGAACAGGTTGTTGTGGAAGGAAACACTGCCATTTGGAAAAAGCCCAATGGGGATGCATGTTTTACAAACCAAAATGAATTTGGGATAGAATTGTGCGACTCTGATGACCCGAGCATTGCCTGGTGACTCCTTACAGAAACTATTATATCTATTTCTTTTATTCAATTCCTTTAGCACACTGATGGAACTTTCGTATGGTTATTATATTACTGATATTCAAGCTTTTTCTAATTAATTGTCATCTTTCTGCATCTGAAATAAACTTGCAGGTATTTCAAGTTGAAAAGATGTGTCAGCAGGACATCTTCTGTGAAAGGACAATATGCTGTTGGTACAATACCAAAATGGCCACAGAGGCTGATGAAAGCTTCAAGAGCCACTGCATTAGAAAATGGAGTGGATGTCTTTGAAGCTGACAGTAAAAGATGGGAAAGCACAGTAGCATACTATAAGAAATCGTTAAACTTGAAACTAGGAACTCCAGCTGTACGAAATGTCATGGACATGAATGCGTTTTTGGGAGGCTTTGCTGCAGCATTAATATCTGATCCTGTTTGGGTGATGAATGTTGTTCCTGCTCATAGTCCTTTAACTCTCGATGTCATTTATGATAGAGGACTTATTGGAGTTTACCATGATTGGTAAGTCATTCTAACACTTCTCATGCTCCCTTAATATAAAATTCTGTTTTATCTAATATTACCAGATATTCTGAAAAGAATGTTGAACTTAGCCTCATGTATCCTTATTTTTGTAAGTTCTAAGGAATTTATAAGGTTTTGCGCCTTGATTAAGCAAAAGACAACTAAACCATTAAACACTAAGATTGTTTGGCTTTCAGGCAGGGTTGGACTGATACTAAGTAAATAACAGGTTTAGACTGATCATTTAAGTCTACCTGATATCCTTGGGCAATGTTGATTTATGTCTGTTCATTTTTAGGTGTGAGCCTTTCTCAACTTACCCTCGGACTTATGATCTAATTCATGTCGCTGCTATTGATTCCCTCACGAAAGATCATAATTCTGGCAACAGCAGGTATATATACAATCCTTTTTCAAGTTGTTACTTTTTGTGAGACTTCCTGGAGAGTATGGTAATTTCTACATTTGACTATCATAGAATTGTGGTATGTTTTATATCTGAAGCATCATTTATTGCGATTTCAATAGTTATTGGCTTATTGCGATCTCTTTACAGATCATGGTCCTGAACAAAATGTATATTCTGTTAGCTCTTATAGTTATTTGATCTGAGCCAACTGTCTGACTTGTTTCCTTGGAACCTCACACCACCCTCCAAAACGAGAACACCAAGAGAAGACATGCATGGAATTGATCTGATCTCTACCGCTCTTGCAGGTGTAACCTAGTGGATTTGATGGTGGAAATCGATAGAATGTTGCGACCAGAAGGAACAGTTGTCATCCGGGATTCACCCGAGGTGATAAATAGGACAGAACACATCGCTCAGGCTATGCGGTGGACCTCAAGCATTCACGAGAAAGAATCCGGGACACCTGGGATGGAGAAAATCATGGTAGCAACAAAGAAACTTTGGAAGCTATCTTCAGCATCCCTTTAACATAATTCTTCCATTCTTTTTACTGCAGTTTTGCTTCCTCCCTCCTGCTGTTTCCTATTGCAAAGCCAAGTGTCAACACATCATCCTGCTTTTTCTTGTACTTTCTTACATTAATTTGTGTAGCAGGCAAGTAGAGTAATATAGGAAATACAGTGCAGGAATGTACAAATATGTCACGATTCATATTTGAGTTTTACTGTTAAATATCATTACATAAGGAATGGCATTACTATGGTTCCTATTTCCTATTCAAGGGTAATTCCAAGATTTTCTCGTGAAAGTTCAGCCTTTAAGTTGGTCACTTAGGGTGTGATTGGTTGATGAGTTTTGCCCTTAGGAATGGGTATGAAAGTGATTGTTATTGTTTGGTTGATAGATTTTTAGAACATTACTATGGGTTTCGAATACCCTATTAATTGAAAAACTCATACCCAAATAAAATAAGGGTTTCATTCCCTTATTCATTCTCAAGCACTACTATTAGTAACCATTATCATTCCACTCTACTATCAAACATGTTAAATACTTTACCAAAACTCATTACTCGTTATTACCAAGTATTTGATACCAATTTCAATTCCGATTCCCATGTACGAACCAAACACACCCTTAGTAACCGCAAGGTTTCAAGGACTCCCCCATGAGAGTTGTCTATTGATCTCCTTGGTTTGAGTTAGTCAGCTATGGATAACTTATGTTGGTTTACCTTAAGTTTTTTTGTCAGCTATGAGTTACAACTTACAAGGTGGGCTTCACCTAAAGTGCACCTTCGAATAACAGTTGTGAAAGATTGTACTTTTTTTTCTTTTCAATTTTGCCTTTAATGTCAGTCAAATTCTACCTTCTGCACGTCGATCACCACATTCATACTGTTTGCCAAATGGGGAGTAGACATACTAAGCCCTCTACCTCGAGCACCTGGCTGGCATAAATTCTATATAGTCGCCATTGACTGTTTTACCCAACATATCAAGATAGAGCCGCTAGCAACTATTTCAGCAGATTTCTCTAGAAGAAAGTGGTTTGTTGTTTTGACTTACCTAAACACCTGATCATTAACAACGATCAACAATTTGATCTTTGTTTGGTTTGGTGTGCCTTGTTTAGCTTTATTTTGTTTGTACATACTCTGAGACCATCTCTAACCAAGGCGCCAAAGCACTAAATTTGAAGGAAAAGATGGCGTAGTAGTGCTCCAACCAACACGCCAAAATTTGGTGCAACATGAATAGTGTAGCGCCATATTTGGCGTTGCACTATTCATTATACGCCATTTTTGGTGTGGATTTGTTTTTCTCATTTTGCCCCTGCTTTGTTCTTAATCTTTTTCCCATAGATGGCCTATGCCCTAGGAGATAAAACATGTGGCAAGAATATTTTAATTTCATTTCTTCCTAGTAAGGTATTTCGGTTGTATGGTAAGTTGTAGTGTTAGACCCGAATGCTTGTTTATGTATAACAATAATCCAAAGGAAAATACCTAACTTAACGAAATTGTCTCCCCAATCCCCATGGCAGTTACATTCCCGCCCATTCCGGACAATCTCTCGCAACGGCAAATCTGCGGTCCGAAATCCACCTCTAACCTCGAGTATAAAATGGCAATATGTCGGAATGATTTTGGCATTCAATCGTACGTTAGATCAGGAAACGTCTTAGCCTTCTTTTGGCGGGAGAAAATTAACAAGAGTTTTCCTGTCTGGGAAAATTCTCTGTTGTTTTCTCCTTTGTTTGTTAAACGCGGCGGCGAGAGAGAGGGGAGAGAAGCGTCGTCGTTTCGTTTCTTTCCATTCCGTTCCGTTCTCTCCCTTCTCTCCTCTAGCTTTCTTTCTCCTTTCTCTTTCCATTCTCTCCATTCAAGACGGTTCAGAAAGGTAATCGTTTTGGGATCGGAAAAGAGGGAGAAAGAAAGGATTCGGTTGGGTCGAAGATGGATGTGGTGCGTCGTTTCAAGAGCATTGCTTCCAGTGGCTCTTCGGCTTCAGATCCCGTAATTCCCCATTTTCTTCTTATTATTGGATTTGGATCTGGACATTTCAAATCAAATATATGCTTCAGCTTTTTCTTGTTTTGTTTATATCCTTCATAAAGATGCTTTCTTTTTTGGATTTCTTTTTTGGATTTCTTTATTGATCCTTGAATGAATGGGAAGGAAATGAAAACCAAAATTTCTTATCCTCAGGGAGGGGATCCTGCCATAAGGAAGGGCAAGGATGAACAAGGAGTTGATCAGCCGGTCTCCGGGGAGCCTGTATTGGAAGAACAGGATAATACAGCTTCTACATCCAATGTTGCTAGACCCGAAAAATCTGGAGATAATAATGAACAGGACAACAATAAGGTATATATCTTTAACTTAATTTGTTTTTGCCACTCTTTACAATGTCAAGTTTTAGGTTGTAATTTGTACATTCTTCTACATAGGATATGGAGCCTTCTGTTGTTAGTGGTAAAGGAACAGAACCAGGTCAGATCATTGTAACTACTGTGGGTGGTTCTAATGGACAACCGAAACGGGTGATTTCTTCTTTTACTCAATCTGTTGTTTTCTGTTTTCTTAAGGTAATTGCATTGCATTAATATATGCTAATCCCTGAAATTGTCCCTGCAGAAGTTGTCTTACATGGCAGAGCGGGCAGTGGGTTCTGGTTCTTTCGGAGTTGTTTTTCAGGTAAAGACTTTACAATAGATCATTGACAGTATGCTATGATCTAAAATCGAGTTTTAATTTGATTGTTGTGTATATGGCTTAGGCGAAGTGCCTTGAAACTGGCGAAACAGTTGCGATAAAGAAGGTGCTACAGGACAAGAGGTACAAGAATAGGGAGCTCCAGATCATGCGCATGTTTGATCATCCTAATGTTGTTCAGAAGAAGCATAGCTTCTATTCGACAACCGATAAGAATGAAGTTTACCTTAACCTTGTTATGGAGTATGTTCCTGAAACTGTCTACAGAGTTTCTAGGCACTATAGCAGAATGAACCATCACATGCCCACTCTATATGTGCAACTATATATATACCAGGTGAATAATTTCGATGCAAGTTGGAGTTTTTCTTCGTGACTATCCTTAGCTTGTTTTGACCTGCATTCACTTTTGCAGATTTGTCGAGCTCTAAGTTATATACACAATGTTATCGGTGTGTGTCACCGTGATATCAAACCACAGAATCTATTGGTAATCATGCATTTTCCTTTACTTTTCCCCCTTTTGATTCTTAAACAGCTTCAGTATATACTTTCTTGGATAGATTCTCGAATTGAAGCTGACATGGTGTTATGTTTATTGCAGGTTAATCCTCAGACTCACCAGCTAAAGGTTTGTGATTTTGGAAGTGCAAAGATGTTGGTAAGTGATATTTCTGCAGAATCATATCGTGGCAGATTTTGTTATTTCGCGAATAATAATAACATTTACTCGAATTTTGGTCACACTATAGGTGCCCGGTGAGCCAAATATTTCATACATTTGCTCGCGCTACTATAGGGCTCCAGAATTGATCTTTGGAGCTACGGATTATACAACTTCAATTGACATGTGGTCTGTTGGTTGTGTTATGGCTGAGTTACTTCTTGGACAGGTTTGTTCATTTATTCTGCCAAAAACCATTCTTCTGATACTTGCATTGGACTGATAGATAGCTTTGAAACTGATGATTTCTTGAAAATACAAACTATTATAATACGCTTAATGTTGCAGCCCATATTTCCTGGTGAAAGCAGCGTCGATCTGCTGGTAGAAATCATTAAGGTTCTGGGCACACCGAGTAGGGAGGAGATTAAATGCATGAACCCAAACTACAAAGAGTTCAAGTTTCCACAAGTTAAAGCTCATCCTTGGCACAAGGTGTTTCAGAAAAGAATGTCCCCCGAGGCACTGGATCTTGTGTCGAGGATGCTTCAGTACTCACCCACGACTCGTTGTACTGCTGTAAGTAAACTTCTATTATACTGTCTTTGAAAATGGTTAAACTTTGGGTTCTGAATTTGATTGAATTGCCATCTGATCTGTGTTTAGTTGGAAGCCTGTGCACATCCTTTCTTCGATTCTCTGAGGGAGCCAAATGCCTGCTTGCCAAATGGAAAACCTTTGCCTCCTCTCTTCAACTACAGTCCCCAAGAGCTCGCTGGGGCATCTGCTGATCTGCGGAACCGCCTTATTCCTGAACACCTCAGGAAATGAAGATGTTCAAACGGGCGGTTCATGTAGGCTGCATAGATGCGTCTTCGACTGAAGTTTCCTAGGTTACTTGTGACAAAAAAAAAAGAGGATGAGAAGTGCTTTCCTAGATGTCCTGCCTGCAAGATTCTCATCAAGGGATTCCTGTGTTACTGGCATTATCAACATTATTGATTATTGATCCAGTGAAGAAGAAGAAGAAGAAGACATGACATTGAAGAAAAGCTGCAACAGAACTAGATTCTTCAGGTTTGCTTGGCAAACAGATTCCTCTGTACTGTGTTATATTAACATAGGAATCCCAAGCATTCTTAAAATCAGTGTTTTGCTGCTGCAATATGTGCTGGAGTTGAAAGTGTCAAGATTGGCATAGGTTTTACCTTATTGTCTCCTCCTCACTATCCTTATAGGATTCCCATTTTTTTTAATCCAATTCTCTCAATGGTTAAATCGGTGAAATATGATTCTTGTACAAAAAAAATTACGAGTCTAATTTTTATCAAGATTCTCTCAGTTGAGCCCATCGCACAATGAACTTTCCTCTCATTCAAAAATAGTCGAAGTATGTAGGAAGTTCTGTACTGTACTCTCTTGTTCAATTTAGTGCCTTGAGGTGCATAAAATTTTGTTTGTTTATTAGTTTTTGACTTGCTCTACCACTATGGATGACAATTTTTATTTCTTGAATGACATCAAGCAATATAACTCATATCACTCTGACCTCACATGAATGACTAATGAAAATGTAAAAAATTATATAATTAAATAGACTATAAACTTACTAATAATGAGGATTAAATGGCTGAAATGTCATGATACCCTATCAAAGGGGAGGGGATTGCAAATTTTGGAATACAAAAGTAGAGAAATAAATCTTAAATTTTAAAATGTGAAAAGTTTTTTTACAAAGTTTAAGAGTTGAATATTTATATGTACAAATTTTAGAATAAAAGAATATAAGCAAAAAAAGCACCAAAAACCAGCTTAAAGTTAAGGAAAATTGCGTCAAATAGAAAGAAAGGCGGGTGCATGATGTTCACTTGCCGCCTCAAATTGCCTTTTTTTTTTTTTTTTTTTGGGGGGGGGGGGGGTTTAACTAGTGTGGGATTTATTTATTTATTTATTTTTGAAATAAGGGTTAAATAGACCACTCAACTGCGCATCACATTGCAATTAGGCCATCGAACTAAAAAAGAATGCAATTGGGTCCCTGAACGACGTAAAATCATGCAATTCAATCCAAATTGACTTGTTTACCTGTAAAGGTGGTTACCGAATTAATTTTTTTTTAATAATTTAAAATTTAAATTTAAATTAAAAAAAAAAAAAAAAAAAAAAAAAAAAAAAAAAAAACAGAAAACCCTTCGTCTCCGCCGGAGACGAAGAAGACTTCTTCTTCGTCTCCGGCGGAGATGAAGGGGTGGTTTCTTGGGCTGTCTCCCCGGACATGGAGACGGCCTGAGACGAAGCCACCTTCGTCTCAGGTTGTCTCCATGGACGGGGAGAAGGCCCAAGAGTTGCCTGCCACTTCGTCTCCGGCGGAGACGAAGTGGCGACTTCGTCTTGGGCCGTCTCCCCGGCCATGGAGGCCTGAGACGAAGCCACCTTCGTCTCAGGCCATTTCCCCGGCCAGGGAGACCGCCTGAGACAAAGACCCCTCCGTTTCCGTTCGTCTCCGGCGAAGACGACATAGTTTTTTTTTTTTTAAATAAATTTTAATTATAACTTTTTTTATTTAAAATTATTAAAAAAATATTTTTAAATTCGGTAACCGTCTTTTCAGGTAAACAGGTCAATTTTGGATTGAATTGCATGAGTTTGCGTAGTTCAGGGACCCAATTGCATTCTTTTCTAGTTCGATGGCCTAATTGCAATTGAGTGCGCAGTTGAGTAGCCTATTTGACCCTTATTCCTTTATTTTTTGATTCCTACAAGTGATGCATTTTTGTGGACCCATTGCTTTTGCTTTCAATAGAATTAATAAAGGTAGGTGTGCGTTTCGCGTGCCTAGCTGGCGCGTAAATATGACTGTTTATATATATATATATATATATATATATATATATTGTTGAACATTGTAAGTTTTTTTTTTTTTTTTTTTTTTTTTTTTTTGCTCTGCCTCACATTTTTTTCTTAAATGAAAAAAATCACTAAAAAACTAGAACAAATATGTATGCTCGATGCATGGACATGCACTTTCCTGTGTAACCTTCTTAGAATTTTATTTGCTGAAATATTTTTCATCGAGTATTGATAGTCACTTTGAGTTGGATTTTGACCATATGATACATTATATATGAATCTTGTAAAGCTCAAACATTGAAGTTGTAGGTAAATTTGTTTTTAAAGCTTTTTAAAGGTTTTGGATCACTTCAATTGGTGTGTTAAATATACTTAGAAGGCTAAACATGTGTTAGTATTGATTGGAAATGGATTCGCATCAAATTTTTACCATAATCAAAGAGGAAAAAGCATTCATCGTCGTGTTATTGATGAATTTTTTAAGTGGATGGTGTAGCGCAGCAATACATGTGCAGATCTTGCGCGTGTATAGAAAATAAAACATGTTGTTCAATGTCTTTGTTTTTTACTCAATCCAAAATAATTAGGATTTTTTGTGAGTTGACATCTTTTCACTAACTCTTCAATTCGTACTATCAAATCATATATTGCTAGAGTGTTGTAGATAAGAATGGTACAAGTTTTGAACATCTTGACTTTTTTTTATGAGTTTTGCTATGTTCAATTTTTTTTTCAAAAAAAAAAAAAAAATATATATATATATATATATATATATATATATATATATATATAGAGAGAGAGAGATTAACACTAAATTACATATTCATACTTTATAAAATTTACAAATAGATGAGTTTATAAGTGAAGATTATTTCAATTACTCAAATAAAAACTGGTAATTGTAATCATGCTTTAGATTTTTGATGAAATGAATTGGTAAATTTGAACTAGATAATTAAGATTAAAAAAATGAAGGATTAAAAATAAAATTATTATTTTTTTGAAAACAATTTTTTTTTTATTATTAAAAATTATCAACTCACTTACCCTCTCACCTACCGTTAGCGCGGCTGCGCGAGTGAACTGAAAGCTGAAAAATGATCTGGTGCTACCAACCTCACCCTTTCAAATCGATTTGAACCGTAGATCACTAAACACCTTGCATCTCAAACGTCTTCGTCAAATCACAATTCATCTCCTTAATTGATAGTGTTCCCCGGGCCTACCCAGCACGGCTAACCGCTAACCTCCGTCCCCTCTCTCTCTCTCTCTACTCGAACAAAATCTCTGCCATTATTGGCGATTACTCCAATGGCGAGAGCTCCGGACGACGACACTACCAACGTGAACGTTAATTCCGGCGGGGAAGGTAACGATGGAGTCGATACGACACCTTTGCTGGGCGACCAGATCTTTGGAAGCCGAAGATTTATGCGCCGTCCGCCTAGCCTACGAGGGGCGGCTCGCTTCCTCAGGCGCGCTAGCAGCCGGAGGATGATGCGCGAGCCGTCTATGCGGGTGCGCGAGTCGGCGGCCGAGCAAATCGAGGAGAGGCAGAGCGATTGGGCCTACTCCAAACCTATTGTGCTTCTCGATCTCTTCTGGAATTTAGCTTTCGTCCTCGTCTCGATATCCGTGCTAGTGATGAGCCGTGACGAGTCCCCTATGATGCCGCTCAGGCTCTGGATTGTCGGGTATGATTTCCAGTGTGTGCTCCACATAGTTTGTGTTTGCCTGGAGTATAGACGGCGGAACCAGCTGCCAAGTTCGCCTGAAAACCTGAATTCCCGCCGTAGCTCCGGTAATTGGAGCGGTGGGAATTCGAGCTCCGGAAGTGATGGAGAGAGTGGTGATTATGGCTCGGACACGCGTCAGAATGAGGATGCGGATGAGACTAGGTAAATTCTTTTTTCTTCCGAAATGCATATACATGTACATCAGGACAAGGGGACTAGGGGAGTGTGATCATTTCGATTTCTAGCTGTTAAAATTTCAGATGTTCAAAGCCTAACATAGTGTGTCATCTGTTCAGCCAATCATGACGAATTGGGAATCACGTTAGATTCCCTTCTTGTGTTGCTAGTATGACTTTGGTGTCTCTGGGGTGGATTCTGTTAGAGAGAGTTTGTTCTTTGTGAGGAAAAAAAGTAAACAAAGTCCTAGTAGACTAGTAGTTGTGTATATTTGCCTTCTCATTATAGTGATTAAAGGTTGTGCTTAATTCTATTCATTATGCCTATGTTCTAGTACTGCAAAGCATCTGGAGTCTGCAAATACAATGTTCTCATTCATTTGGTGGATAATTGGATTCTATTGGGTATCTGCTGGTGGTGAAAGGTTGCCTCAAGATTCCCCTCAGCTTTACTGGTATAGCGACAACCTTTATTGGGAAACCTTTGTATTTCTAATATTGTTCATTTCCTTTTGATTGAAGTGTAATTTCATTTTGAACTTTTGCAGGCTCTGCATAACGTTTTTGGCATTTGATGTATTTTTTGTTGTTATCTGTGTTGCTGTGGCATGCGTCATTGGAATTGCTGTTTGCTGTTGTCTTCCATGTATAATTGCAATCTTATATGCAGTAGCAGATCAGGTAGGTTATAGAATCACATTGTTGCTTGTAGATATATAATTCAAATCTTCTGCTATATAGTTCTCAACTTTAATTGAGCAGCCAACTTTTTATTCCACTCCCTTGGGATGTTATTGCTAATGGAGGGATTCCCTTGCAAGGTTGTTGTTCACCTTTAATCAAACCATTTTTCTGAATTCTCTCTTAGATTGATCATTTTTCTTTTGAAGTTGCCCATACGTTCATTGTTGCATTCTGCTGCTGCTGATGTATAACAATGCGGCGACTTAGTAATGCTTATGTAGTGGGACCATCTTCTTATCTTCCTCTCAGTAGTATAAATTCCCTTTATCCTCCGTTTATCTAGAAATGAAGAAGATAACATGGCTGCTGAACCAAAATAAGACATGAAATAAACTATGGTAGGTGCTGCTTTAACATTGATTAATGAGAACCAATACCAAAGTTTGGAGGCTCAATCAGTTTGCTTGTTATGGTTAGTTACTTTGTCCTATACTGTTATTAAGGTGTCTGTTTTTAAAACAACGAAAGTGGATGAAGAAAATTTTTGCTGTCTATGGCTTGAAATTATTCTCCCTGTTCCGGATCATGTGTAGTTTGCAAGTGTTGAAATCAGCTATTTTGCCTGGAAGCACTTCATCTCCTTGTTAACTGTATTATGTGATTGTTCATAGTATTAATCTTTCAATTCAACAGGAAGGAGCAACAAAGGAAGACATTGAACGACTGCCAAAGTACAAATTCAGAAGACTTGGTGATTTTGAGAAACAAAATGGTGAGATTCAAGAATCCTTTGGAGGAGTAATGACTGAATGTGATACTGATTCTCCCATTGAACATGTTCTCCCTCCGGAAGATGCTGTAAGTTCATTACATACCCTTTTTTTTTTCTTTTTTCTTTTTCAGTCTGATAGCAAATCCTTTAATACATCAAGACTTTAAAAATCATTAAATACTTGGACAGAAATTGGCTCTTGAAGAACTATTGCATACTTGACTTTGTTGATCAATTTGCAGCTTATGCTATTTTGTCATTACTTCTTGAATCTTTTAGATTTTGGGATTGGGGCGGTGGGGTTTTGATGTAATGAGATTAAATAATATTTGTTACAAGAACTTTGAACAAAAGTATGCTTGTGTTTCCAATTGGTTTCATCATTCATGCAATTAAAAGGATTGTTAGGGTCTAAAGTCCACAATAAAATTGCACGTTTACATGTTTGATTGTGGTGCAGGAATGTTGCATTTGCCTGTGTGCATATGATGATGGCGTGGAATTGCGTGAGCTCCCATGTCGTCACCGTTTTCACTGTGCCTGCATTGACAAGTGGCTATACATAAATGCCACGTGTCCTCTTTGCAAGTTCAATATAGTCAAAAATGACAACCAAAGCAATAGTGAAGATGTCTAAGCAAGTAATTCTTTATGGATCAAGTGATTGGATAGATGTATAGGTACTGGGCATACTGGTGGGGTCTAAGTTTCTTGCTCAATCTCCCACTTCACTGCGGCATGATTGCACTACTTGGGTGGTTTTTTCACGTGTAGTACATAATATGCACATGGAATGTTTAGTTCATGTGAACATCTTTTTCCAATGCCAAATTGTAGAGTTGTTGCTAATAGAGTTCATACTTGCGAGTGTGTTATGTGTATGGTGTTATAGCTGTAACGAGTGCTACTACACAATTAGTGTATGTTGTATGGAACTAACGTAACACTTGATACATATATGTACTTGGAATGTTTAGTTCATGTGAACATCTTTTTCCAATGCCAAATTGTAGAGTTGTTGCTAATAGAGTTCATACTTGCGAGTGTGTTATGTGTATGGTGTTATAGCTGTAACGAGTGCTACTACACAATTAGTGTATGTTGTATGGAACTAACGTAACACTTGATACATACGTTTTATCAATATAATGAATGTAGAGTGCCATTTCATATTAACTAATGTTCAATTAATTTGGAGTTCTAGTACATGAATTTTACTCCCTGACATGGTAAACAAAGATGGGATATTTTCATCATGTGGGTCCCAAAAAAGTGTCTAATAAGTTGAGAGTAACTAAAAAATAAGAGTTTATATAGTATTTTTTTCATTAATTTGTAGGCAAACCAGTTAACTACCAACCTGTCCACACAGGGATACCGGTTACAGCCCCAGAGTTGGGCACAGGCACGTGCACCCCTGTATATGGTCGTGAATAATCAGTGACCCGTGTAATAGCTGGTTCCTTCACTACAATAGAAATATTAATAATCCCATTCCTCTCGCCATGGCTATCCCTTAGCCTATAACTCAGGAAGTGCAAGTAATTCTCCGGCAGCATTCCTCCCAAGAAATCTGACGCCGGAATTCTTGCCATGCCGATACATTTCTTGCCGGAAAACTTCTTGCATTGAACTTCCAGCGTTAGATAATGTGCATGCATGGGGAAGTGCACCGTTAGCTTTTGGTTCCATGCAACATAGCCTTCTCCGCCTTGTTTTTCCATCCCCGTGTTTTGAGCGTCGCCTGACTCGGTCTTCACTGTCACAAAAGCGTTCTTCTTCACCGGAAGCGATCGGCTTACCCGGAGATCTTCCCCGGATATCACCGTTACCTCTAATGTCCTTGACATCATATCAGAAATCCAAGGAATTGAAACAACGTAACTAATATAACCAAAAAATATAATGGATAATTTCTAACACGTAATGTATGTGTTACTGCAGTGCAGTTTGTAATGGAGCGGCGGAGATGCGGAAGAGATGGTGGATCGCTCACTATATAGGAGGAGTCCACGGCGGATCGGAGGAAGGCAAGGAGAAAGAAGAGAGAAAGGGAGACGCTGTTTCAGTATAATTATGAAACGGCACTATTCCGGAATTATAGTCAAAATTAAGTATTTCCGTAATCCTAACTTTTAAATGTCAAACCAATATCTATCTTTGGAATTGAATTTTCTAAATTAGGCATGCAATCAATGATTCCCGCATTTCCTAGAAGTTTACTGTAAATTTCTATGAAGTTGTATTCATAAGTTTTTTACTCCAAAACTTAATTTCTTTAATTTGATATTAATAAATAAATATTTTCAATTTTATAGAACAACCCCTCTGTGAAGTACAACATAAATCGCCAGATTTCAACCAACTCTCAGCCTCCGGTGAGCGTGTCCGCAGTCGCCGGAGCCGTCAGTAGTCTTATTATTTTTATCACCCGGTGCCGCCGGAAAGCCATCACCACCATGGTTGGTGTCGCCGTCGGCGGGGCTGATGATAATGCTGGCTTTTTGACAACTCCAAGACCGGCGCTTTCTGATAATCGACGGGATGTTTTTGAAGCTCATTGCTTTACGCCTCAAGATGGATTCTGGATCCCGGCGTTTCTCAAGTTTATTCGCTATGGAAACCGGACAGTTTTCTGGTAATTTTGGGGTATAGCTATCACTTTTGCTGTCAACTCCGCCATTGTTAAGCACCTCAGATGTTCCATCTGAATACTGATCCAGCTTAGCTTCTTCTTTGCTGTACATAACAGTTTCCTGATGATAGAGAATCATAATTCATACGTTACGTTTAAGAAGTTAAATAGATAACCAAAAACCTTAATTAATTTGGTTCAGCCATCATGTGCATGAATTTGCAGTGTTATATTCATTTTCCCAACATGGAAATCAAGAAATCTTCAATGAATTCAAACTTGTACATGATAAAGATACATTTATCAGCTCATTCTTCATCTTGCCGGAAAACCCAAAAAGGAAAAACAATATTGTTACCTAATAATGGTTTGTGACAAATAATAAATATTCTAGAGTCGATTACGAATACGTATTTAGCGCAATTGAATTTGTACGCGTATTGTGTTTTTATACTGTCTACGATAATTATATTGTTACATTTATACGTATATATATATATATATATATATATATATATATATATATATATATTAATTATTATGGGATATTCTGAATTTTGAGTAAAAAAGGAAGGTAGCTTTAAAATTGTCCGATCCGATCTTGTTCTACTCGTTTCGTACAGTCACTCTCCCTCTCATCTTTCATCCCTCCTCTTCGTTTGTAGATCGGAGCTCCAAGTATGCCGCAGGGAACGCTGGAGGTTGTTCTTGCCAGCGCCAAAGGCCTTGAGAACACTGATTTTCTCTGTACGTTCTTTGATCCAATGTGTTTCAATTCTATTCACGTAAAATCTCGTCTGCTTAATTTGCGTTTCGTGTTTTGATCAGATGATCATTAGCTGAAGCGTTAGATCGAATCTGAATTGTTTTGTCTGATTCACGATCTGTATCTCGACTGAACTATGGATCGTGTTCCCACCGTACCGGACAATCCGTCTGATGATCGGATCTAACGCCGATTGACGTCGGATACCGGTTTTTTTGTTTCTGAGTCGAGTCATGATCGGAATTTTTAGGCATCTGATGTAAATGTGTAATCAATTGAGTTGATCCGATCCGATGCATAGTGAATGATTCCATTTCCTGTGAGCTCATTGAATTTTTCTTTTCATTTTTCATCGACTTATAAGACTGCTAAATTAAATCTCGTGTTGATCTTTAAATTTCTCCTTTGATCCTGCATTCCTGCATGCATTTTCACAATCAAGTTCCTTATTTCATCTGTTTTTAACAGGTAATATGGACCCTTATGCAATCCTGACCTGCCGGACTCAGGAGAAGAAAAGTAGTGTTGCATCAGGTTGTATCTTCTGCTCAGAATGCTCTATTTCCCCCCAGCTTCCATGGTTTCATTCAAAATTAAAGGTTCTTTTTTAGGCCAATAGAGAAGCAATATTCATCTAAAATGGTAAATGCAGGTAAAGGTTCCAACCCTGAATGGAATGAGACCTTCCTGTTCAATGTTTCTGATGGTGTTTCTGAACTTAAAATCAAAATAATGGACAGTGATAATATCGGCAGTGATGATGTCGTAGGAGAAGCAGTGTGAGTTGTATATATTCTCCTTGATTCAGTAGTAGTAGGGATCCAAGACAGCCCAACCTCATAACATTATGATATATAATGTTATGCTATGTTTTCCCAACTGGTTTATATATATTTGTTTTACTGTGATCTTGAACAGAATCCCCTTAGAGTCTGTGTTTAGTGAAGGAAGCATTCCACAGCAGTCATACAATGTTGTCAAAGACGAAAACTTTTGTGGAGAGATCCGTGTTACCCTCATTTTTAGGCCCGAGGTAAACCACATTATCAGTTTTTGACATTCATTATAGTCATCATAATCGTTATTTATGCGCTCTGCTAAACATCAAGACTACTAACTTTGACGCATGGCAAAGCAGATGAGCAGGGGATTTGAACCGGAGGAGGAGAGCTATGGTGGGTGGAAAGAATCGTCCAGGGACTTCTGAAAGTGAAAGCTTAGCTGGTTTAGTACTACCTGAGTTTAGTTTGATCAGTAATAAAAATGGTGTGAAAGAGTTGAGTTTTTTTGTTTCAATTTCTCATGGTTTCTTTACCAAAATAAGATGAATAGCAGAATAGATATGTGTACATGTTTCCTCTGTTGTTGGGATTTGTTTTTGAGTGTTCAAAGATTGAAGTGAATGCATTGATGCAGTGAAATGATGTTTTTTTTATAGCTTATATTATTATAGATTATAGAATGGTGAGTATTAGGTTGCAACAGTTCTCCTTGTTGAGTTACAATTCTTGAAGATCATGACTGAAATGAAAAAAAAAGTTGTAGCTTTGTTTGTAGTGCCATAAGAATTTTGTACATACTAATACTAATAATACTTTATTTCACACAATAAAATAAAAAGAATCAAGCATATTTGAATTTAAAATACAAGTCCACAGTTGCCACCTCATGATTCTAGCTAGCAAATTTTAAACTTTACTCAATATAACTACCAATTTTGTATTTTAGTTGAGATGGAACACATACTTCAAAATTATTATTTTTACATCATATTTTTATGTTACTTCGGATATATTACTAAAGTCACCTAATAATAAAATATAAAATTGATAAATCAAATATGTTATTTATGGTAACACAATATTTATAGAATTACATCTTAAACATATGATAGTATGTATTGAGACATGTCTTGCAATAGGAAATGTGATCATGTAGTTCGCAATGAAGTTTAGGAACAATGATCCGAAATAAAATATCATTAACAAAAGTGTGAGAGCAACCTCTCAAAGTGAAGGATTTTTTGTACGTAGTAAACAAATATCTAGCATCTGTGTTCAACTGAGTTACTAGTTACTATAATTTACATCTTCCTAGATACTTTGTTTACGTCTTCCTAGATACTTTATTTGATCAGGGCGTAGAGCCCTTAGGATTGCGGATTCAACCTTTTAGTAACCAAATGTTGTCATGTCCGAACTTTCATTGTGAGTCCATATTGTATTGATGTACTACTCATCTCCGGTAGACGGTAGTGTGACTATGTGAGGTTCACATCACATGGCCATATTCAACAAAGATTTTGAAATATAAGTTCCCTCCAAAGTCCAAACCAGAGCCCTAGACCTTCAAATTCAACTACCAGATAGATAGAAATGACTTCCAGAGCACAAAATCAACTCCAAAAACCCCCCAAGCAGCCTCCGAGGATCCTCAAAAAGCAATGGTCCATCGACGATTTCGAGATCGGGAAACCCCTCGGAAGGGGCAAATTCGGCCGCGTCTATCTCGCCCGTGAAATCAAGGTATTATTTTTAAACCACTTGATCGATTTTTTCCTTTGAATTTCTTTCTGGAACTGGAAATTGTGGCTTTGCAGAGCAAGTATGTAGTGGCATTGAAGATAATTTTTAAAGAGCAAATAGAGAAGTACAGGCTGCATCATCAGCTGAGAAGGGAGTTGGAGATTCAGAGCAGTCTTCGCCACCCGAATGTTCTTCGGCTCTTCGGCTGGTTCCATGACGACGAGAGGATTTTCCTGATCTTGGAGTATGCTCACGGCGGCGAGCTCTACAAGGAACTCCGCAAATCCGGAACCTTTTCTGAAGAACAAGCCGCCACTGTATCTTCTGCTCACTCTTTCTCATATATTTTTGCACTTCTGTTTACTACAATTTTCCCAAAAATGATTCAATTTGTTAGTACTATTCCAAGATACAACCTTTTTCCTATTTTCAGCTCCTCAGTGGTAGATATTTCATTCTTTGGTTTATTAACACAAGACTCCAGATTTACCTGTTCAGTATATACTTCCTTTCCTATCATTTTGCATTGCTTCTATGCCTGATATGAAACTTTTTACTCTGCTTTTAATGAGATATTCACAAATGTTGGGATAGTTCAAGTGTTTCTGATGATTTGTGCTTTTACTGGTTCTGATTTTTAGTATATTTCAAGCCTTACTCAAGCACTGGCCTATTGCCACGAGAAACATGTGATTCACAGGGACATAAAGCCTGAAAACCTGTTGCTGGACCATGAGGTAACACTACAGTAACTTTATAATTTCTATGCTTCTTTCATACAGAGCCGAGGCTAATGACAATGCTAGTCTAGCCTCTAGCGAGAACAGGTTGTGGATTTACCAGTTTTCCTTCATATTTCTTGATGTCCTCTAATTGAATTTAGTTTACTTGAAAAACAAGAACTTCAAAAGGTTGAAAGCTAAAAATTTTATCTGCATAACACATTATTTCTACTTAAATGAGTAGCCATATCAGAAGGGGACCTAAGGAATTGGGACCCTAGCCCAGCTGAGTACTAAAATTTCTAGTCTCCACAATCCTTTTGCATATAATTGCAATGTTTTGCTTTTCACAATACTTTGCAAGCTAAAAATTTTATCTGCATAACACATTATTTCTACTTAAATGAGTAGCCATATCAGAAGGGGACCTAAGGAATTGGGACCCTAGCCCAGCTGAGTACTAAAATTTCTAGTCTCCACAATCCTTTTGCATATAATTGCAATGTTTTGCTTTTCACAATACTTTGCATTCTATAAATTCCCCTCCTGCTCATTTTTTTGTTTTAATTATAAATTTCCATAAGATAATGATGGAAGAGAAATATAATTGAAAGTGAATTAGATAGCTCTTGGCATCAAATGGAGCATGTTTCAATTATGGAAAGAAGTTTCTTTTCTAGCATTGTACTTGCCAAATGACACTACATGATCTTATCTTGAAATAGGTGCTATTGTTTTTAAAATCATTGGTAATGTAATCAGTGGATTTTTAATGTAGGGCCGATTGAAGATTGGAGACTTTGGGTGGTCAGTACAATCGAGAAGCAAGAGACATACAATGTGTGGAACTTTGGACTACTTGGCACCAGAAATGGTGGAGAACAAAGCTCATGATTATGCAGTTGATAACTGGACTCTAGGTATTCTTTGCTATGAGTTTCTGTATGGTATGCCCCCATTTGAGGCAGAAAGCCAGAAAGATACCTTTAGAAGGTAAGGATGGATAAACTATTGTATGTAATATCTCAATTCATTACCACAAGATGATGATGCAAAATTTGAACGATGTAGGATTATGAGGGTCGACCTCAACTTTCCCTCCACTCCTCGGGTCTCTGCAGAAGCAAAGAATCTCATTAGTCGTGTGAGTTGGTTAATTGATACATCCACATATTGTCTGTTAAAGCATGCATTTACTCCATAGTCCATATTGTTCTCTGTAATAATATAATGTTAATGTTGCCTTTGCCAGCTTCTGGTGAAGGACTCTTCAAAAAGGCTGTCTCTTGGAAAGATCATGGATCATCCTTGGATAATAAAGAATGCTAATCCCATCGGAGCATGCTGGAATTGAGATCATGGTTCAAGATAGTGAAGGATATTAATCATTTTGCTTGTAAATACATGTCATATATCAAGGCACTAAACCAAAGGGATTTATCTTGATTCCATTTGCCAATTGATGTAGTGCAAACCTTGTTTACCAAATACAAAATACACATTAATTTCCTCGTAATTCTATTAGAACATAATGCTTCTAAGAGCTGCACTTCACTATACAAACACAGTAAGTAAATAAACCATATTCTTTAGTTCTTAAAATAACAGCAAACTTCTCTAGAACACAAGGAGATGGAATCAATGCATGACAAAAGTCGGCGTTTCATCTGTGATGGTGGTGGAATCACTGCTGCTGGTATGAGTAGAATCGCAGTTGACTAGTTGATGAGAAGCCGGTGCAATGGAGAGATTAGTGTTCAAGCTCGTGCCATCATCAAGGTATCTAGTAGGGATGGCGAGCGGGGGGCAGATTCTGTCCATGGAGGCGGGTGGAGGTAGTGCAACGGTAACTGGATTTGATGGCACCGTGATCTTCTTGGACCCCCTGTGCAGGTGAATCTCACAGTACTTGTGCCCGGGAATTGAAGCCCTTTTGCATCGCCATTTCTTACCATCCGATCTGTTGCATCTCAGCAGTTCAGTTTCTGCCAATCTGTTTCGAGGAATACCTGAGCTAGACGACCCTGCTGAATTAAATTTGTAGAAGATTAACATGCTATGATAGCAATTTCAGAGGAACTGTTCACCAACAAAGAAATTTTGGTGACAACCTTTACCTGTACCATGTTCATGACCACTCTTAGGAAATATACCTAGTCCTGGAACAAAAACATAAGATTGACAAGTGTTTCTCTTCTCGCTTATTTGGTTGGTTTCTTTGGCAGTGTTGACGCCATTGAACATGGCATATTTCCCATCAATGTTGTGGGAGTCGGAAGGAGCAATGGTTCTCACTAAGTTTGGGCCGACTCCATGGACACTCGAGCTGTTATGTTTATCAACGTGTCCATTAACTCCACTGGATGGCAATCCAATGGAAGGTGAGGCATTATCGGTTGCAGTTGAAGAGAGAAACTTAGGCTTAGGCTCAAGATTTAAAGGCCTAGCAGGATTAATGTGAGATTTGGATTCAATCTGAGATGCTTCCACAAGCTTTCTTGAACGATTGCTGCCTCTATGCATGTGGCGCTCGCAATATTTCTGATGTGGAACAACGCTCTTGCTGCATCTCCATTTCTTCCCATCGGTTCTTCTACACCTCCCTGGTTCAGGATCCATCATGCTCATATCACCAAATCCCCAAGCATTCAGGTCTCTAACTGAAATAATCAACAGATAAGATAACCACCACAGCTAAGATGAACATTTGAGGCAATTAAGGTATTGTCAACATTACCTCTTTGGTTAAAGAACACAGCTAAGATGAACATTTGAGGAAATTAAGGTATTGTCAGCATGGCCTCTTTGGTTAAAGAAACTATAGATTCTGAACAAAAGCATCTAAAGCCTAAACTGCACAATCAAGCATACTACAAACCCACCAGACTACATTTTCAACTACCCAAATGTAAAAAGGCAAAAATTTATATCAAATTCAACCAGAAACATCTAAAACAAGGGGCAGATAATCACTGCAAAATGCATAGTCAAGTTCAGATAAGGAGAGTCCAAAATGCAAGTCTCTGCAAAAGGCAAAAATGTAACCAAAAACTAAACTAAAATGAATAAAATACAAGGAAAAGATAGAACTTACAGGCTGAGAATTGTTGGGTAAAGAACACAGTGGTATTAGAAGCGAAGGAGGTGGAAACAGTTCTCCAGATGGGAAGAAGAAGGTGGAAGGGAACAGGGAGACCACATTGTATGTACTTGAAGATCAGAGCTTGGAGATACAATTCATGGCATTGAGCTTCTGTAAACCCACACTTACTGCTTTCCTCTTCTTCTTCTTCTTCTTCTCTGTCTTTTGGCTCTGTCTTCACATGGCCATAGCCCAGAACCAGCTTCACGCTTGGCGACCCATCCTTTTCAATACCTTCACACAAACAAACAATCCCATCAGTTTACCCAGAAAATTAAAAACAAAAAACCTCTGCGTTTATGTACAGAGAGAGTGGGAGAGAGAGAGAAAACTAACCAGAGTTTGAATGGGTCTGCATTTTCTTGAATTTGTTTATTTCTTCAAGGAAAAAGATTGACAGTGGCTACAGGCGCAGAGTAAAAAAAGAGCAGAAAGAGAGAGAGAGAGAAAGTTTTGAAGGAGAGAAGGGCAATGAATGAACAATACAACTGCACGCCACCCCATCATGAATTCAGTCACACCCCATTACTCGCATGCATCAAACCGGCAGTGGTTCTCTCGATTCTTGACAGCTTTTTAGTGTGAGAAACCCGCAGGTTTCCAGAGAGAGAGAGAGAGAGAGAGAGGGGTTAAAAGTGGCGTTGTCAGAGTTTCTGACGTGATCAGTCTCAGCCTTAACGCAAAGGGTAGAGCAGCAGAGGGGCAGATGTTCTCAGACAAATATAATTCAGAAGAATTTCGTGACATTGTACCGCTCCACCTTTCCTTTCCTTTCCTTTGTACTACGTAAGTCCAACCGCCGACCATCCGGCGGCGCGTTACTCTAACCACCCGCCCAATTTAATGCCCATCTCGGCTTTTCCCACGCGCAGCCCCTTTATTTGGAAATGGGCATGTCCAATACGATTCCATTAAGGCCCAATAACTTTACAGAAGGCCCATTCTATTTGTTTAATTATAGGCCCACTACAGACTACCAAGTATATGGGCTTAATGCCAACAATGATGAAATTCAAACTATAACAGATAAAATTATAAATACCAGCCAATTTGTTACCAAACAACACTCAAGTCGTTTTGCCATTAAAAGTATAAGTTGACATGATTAATTTTAATGATTCTAATCCTCATTACAAAATTGCTATAATTGTGTAACAATTGCAGCTCATCTTAGCTTGTTCCTTTGTACAATAAGACATAACAAATCATTCGCTTAGTTGTACCTGCTTCTAATTATTGCATCATAACAGCATTTATACTTTTCATTATTGTGAGTCACGGACCAATATATCATTACTAATTTTTTTGAAAACCAAACAACTTCATTAATCAAATCAAATCCGAAATACAATTCGAAGGGAAAAGATCCTACAAACTAAAAATAGAAGATGAAACAGCGGCCCGTGCAAACACATGAGCAACATGGTTCGCTGACCTTTTGACATGACGTACAACAACGTCCCCAATGTCCCTAACAATCGTACGACATTGCTTAATGAGTAAACTAACGTAAGAAAAGTCTACAAGCGAAGAATTAAAATTGGTGCAGAAATTTAAACAATCCGACTCAATAATTATATGGGAATGGTCGCGATTCTTCAACCAGGTAAGAGCTTCTTTAACCGCCATCGACTCAGCCACATATGGGTCCCGACTACACTGCAAATACAGGTCCCGGCTACACTGCAAATGACCTTCATACGCAGTAACAAAATGACCCACAAACCTCCATACGTAGCAACAAAACGGCCCTCATGATCACACAAGACTGCGCCAAAGCCCAGGCCGTCCATACGCAGCAACAAAACGACCCTCATGATCACGCATTTTAACTTATTGTGAGGAGATTGAAGGGGTAGATTTGTAAATTGATTGAAGGGGTACTACTGACCCTGTCACAATGCATACAGTATTTGTTCATAATCACTTAAGCACAAAGAGTTAATACCGCATCCACTAAGACTCGATCTCACAATTTTCTATATGGGAGAGCAATTTGGTGTTACTAGACCATAAAATTATTGAGAAATTTTTATTTTAATTTTAAAATGCAATGAAGGAATAAAAGAAATTATATAATTGTGGTAGAGTTACACTAATATTATCTGTCATTCATAATTTACTTATAAACTATGAGTGTAACTTAGTCCTAAGAACCTTTTCAAACAAGAGACTCATATTCTAACCTAACACTTTCAACTTAAACAAATATTGCTAATTTACATAAAATTTAGTGTCCAAGATCCATACAAGAAGCTTAAGTGTAATTATTATATTCTTTTCGGATAATAAAAAAGTAAATAAATAAAACATGAAATAGCATAATGACGAAAAGGCCAAACAAAATGGCCGAGAAGGCAGATGCATTTTGGTCATTTCATGATAGAGGGGACGATTAAAGAGCATAATGCCGACAGTATCAGTTTTCCAGCTGTGACCCAAAAAGCATATATAACCAAACAGTAACTATGGTTAATTAACCATGGTTAACCGCCACAACCACAATTAATACCTCTTTTCTCCTCCTCCTCATCTTCAGTTCTTCTTCACTCTGAGTTTCAGTATAGTGAGTAGTTCACTGGTCTTGGCTAACGTGCACCATGGGTTCAGTTCGCCACCTCCTCCTCTTCACGGCCGCCGTCATTGCCGTTTCCTGCGCCGTTAGCGCCGCCCACAACATCACCGCCATCCTGGAAGGTCACCCGGAGTACAGCCAGTTCAACGACTACCTCTCCCGAACTAAGCTCGCCGACGAGATCAACACCCGGACCACCGTCACCGTCCTGGTTTTGACCAACGGCGCTTTCTCCTCCATTACCGGCAAGCACCCACTTTCCGTCGTCAAGAATGTTCTAGAGCTTCACGTCTTGCTTGACTACTGGGATGGAGATAAGCTCCATGATATCTCCAAGGGGACCACTCTCTCCACCACTTTATACCAGACCACCGGCAATGCGCCGGGGAACTTGGGGTTCGTTAACATTACGGATCAGAAAGGTGGGAAAGTCGGGTTCGGATCTGCGCTTCCCGGGTCGCCATTGGCGTCTCAGTACACCAAGTCTGTTAAGCAAATCCCGTTTAATATTTCGGTGATTGAGATCAGTACTCCTATTGTTGTCCCTGCGGTTTTGAATGCTCCGGCGCCGTCGCCGTCGGATTATAACCTCACCGGCGCTCTTGAGAAAGCTGGATGTAAGACGTTCGCTAGCTTGTTGATTTCCTCCGGTGTGATCAAGACTTTTGAGAAGGCTGCGGATAAAGGGTTGACCATTTTTGCGCCCAATGATGAGGCTTTCAAGGCCGACAGTTTGCCGGATCTGAGTAAGCTTAGCAATGCCGATACGGTGGCGCTCTTGGAGTACCACGCCGTGGCTCAGTACACTCCTTTTGGGACGTTGAAGACCTCCAGGGATCCGATTTCGACTCTCGCGGCTAACGGCGCCGGGAAGTTTGACTTCAGCACGGAGACCTCCGGCGACTCTGTCACTCTCCACACCGGCGTGGATTCCTCCAGGGTGGCGTCCACCGTCATAGACTCCACTCCGCTCTGCATCTTCACCGTCGACAAAGTGCTTCTCCCCGCCGAGCTCTTCGGCAATGCTCCTTCTCCGGCTCCCGGACCCGCCCCGGAGATCTCCCCTGCCCCAGCACCCGAAGCCGACGCACCAAGCCCCTCTCCGGAAGCCTCAGCCCCGTCGCCCCTCCTCTCTCCCCCGGCTCCCCCGACCTCATCTCCCGGCGGCGCTCCCGCAGACAGCCCGGCTGCCGATTCAGAGAACACCACCGCCAGCAAGAACTCCGGCGCCGTCAACGCTCCAGCATTACTGCTCACCCTACTCGCAGTGTCAGTTTACATGTCCTAAACAATCATTCTGTACCATTGTTTGCCTAAATTATTCCACTTTTTTTTTTTTTTTTTTTTTTCTGCTTCTATTTGTGTCTTGAATTTGCAGAAAAGGATTTTTATTTATTTTTACATTTTATTTAAAATTGTACGGTTTGCGTGTGATACTCATCATATCAGACATCAGGGAATGAGATTAGGACACCATTGCTTTGATCTATCTTTAATTACATACTTTTGGCGTTTAATTATCGCTTTATTATTTATGGATAATTAAGGTTAAATAGTAGATCTGGTAGAGTGTCGGTTCCGACCAGGATGATTTGGTCCGACCATACAATGCGTCATCATTACGTGTTTACAACCCCAACCCTCTTTCTTTGTACAGTACTATAAATCCAGTTCAAACTGCCAATTTTCTGCATTTCCTTACAATCGGACCAGACAATACTTTAGACTTGTAGTTGTAGAGCATATTATTATGAGTAATTGAGATGAAATAATATATTTTTTCATTCGAAAACATAAGATGAATTGAATTGTTTGTTAAAATGTTATTGAAGGATTTAATAATGTTAGACACGATTTAATGTTGGAAGATCTGGAAATTTCGGGTGACATGGACAGCATGAAGAATGTGAGGATAGCATCAGTTGTCTGCACTAACTTGCAGACAAAAGCCGCCAACTCAACTCCAGTCATTGCTACAACCACTGGCACTACACCACCTCATACTATACGATACCACAAATGCCACCCCCCCCCCCCCCAGCATTTCATTTTTGTCGGTGCATGTTTTATATAGTCATATTATACTTCTCTTTTTGTTATTTTTTTTTACACCCAGAGTTTCCACCGTCGAACAAAGTGACTGATCCCCTCACCTCTTTTGGGTAAGACAATTGGCCTAGAGATTTAATATTGCTCCATTCTCAAAATCAATGATCGAACCCTTGACCTTTGATTAAGAATGGATAAGTTCTTTTCACTCAACCACACCCTCCAAATTTTTGTTCATTTTTAATACAATGAAAAAGGAATAACAAATAAAAATTGTGTGGATCATAATCCACGCAATACTGTATAGACCATAAATAGTTATGTATAATAAAAAATAGGGATAAGGGTCAAATAAGCCCTTAAACTATACTCATTTGTGCAATTAGGCCCTTCAACTCCAAAAAGCTCCAATTAGAACCTCAAACTTACCAAAAAAGTGCAATTAGCATTATTTGCAGGTTACTTTCAAGTTAAAAGGTCAACTCTTGATGATTGAATTTTTCAAGCTGATTTGGCGAGCTGAGGTGGCTTTCACATTTTTTTTTAAATAATATATTATATTAAATTTAATTTTTAATAAATATTAATAATCGTATATTAAAAATTAAAAAACAAAAAGTTATGCTAGCCCAAACAGTCGGAGGCCACAGCCACCCTACTGACATCATCACAGCACCGTTGTCGCCGCCGCTGCCGTCACGCACCATCGCCAACTTTCAGTCCATACCCTCCATATCTATTACATCCCCTGATGCTGGGTAGTCTCGTCCCTTGGACTCCATCTTTGGGCCTCTGCCATCCAGAACAGAGCTCGAAAAAGCCATGTCCGATCTCCGCTGGTAATATTATAATAGCTTTAAACCAATTGAAATTTTGTCGGATTTCAATACATCAAAGTAAGTTCTTGGTCGTACTACGCGGTGTCGGTTTGCTCAATTCAAATGCTGTAAATGAAGTATAGAAACCAAATTGGATCGAATCCTAAGATGCAGAAACCTCAAACTAATATGTTAATTTCAATTCCGATCCATGGTTGGGTTCCTTCTGATTTTTCTTTTTAATTTATTATTATTATTAATTAAAAATTTAAAATTAAATTTAATATATATTTTTTGGAAATAAAATTAAATTTAATATAATATATTATTTTTTTAAAAAAGTGAAAGTCACGTCAGCTCGCCAAATCAACTTGAAAAATCCAATCATCAAGAGTTGACCTTTTAACTTGAAAGTAACCTGCAAATAATGCTAATTGCACTTTTTTGATAAGTTTGAGGTTCTAATTGGAGCTTTTTGGAGTTGAAGGGCCTAATTGCACAAATGAATATAGTTTAAGGGCTTATTTGACCCTTATCCCTAAAAAATATATTTTTAATATATTAAAATCACATTATTTGATAGTATAGTTCACATAAAATTGGGACATAACCTTTTTCTTTTTATGTAGTTTGTCACTTTTTCATGTCCATAGGCCCAATCTCTAAATTGAAATAACAAGGCCCAACTAATTAGCCCAATGTGGCCCAACTATGTCATACCAAATTCTATGCTTTTCAACGATTGCTCAAATCTCTCATTCCATCCGGCAACTCGAAGCGGAGCTGAAGACGATGGCGACGGAACCTCCTCCCTTCGCCACCAACACCGCTTCCACTAACCAGCGCCAGGATAGACAGCAAAAGCTAGAAGCTAAACGGCACCGTTCTATCTTCGAACTACCATCGGACTTCTTCGATTCGTGTCTTCTCCTCCAGTCTCCCTTCGCATCGTCACTCCCAATTGCTGAGCGCTTCGAGAACCTCTCTGTCAATACGGAATGCGACGTCGTAGTGGACGAGAAGCCCGCAAGCGAACAGCAGGCCGCTGAGAACAACGGCAGCGGCAGCATTAATAATGTTATGCGAAGATGGTCTTGCAATACTTGTAAAGCTGAATTCGAGTCTCTCCAAGACCAGCGCTCTCACTTCAAGTCTGATATTCATCGACTTAATGTAAATTTCCTCTTTCTACAATGTCCGTTTATCTTTCCATATTTGTTTCCAGATTAATCAATTTTCGAATGGAAGTTATCAATGGTAGAAATTGATCCTTTTTCCCTGTTTTTAATCGAAAGTGAAATGCTTATTATTGAAGCTATCATCAGTAGTAGGAAACAGTGGTTTGCATTACTGAATTTTTGAATTGCTAAAGATTGGACCTTCACTGATCACCATGTTTACAAATATTTGTTAAAGACGCATGGTTGAGTAATAGTTGAGGAAATACTAGCAGCAACTTTAAATTATTTTCATTTAGGAGTTATGTAAAAGAGCTGATTCTATATATTCACCAAATTTTAGTTGGGCACTTGAGTTCAGCATTCTATTATATTTTTTCTTTGATAATATGATTAGTCACTGCAGATTTTAAATCCTGCTTTTGTGTTGCAAATTATTCTAGCTACTGTAGTCCAATCATCTTTATTTATTTTTTTAGTAATGAAGTTTGAAAATGTTTCTGTTCCATTGTGGAAGTGAGAATTGAATTTGTAGTTTGTCAATCAGTAATTTGGTAGTTACTATTGAAATCAGATAAAACTAAGTATTGCTGGAAAAGACACGATGAGGGAGGAAGATTTTGATGACGGCACCTCAGACTCTTTATGCAAGGATTATGACATATCAAGTATATCAGCGTCTGATGATGATGATGACAGAGAATCAGTTCTGCCAAATGACTTGTATCTTGGATTAGAAGGAAGTGTTAAAAATAAAATGTTTATAAAATTGCAGACTGGAGAGGTAGTTTCACTGTGGAAGTCTTTGCTTCTGAAGGAGTCAGAGCACATTTTATTTGAGAATGATAAACCATTTGCCACATATGATAGTGATGCGGTTATGCTGTACTTGAGGGAAAGGGAAGTTGTTGAAAAGCTTAAATCTTTACTCCATGAACCCAGGGATAATACCCAGTTAAGGATTGTGTTGCTTGCAAGAGGTGGGCACTTTGCAGGCTGTGTCTTTGATGGTAACTCTGTTGTGGCACATAAAACATTTCACAGGTTAGATATTTTGATTCGATTAGCTTCTTATTAACAAGGATTGCATTTAACATGTTTTAATTGCACTTCACTTTATACCCTTTCCAATATCCAATGGTTGTCTTAGTACTTTTTGACGTAATCAGATGACTATATATTTCATTTAATCTGTTTTCAAATGGAGAAGCTATTGCTTCAGTGTCTTTAATTTGTTTATAAATAATTATTCTGCCTTTTTTATTTGTTTATAGGTATGTTATACGAGCCAAAGCTGGTAAAAAGCAATCGTCAAAGGATGCAAGTGGGAAGATGGCTCACTCAGCAGGAGCATCACTTCGTCGACATAATGAACTTGCTCTGAAAAAGGTAACTTAGATTTACAATCAAGAAACAATTATTGATAGTATGCAGGCATGCAGCCTGCTAAACTTTATTTTTTTTTTTTATGCACTCTTAGTTTCAGATAATTGACATTATATTTGGTTCATTACCAGGAAATTCAGGAATTACTGGCTGCATGGAAGCCTTATTTTACTAATTCATCTTGTGTGTTCATATATGCCCCCTCCAACAATCGTCAACTGTTCTTTGATGGGAACCAACCATTTTTTGCTTGTCAGCATCATGCCATTAAGAATGTTCCTTTGACAGTTCGGAGGCCTACATTTAAGGAAGCTCGACGAATATATAATTTATTGACTCAAATTTCTTTTGAAGTTAATGAGGAAGCTTCGTTTAATGTAAAAAAGGGCTCACTGTTAAGTGAAAGCACTCCTAACAGTGGCTGTTCTGAGCTTATCAAAGAAGAATTGGGGCAAAATTCTGAGAGTAAGGAGATTATTGAACCATCTATTAGTGGCAAAAAGCTTGACGATCCTAGTATATCAAGTCAAAGTGAGAGTGAAAATGACATTAACGGTATAACAACGCCTTTACACGACGCAGCCAAATCTGGGGATGCTCAGAAAGTTTTGGAACTTCTAGAGCAGGGTATGGATCCATGCATCAAAGATGAGAGAGGTCGAACTCCATATATGCTTGCAACTGAGAAAGAAGTGAGAAACACTTTTAGACGATTTATGGCATCAAACCTTGATAAGTGGGACTGGTATGCTGCAAAGGTGCCTAGTGCATTGACCAAAGAAATGGAGGATTCTCAAGCAGCTAAACAGGTAGTTTAAGTGTAGCATTGCCATTTCTTTTGGCTGCCCTTGCTCCTTTAAAAAATGTCCTGGACATAGCCCTTTCAATCTTGATTTGGATCTGAAGGGATACATAATTTAGAAAAAGATAAATATATCTTTAACCGGATCATTCATCCAAAGGATGTCAGTTTGTTCTGTGCATTTGACTAAAAAATATCAGCTCCTTTAATATGCATTTTTACTATGCATAAAAATATAAACATAGTAATTTATTCTTTTTATTCTTTTTTATTGACATTGAGGCGAATTTGGGAGTTATCTGCCAAGTCAGATTCTGCTGTTAAGATTTAAGAAGCTTTGATGCTCACATCTGTGATACCTTGCCCAGGCGGAGAAAGATGCGAAGAAAAAAGCTAGGGCAAAAGAGCTGAAGAAATTACGTAAAGCAAGACAAAAGAAGGCTCAGGTCTTTAGTTGTCTTTTTAACTTCCAACTCTGAGCATTTTCTATGATTTAAAATTTTAAAATAGCTGCAAGTATGTTCTTAAGACAAATATTTAAGTATGTTCTTTAGAGTGAAAATTAGTGTGGATTTTGGAGGGTCTTCCTAGTTTTTATTGATTCTTAGTTGATACTTGTTTATTTTCTGAAATCTTCTCCCCTTTTCCTTTCTAAAGATCATTGTTGTGTGAATGTGTGCCACTAATTTACAGGCTGAGGCCAATGAAGCAAAAGTTACTTCAACCAAGTCTGAGGGTCAACCCCTTGCTCCAGTTTCAGCTCCCAAGGGTTCATCTCAATCCCGCTTTTCAGAAAAATTGTCTAGAGAGGTTAGTTTACCCACTCACCCCAGTATTCCTCATCATTTCATTATCATCATCATCATCTCCATGTGAAATGTAAGCTTCTCATGATTTTGGTATAGAACATTCTATTACAAGAGATCTGTGCTGGACTTGCCACTCTCAGTCTGTTTCACGAGTTTCTCTCACTTTGCCCTTTGCATCGTAATTAGGAGGAACTGAAAAGGGCCCAAGACTCTGAAAGGGAAAAGAGAGCAGCTGCAGCCGAGAGAAGAATCGCTGCCCTTAAACTGCAGAGCACCACATCAGCTTCTGACTCGAGCGCATCTGGGACTGACATCCTATGTTCTTGCTGCAACGCATCACTAGCAGGCAAAGTTCCATTTCATCGGTATAACTACAAATACTGCAGCTCATCATGTATGCATGTGCACAGAGAGATCCTTGAAGATGGATGATTGACTTCCTCAGTTCCTTCCTGTTGTATCTTGTCTCTTTTCAATTCTTTTAAATCCCCATAATCTATCTCCATTGTATAAACATTCTACAATTATGGCCTTGCAGTCAGTTTTATAGGAGGTTTATACAATAATATTTATGAAATTGAGATCGATTTTCATGAATGTGAAATAAGCTCTAAAATTAAGTGTATTGTATTTTTCATTAAAATGGTGGTTAGTTATCTCTTCGTTTATAAATTTGAAGTATGCATTGCAAAAATTACAAAAACACATAATACACAATACAAGAAACTTGACATAAGAATTGGGTCAATACATTTTTAAGTTATAGAAAGAGATTTGCGTTATCTATTTTTTGTGTCAGACCATCGAGGTGTCCTGAACAGGTTCTAGAAATACATTTAAAAGCCCGTACCATACACAAACTAATTTTCATTTGTGTTATTCATTAGTTCTATAGTTTTATTATGGGTAGATTTGTAATACATTTTAGTTTTGAGGTAATTATGCAATTTAGGTATTTTATGTAATAAAATATTTACTTTCCCTTTTGGTATTGGGTTGGCAGGTGGCAAGCAGAGTGTTTTAGGGCTTTTCCAAATTCCCCGCCATTTCTGTGAATTAGCGGCTGAATGACCGTCGACGAGTGAAATGGAAAGATGTTGAAGGAAGGCGATAACCCGACGACGCCGTCGGCGTTAACCTCGAAGCCCGACCAAACTACGAGCCCGAATCCAAATGCTTTTCCCAAAGAGCAGCGACCGTCGCCACGCACCTCCGAGTCCATCTCCTCCCGTTCCCGTGGCAGTAAACTCAATGAGAACAATGACCATAGTTCCCAGCCGCAGGGAAACCCTCAGAACCCCGAGGAATTCATACTCCTCGTCGCCTCCAAGTTCGCTTCGCAGCCTCTTCAGTACTCCGATCCTGACGTTTGGGGTGTCCTCACAGCCATTTCCGACAAGGCTCGCAAACGTAACCAGGTCCGTGATTCCTTTGTTTTGTTTGTTTATTCATTTGTTTTTTTTTTTTTTTGTTATTTATTTGTTTTTTTGCTTTTGTTTTTTGTTTTGTTTTGTTTTGTTTTTTTTTTTCGTTTTTTTTTTTTTTTTTTTTTTTTTTTTTTGAAGCAGTAAATTTAGTATTTTAGCTGAATTGTTTTGAATTAATAATTGTCTTTTTGAAGTCTTGTGCTTCGTGTTACCTACATTAGCAAAGTCATTTAACTTTGTCAAGAAAATTTCAAGATTTTAGACTGATGATGAATTTATGGTATTCTTGTTAATAATGGCAACTATGTTGTGGTTGCAGTTGCACAGCTGGATATCTCTGGTGTTGACATAATGCTCATGAAACACTCAAATAACTTTCTTCTATCAAAGTGCCATTCATAGTTGGAAAATCACATATCAGTGTTCTTACTTGTTCATGGTAGTTTAATAGTTGCATCATGGATTATGTGAAAATGCTTATGAAATAAAAAGAAACCCAAATGTCCTATTTTTCTCTAGTTGCCTTGGTGGAATGAACTGATGTCTATTTTCTTCCCATAATTTGAATGATTTTCATTTGCTGCTGACCATTGGTCTTTCAGCATATAGTGGAATATACCATGCTTTAATTTTCAATGTACACTTAGATTGTTCATTATCTGACATTTGCACTTTCAACTCAGGGCATAAATATACTTTTGACAGCTGGAGAACATCGCATTGGCCGCTTGGTGGGTGATGCTCGGTTCCAAATTTCATCCCCAGCTGTTAGTGCATCACATTGCAAGATCTATAGGAAAAGGATTGCTAATGAAGATACAGAGCACAACACTTTAGTATTTCTGAAAGATTCTAGGTAGAATTTACCTTCTGGATCTTTCACAGTCCATCTTGTTAAGTCAATTTTCTAACCTTTGGGTCTTCTGCAGCACGAATGGGACATATCTCAACTGGGAAAAGTTGAATAAAAATAGCCCTGAAGCTAGACTTAAGCATGGCGACATTATATCTATTGCCTTTGCTCCACAACATGGTAAAGGAATGTTAGTCTTTCTATGAACTGTGCTTGCTTGTGCCGATTTTAACAATGAAATATAATAGATTTGCCAAGGTCTTATTTTCTTCTGGCCAAAATTAGGTCATTGTTAGGTCAATAGAAGAAGAGTATCTTTCACTCATCAATCATTCATTAAGAACTTGAAACTTTCTTTCCAGATTCTGGGAATTGAGTAAAGCTCAATGGGCTGAAATATGAACTGTGGTTCATGGTTCCTAACTGCAAACTAAGTTGCTAAAGTTCTGCATCCTTTCCTGCTTTTGTTGACAACTTGCTATTGCCTATGGCTATTTATCAATTCATGCTGCTTTCAACTTTTACTACTCTAGGTTCTCATGTTAGTGTAATGTGTGGAGGTTTTATCTGAGCTTTTCTTTAAATGAATGCTTGTATTAAATTTCCCCCCCCTCTCTCTGGCTATATATATATATTAGTTATTTGGGTTTAGAGTTTTTTTATTTTAGTTATTTTCCCTCTATCTATAGAGTTCCTATTTCTATTTGTTTCTTTAAAATTCTTTTTATATGATGACAGAACATGCATTTGCCTTTGTATTTCGAGAAGTTTTAAGGCCTAGTTCATCAGCTGAAGAGGTAGCTGTAAAGAGAAAAGCAGGTATCTAGGATTTTCATTACTCTTTTCTGTTGATTTTGTTATGCTGGTATAGGCTGATGTATTGGAAACTTTCAACATTTCTCTCTCACCGGTATAAATAGTATGCAATTAGCTCAAGTTGTGTACTTCCTCTGTATGTTAGGAATTGTCCCATTCAATAAGTTAAACAACATTTATAACTTCATTATTGAAAATGCCCTTTAAATTTTTTTTGAAATGATAAAATATTTATTACTTACACATTTAATGTGGGCAAAATTGGAAATATATCACTTAGTCAATGCATTAGATATACACTCCTAAATCCGTATCTGGTCAAAGTGGATGATTTTTTTTTGATGGAGGGAATTGTTGCTATTGACTAATATGTCCTTATCTGCTGATGGTTGTCCTGTGAAGAGGAGTTTGGCGGTGACAGCAAGAGACTTAAGGGAATAGGGATTGGTACTCCTGAAGGTCCTATTTCTCTGGATGATTTCCGTAGCATGCAACGGTCAAACACGGTACACTTTTTTGGGATGCTTAATATTGCTTCTGCAGGTTCACCAAGTTCATTTCTTTTATTCTTCATAACCATATGATTTTAATTTATGTACAATTTCTTATAGGAGCTGAGGAAGCAATTGGAAGATCAAGTTGCAAATATTGACGCATTGCGTAATGAATATCGTGCAACTGTTGAGAGACATGAGACTGTATGCTTTACTTGTTCATATTTGTTCTTTTCTCTTTTGAATGGATCCATCGCTGTGCATAACTTTTAAGTTTGCTTGGCTTGTTTATGTAATTAAATGAATTTGGTGGTTTCTTTTTGCAATATATTAATATGCATTGTTTTAGAATTGCCATTAATTTGTATGTAATACTAATATTTTAATTCTCTTTCCTTCCTGTGCCTAATTTTACTTTTATTGTTTTGTAGGAAGTGAAAGTTTTGAGAGATTCTGTTTCAAAATCCTACCTTGATCAGCTCAAAGAGTTGAACCAGTTGTTAGAGGCTAAGGAGAAAGAAATTGTGGAATCTAATAGAATATCTGCTGAGCAAAAACATGCCCTGGAAGACCTTAATGAAAGACTTAGTGCATCTGAGCAGTCATGTCTTGAGGCCAATGAAGTAATAAATAGGTACACCATTTATTTAGTTTAGATTTCTCTGTGGAAATGTCAAATTGCACTTATTTTGTAATTCTTTTTCTTTTAAATTTATAAATATTTTTATCAAAAGATTGCTTGCCTTAATTGTACACTTTTGTCGTGGGGAGGATCTTAAAATAGGCCTGTTTTTAAAAAATTTTAGTCAGAAAGCTTCTCTTTTGGAACTAAAGGCCTTATTAGATGAGGAGCGTGAACAGAGAAAAGAAGAACGAGAAAAGGCCGCATTAGACCTAAAGGCCTCGATACAGAGAGTTCAGGCTGAAGCACAGGAGGAAATAAAACGACACTCCGATGCTGCCTTGAGACGTGAAAAAGAGCAGCAAGAAATGATTTACAAACTGCAGGTAAAAATGAATCAACTTGTTATGGCTTCTCGTTTGTTTTATGAGACCATGATGATGAAACATTAGTTCTTTATGACTTCAGGAATCGGAGAAAGAGAGGTGTTCACTGGTGGAAACCATGAGATTAAAATTGGTATTCTCTAGTCTAGTGTATACATGACCTTACTCCTTGTGCATTATGCCTTGGTTCTCTAACTGATTGAAAGTGTCTTGTTCTCTTTCTTTCCTTACCACAGGAAGAAACCAGACAGAAACTGGTAAATTCAGACAATAAAGCTCGCCAGCTTGAGGCGCAAATGCACGAGGAGCAATTGGCTTCTGTCAGTAACAGAAAAGTAGGTTACTTGCTTCTTGTTAGAATTTCAAAGCATGATAGTTTTATGTGTGTGAGTGTGTTTGCTTTACTGTGATTGCACTGGATGCTGAGAACCTGGGATATTGTGTGCTTTATTTGCAGAGAATAGAAGAACTAGAGCATGAAAAGAAAAGGCTGAGGAAGGAGCTCGAGAGAGAAAAGGTAGGAATCGAACGAGATGTTTTATATTCTATCATTCTGGTTTTAAAGTATACATTCATCTTCTATATGCTAAAACCCAAAACTGAAAAACTTGTTTTTGTAAAATAGAGATTACTATTTAAGTAGGTTTCTACTGGTTCAATGCTTTTCAATAGTTGAGACTTTCTCTTGCCGCTGTAGCAGTCTGCTCGAGAAGAAGCATGGGCAAAAGTTTCTGTTCTTGAACTTGAGATCAATTCTGCAGTGAGAGATCTAGATTTTGAGAGACGTAGGTTGAAAGCAGCCAGGGAAAGAATTATGCTTCGGTAAGAGCCCAAGAGATTTCTGCTCTTTAAATATTTAGGGTATGCATTATTTCAGGCCTGTTTCAGTAACATATATTATGTTGCCTGAGTGGTTTGCAGAGAGACTCAGCTCCGGGCTTTCTATTCCACTACTGAGCAGATCTCAGTTTTGTTTGGAAAGCAGCAGGAGCAGTTAAGATCGATGCAGAGGACCTTAGAAGATGAGGAGAATTATGAGAACACATCAGTGGAAGTGGAGCTTGAACCAAACAATTTCAACGTTAAGAGATCAGTAGTTGGAGAGAGAGAGCTAGGACGTTGCATCGATGGTGGTAGTAAGGCTGGTTTGAGTGATTCCGCCCATAAGCATGTGAGAGATGCAGTTGGGACATCAAGTGATGCTAGTGTCACAGAGAAGCACGAATGCAATGTCAGAAGCCAAGAAGAAGGGCAAGACACCCAGGAGGTGGAATTTACGAGCACGGAACGGTGTCAGGGTGCCTTTGGTTCTGACATCAATGGGGTCGAGACAGTACCTATGATGGAGGGAGATACTGTGGGAACTGAACAAATCCATGAATCTGGTGCTAATATTGACCTTGTAGGAACAGAAACTGTGGTCGAGACTGAAAGCCCTGCTGCTATAAATGGTGACAGGAGTATAGATTTAAACAAATGCTGCAATACAATACCTGCTGAGGATACAATGCAATTAGATGTTAACACAAATGAAACGGAAGCCCAAAGGCAGGAACATACTGCCCTTGAGGTTGAGGTTCAAAATCCTCTAGATGACACTGAAGCAGTAGGAGGTAGCATCAGAACAGCTGATCTTTTGGCCTCGGAAGCTGCTGGGAGCTGGGCATGCAGTACTGCCCCATCTGTTCATGGAGAGAATAATAGTTCTCAACGGAGTAAAGACGAGAGTAATGGAGCTGGCCCATCTACTTTACCTGAATCATCATCATGTGCTCCTGTTGCAGAGAGTCAATCCGCCCCATCATCTTCCAAGGAAAATCATACAAAACGGGATCAAGACCGCAAAGCACTAAGTGAGATGATTGGAATCATTGCTCCTGATCTGAAGGAGCAGTTCAGTGATGGTGTGGGTGATAATGAGGAAGGAGGGGGGTTTGCTTCTAACTCAGAAACTGAGAGTTGCACAGATGATGATGATGATGTGGTGGCGAACACTGAAGTTGGATCAGATGCAGAAACTATTGGCAGCGATGCAATGGATGAAGATGGTGATTAAGCAAGCAGGCAGATTCCGTTGGATGGATAGGCATGCATGCTGATGCGATGTAGTAGTGTAGTGGGTAGGGGTATATATTGTACGTGTTTGGATTTGTCATTAGCTTGTACAGTTCATTTCTCCCCCTCAAAATGTCTTTGTACGCTATCATTTGGAGATCGAGTATGCAATGTGTGATTTTATGATTAGCGGAATTATGACCTGGGATCAAGTCTCACCAGCGGTAGTGTGGGAGTAACCTCTCAAAGGGAGGGGGGCTCCTTGTGCGCAGTGAGCAAAGGTCTAACCTCTGTGGTTCATGTTCAGTTGAGTCACTATGATTTACAACCTTTTGGAACAATGTTCAGTTGAGTCACTATGATTTACAACCTTTTGGAACAATGATTAGCGGAATTATTGGTAAAGATTATAACATAAAATAGAAAAAATTTAACAATTGCATATATAGTTCTGATTATATGTTTAATTTTATTGACTCTTATTAAATTTAGTAGATTAGTAGCTATATATTCAATAATATAATAGTTATTCTTGACATTTATGCAGTAGCGTATTGTTTACCGGAAATATGATTAAACAGAAGCACCAAATCACAGACACACCAGAAACATGAGACAGTGATAGTGGGAAGTTGTGACATTCTTATAGAGATAAGATATGATATTTCAAAGATAGATACTACTATACGTCAGGTGATAGCTTAACTGTACTTATTGTCATCTGGGTAATGGGTCTGTATTTTAATTGAGAGTGTTCGGTTTGATTTCTTGTCGGACCACAACTACTCAGTTGTACATTGGATCTGATCTGACTCTTATTATAACATAACATGGTATGTCACCCTTTGTCCTTCTTCTACTGTACTGTTACTTCACCATGTGTGCAATTCAATGTTGTGGTGATGGGGTTGGTCCGTCCCACATCATATATATATATGAAATATAATATTATTAGTATGAAATTAATGAAATTGTCATTTAAGTACAAGAATATTACAAATAGGCCGGATTTAAAAGGTCACTAATTAAGTTACTTCATAATTAAAATAAGGTTTTTAATTAGCTGATTTTGAAGATGAAATAGAATGGTAGATCAGACTATGAGAGGCCGCAGCATCGATATCATATATGTTTTATGTTGTTGTCCCTAACACCCCTGCGGCGGCCTACGCATAAGGTGGCGCGTCAGTTCTTGAAGAACACCGGAACCGGCGGGCGGCGAAGACGACGACATGCCATCCGCCGCCGGATCCCTGTTAGCTGCACCTCCGAGGTGGCGCGTCTGCTGCATGGGCGGCGGCGGCGGCCATGCAGCTGGTTGCACCATCGACGACGTTGGATCAAAGAGAGACGAAAGAGTATCATAGGCCGGAGACGCAGTGGAGAGGTCTGCAATGTTCATCGCCGACATAGGCGGTGGCGGCGGCGGCGTCGGAACCTGGAGGCTGGCCAAGTGGGCTTGTAAGTAGGAAAGCTCCGCCTGTAAGTTCACCACCTGCAATACAAAGATGGAACAAAGATCAGAGGATAGATTAACGTCGTACGTGGCGGAAAGCGACCTACTTTTATCCATATTATTTTAATTAGCATAAGTTGAGAATATTGGTCAAAAAGCAATTCCAAATTAAAACTAACGCAAAAAAAGAAGTCTTTATTCCTTGTATAACTCCCAAAGAAACGCACTTGTAACAAACCATTCAGATAACCTATACACAAACTTATGTCAATACGTAATACTTTTTAATGAAAAATATGATATTTTTATCATCTTAGACAAGACCAACTAACTGTTCATTTATACACAAACCAAAATTTTATAACATCATGAATGAAGCTCTATGCTTGTAAATATATATAAAAGATGCACCACCATGAATATATATATGATCAACCCTCTTTCATTAAAAAAAAAAAAAAAAACCATATTTTTTTATATATAAAAGAGTGGGTGTGAATTAATGATGTTCCAAGCTTCAACATTAAATATAATAATTTGGATTATAATGCAATTAAGGATTACCAAGTAGCTTGTAGTTCAATGACACATAAAACGTTATATGTTTGAACCCTAGTGACCCCAAACAACATATATAAACTATACATATTTCAATATTTTTGGATGGACTTTTAATATATCCCCAAATGAATGATCAAAAAATGAAAAATTGAAAACTTATTGGGTATATATATGTGCGCACACATTTTTATATAAACGGTCGAAAAATGAAAGACTTATCATGTAAGAGCGCGCATTCACAATAAGGGGAGAATTGGGGGATAATGTAAGATGCTTTCTTTGGGTGGGATTAATAACTAGTGTGAGGAAGAAATAATGAGGGGAAGAATTGACCTGCAAGGGGTGGGGAGAATGAAAAAAAAAAAAGGATTATCACATGCTGTGCGCGTTTGGCGCACAACATGGCCACATCCCGGCGCGTGCAGTGCACGCGCCCGACTATGCGTCAGGCATGCCGTTCGACATTCACTTTTTTTTTTAATTTTAGAAATTCAGTTTTATTTTGTTTTTTTTTTTCTCTCTCCCCTCCTACCTTTTCTTTCATAATCACTCTTACAATTTTTCCCTAATATACCCAACTGATAATGATGCTCTAAGTACGGAGTATATATGTATATATACGCGAGTGGTAGATTGTCAAAAAATGAAGAATTTATCATGTGTATATATGTGCACGATGGTTGGAAAATGAAGAATTTATCATGTATATGTATGTGCACGATGCGCGCACATAGATAGTCGGAAAATGAAAGACTTACCATATATATGATGATCGGAAAATAAAGAGTTTATATGTATATATACATGAGTGTGTGCACGTGCGTGCGTGTGTATAGGGCGGAAAAGTATATATATATACCTGCTGCTGAATAGCAAAGATGTGAGCAACGCAGCCGTAGACGGGGTCTCGGAGGCGGGCCTGAGCCTCGAAGCAAACGGTGATGACGGCGTCGAGGCGCTTGTGCGGCGGAATGTGGTGGAGGAGCTTGGAAACGTTGCTAGCTCCGAACACTTTATGAACAGATGCAAACACCGACGCTCCTTGATCTGAGTCAAAATACGGAGCAAATATGCATCCCGCCACGCACTTCCTCCTCAAGAACTTGCATGCCCCGCATGGTCCCCCGCCGCCGCCTCCGCCTCCACCGCCGCCGCCACCTCCGCCGCCGCCACTACTAGTACTACTGCTGTTTAAGCTCATGATCGATATATAGATCGTCTGATCTTCTATGGATTATTCTAGGGCTTCTTCTTCATTTTGTATGTGTATTTATACTTGTATATATGGAGCTATTATATTTTGTGAATCGCACGGCTCGTATTTAAACGCTTTTTAACAAAATCTTTAAAACCATGCCACGATGAGTTTAGACAAAACCAAAAAAGAATACTAAATATAGATTATTTATTTTAAGATCATTTTTCGTCTTTAAATTATTAAAAAAAATTAACATTTATGATCCACTAATTATACCACCGTCACTTTTCATCCACCAATTGTCTATCAAATGAGAAAAAAAAAAAGATAATAGATATAATTAAAAGACGAAAAGTCATTTTTCTTTAATTATTATTTTTTTTCAGATTTTGAGTATTAATTGACAAGTATAATCTACATAATCCTAAATGTTATTTAGGTCAATTAGTAGTAGATTGCGTCAAGCAATATAATTAAACAAATCAACTCCTTCCGTATCTTATAATCAATGCAAAACATTATAAATGCTACGTGACAATAAATAATAATATAGTATTATTATTTCTTGAAGAAATTTAATTTATAACGGTTGAGCTAATGAAGTTATTATAAGATAGTAACATGCAATTGAATAAGTTGGTATGGCAGCACTAGCTTTCAACCTTATCTCATCACATAATTAATAAAATCAGATTATATTATATATATCATATCATAAAATACACAAATAAAAATAAAAATAAATGGATAAAATAATAGATAAATTAAATAAGGGTATTATTTCAAACCCGAGTTAACTAATAACTTGATACCCATACTCATAGGTCATAACTAAGGATCGGACCCTTTGGTGAGACAATTGACCTGAAGATTTAAGGTTGTTCTATACCTATAGTCAATGATCGAACCCTTGACATTTGGTTACGCATAAATAAGTCTCTTTCACTCAACCACACTCCTTCAGTTATTACAGTCCAATGAGAAGAAGACATGATGCATATGGAGAGGGTAGACAGGGAAGGGAATGATGATGGCATGGTTTTTATGGTCATTTGACTCAACAGTCAAAAAGGCTTGCAGTTCGGCGTTGAAAAATTGAACCGTTTTATTCCTAAATTCCAAACGGGTTAGAAGTCGGTGATGACAACAACGTAACAGCTGGGGACTTACTGAATGACCTCACCAATCACCCGGTCGGACCCACCACGCCGCTGCTTTGACCATTATAAATGTCACCAAATACTAATATTTTTTTAATTTCTACTTAAAAAAATATTTTCCTAGGAGTTATAAAAATCATATAATAAAACAGTATTTAATTTCTTCTTGGTACTTCATATTTGCATGCTCCTAAGAGCATCCACATTTGTTAGGGAAAATAGGAGGATAATGTAAGAATGATTAGGAAAGAGAAGACGAAAAAAAAAAGAAAAAAAAAAAAGGAAAATTAATTTTTTTTTTTAAAAAAATAAAAAGTTAAGACTGTCAGGCGCGCCTGACGGGAGCATGCAGTGCACGCGCTCGCAGTGCGCTATGGTGACAGCCACCCCGAAAAAAAGGAAAAAAAAAAGGAAAATTAATTTTTTTTTAAAAAAAATAAAAAGTTAAGACTGTCAGGCGCGCCTGACGGGAGCATACACTGCACGCGCTCGCAGTGCGCTATGGTGACAGCCACGCGTGGCTGTCACCTGTGGTACTTTATTTTTATTTTTGTGGTGGGTCCTACCATTTCTGAAATCTTTCTTCATTTGCAGGAGAATTATTTCTCAAATAATTCTCCCCCACATTAGCTATTATCTTGGGTGGGGTGAATTAATACTGCAATCTTCCCATATTATCTACTGATGTAGATGCTCTAATAATTAAAGGAAAATGGAAATGAAAAAGAAAAAGAAAACGTCCGATGAGAGTCAGCAACAGTTCGTAACGGCGCTAGACCCGCGCCGTCCGGTTCTTGTCCGATGTCTGGTGTGAAGAAGAAGCAATGTCGTAATGTCATCATGTCTCTTGGACGGAAGGAGTATTAAAATTTCACAATTTTGTAATATTTGTTAATAATATTAAACTCTAATTTATTCGACGCTGAACTTTACTTGAGAGAAATCGGCCTGTAAATACTCGTTATTATGATTAAATCATTTCAATTCGAGACAAAACTTTGTTGGAAATGAAAAATGTAGTTGGGAATTAAAGTTGAAAGGTCTTTGGAGACTATAGTCTCTTTATCTTTACTGAAAATAAGGAGTCCTGTCTTTTCTTAAATATAATTTTACTTTTCTTGTGATTTGATGTCCTTTGTATGGATAGTAAGAGAAACTCTCACTTAGTCACGTGTGATGTCAAGTCCTTTGTGTGGGTAGTAAGAAAACCCCCCACTTGCGATGTCATTGTTCGACCCGACAATCGCAAATACTTTTTTGCTATGGCTATGAGCAAATTGCAAGTTCACGTCTTTGGTTCTAGGTGAATAGGGTCATGGATTTTATTATGTAGTATCAAAATCTTATTCATCAAACTCCACTCCTCTTATCTGATAAATCACACTGAGAAAATATCATGTACGACAAATTTAACTCAGAGAGTACGGTGATAGCAAGAATTAATAATTCACGATTTTCATTTATGAGAATTATGTTCTAATCACTCGTCCACCTATTTCGTGCTCATCAAACTCCTCTAGACTGAACTCACTATACACAATTATATTCTATAGAATATATAAAGTCAAGATAATATAGCTTATAAACAACTTTTTATCCAATAATATTAGGGACCAACAAGCTAGTTTTCTTTTGCACTCGTGTGGTGAGAGCCTATGAATTATAAAATGTTAAATATGTTGACAGAATTTTTCTGCCTATGATAATATTAGTCTAATTAATTTCGAAATTAAACTAAATAATGTTGTGCATAAGACATGTATGTTTAAGAATTACGATAACATGATGTCCCCCTACATACGGCAAGTATACTAAATGTATTATGCTCTTTGGTTATGGTTGAAAAAGGGGACAGAAAAATGAAAGGAGTCAAAATAATAGTTGTTTATTTGAAGTTTGAACAAACTACTTTAGGACTTCAAAAACTTTAGAAGTAGATTTCGTCAAACACATATCCATCCCAACTATCTGATTCTCCAAATTTTATTAGTATTTATAACCAAGTGATTAGGGTAAAGTGAAATGTCTAGTGTCAATTAATATAGATGTGGTTGGAGTTGGAGATGTAATTTGTTAAAGAGTCAAGTCCTTTTTTTTCTTTTTTTTTTTCATCCATATTAAATGTGTGAATGTAACCAGCTTGGTAGGCGTGAGTGGTCATACACTCTTATCCCTTAAGAAAGGTCAGGAGTTCGAATCTGCTCTCGTATGGAAAATCAATCTGGACAGCACTTTGCCTCTTAATTGGGTCAGCTCGGTGCGAATAGAGATTAGTCTGAGGACGATACGGGCTTACCATTAGAGCCTGCTCAGAACACCCCTCCATTAGTCTGAGTACGGTACGGGCTTACAGTTAGAGCATGCTCAGGACACTTGATGGAAACAGAGAGAATGGTGTGGTGTTTTCTTGGGTTGGGTTAGGCTTTTAGGCTGGAAAGGTGTACAACTTTTTTTGCCCAAAAAAAAGTTTATTAGAATATTGGGCCTATAATATAAAAAACACACTTCATTTACATCTTAGGTTGTGTTAGACAAAACATTAGCATGTATGTATTTGAAGAAAGTTTAAAATCAACAGTCATTAGTTCTGTCTGTAGAACAAATCATTGTGTTTATGTGGGAAATTGCAAAATTACATTTACGAATCAGTCTTCTGTTTTCATTAGAAACTGTAGATCAGATCTTGTCCGTGATTCCTCCTCATGGCTACCAGCATTCATCAAAATTCCTCAAACAGTCTCTTCTGATGACCATCCTTTCTTCTCCAATGCCAATCTAAGAGCCTGATTAAAATTATCAGAATAGTCATTACTTACATCACATGAAGGCAGTAATTTCTTTGAAATTCTCACCTTGATTCTCTTCCGATTTGCATCAAAGTCATAGCTTCCCTTACGCGAAGCAGACCTGTATTGAACCAGGGGTTTCTTGCCAGGTGGGAACCAGAACTCAACATCATCCACAAACTGATTGAAGAGCGTTCGTTTATCAGTGTGTGCTTTACAACATAACAAAAAAGTCGAAAACATTTTTTTCTGAACATACCCCAAGAATAGGACTTTCATATTCTACACGCACATAGTCATCTTTCTCCTCCACAATCTTTGGCGTGGACTTGTCTGGTTTTGTGGATTTGATCTGTAAAAAGGAAAATTTACTAGTTTGCATAATAACTCCTGTGTGACAGTGATATCTAGAATTTGAATCGTACCACTTCAAGAAGCTCTTTCATTGCCTTTTCTCTGCTCACTTTACCACGTTTTTCTTCAGGGTTGTAGTTCCTGGAGAAGAGTGAAACAAAGAGATAAACCAAGAACATTTGTGACATGTTTTGCACATTGAAGGAGCAGTATCTTCATGTGCACAAACAATAATGTTGTTTTTTTCCCATCACTTTTGTTGTTTAACGAAAATTTGAGGATGCAGGAAGAGAATTGTACCATGGAGGGGCATAGTGAGTGAGATCACTGATGTTCTCAGAAGTGGAAATGCAGTTGTTGGTGGCCGGACATAGCGCTAAGCCAAGAGGACTCTTCTGCACTCCCAAGTAGTTTGGCTTAGTCCCACTGCAACTCAACACAAAACTCTTACATTAGTAACCTGCTTCTCAACTGCTCTAAACTATTGGGTTAATCCGATAATTTATTTCAAGTTACCAAAATCTTGCAACCAAATTAACTACCGGTGGTTTTTATCTAATCAACAGGAGGGCATTCAAGGTTTAATGTCAACTATTCCTATAAAAAGTTTCTTGATTTATCCTCTCTCTCTCTGGAATCAGCATATACACATATAGCTCAGTTTATTATTTCTTGTAAACCAGTACACAATTTATCTAAAACTCAGTGACCCAAATCTCCCTCCCATTCATTCATCTCACGAAAGCAAAAAAGGGACAAGCTTGAAATGTAATTGAAGGAATGAAACACATGCCTGAAGCTGAAAATGGCTCCAAGAACTGCAATTTCACTGCTCCTCAGTATCATCTCCCTTCAAACATAGTTATGTTTATCAATTGCGGAATATTGTTCATAAAAATGCAATCTTGACAGAAAAAAAAAAAAAAAAAAAAAAAAGGAATCTTATAGTACCTGCGACCCATTTGGGGAAGACAACTATCTTCTTCTTGTTGGGGCAGCTTCTGGCAACTGAATATGCGAGAGGAGGAAGAAGAAACATTGTAATAAGAGAATCTTTTCTTGTTGTAGATGGAGGTTAGAGAGTGAGAATATGGCGACGCCATGGAAGCCATTTTCTGCGCTTCAAAATGCACACAACCTCAGCCCTGCTTTGTCGTCCACCATTCCCACTAAAAATTAAAAAATGTTGTCTGGGGGCAGAATACGACGTCGTTGAACTCGGTGGCGGGTGAGAGGATTGGCTGACGCTAATGACTTTCACGTTTTCTATTACACGTATCACAAATGACAACACCGACCATAAATGAGTAATGTAACTTTAAAGTCAGAAGATTGACAAATACCCAAATTAAATTCGAGCAATAAAAAGTTAACAAACACTCCACTACGTACTGAATTCAGATTAGTCTATGATAAAGAGTATATGTTTTATGGTGAAAATTAATTGCGGAAAACACTGATTTAAGGTGAACAATTTAATATAATAAACTGAACTTCTGCAGTATCATTGGCACCAACTAAACTTCAACAGCAAACCAAGAACCACTCATCATAACATCTTTGCATACAAAATTTTTGAATACCATACTCTCATCTGCAATATAAAGGAAAGATAGCCTGCAAATAAAGAAGCCAATTTGTGCTAGACTCAACTTCTCAGCCTATGAACTGCTCTCTCAACTTGCATTCACCGGTTTAGTGGTCAGAGGTTGCATTTGTATAGAGGTCAGTACCAGAAAACTTGAAGCTTCTGCGTCATGATTAGCTGGGATGCACCTGTGGTTTTTTAAGTTTGTAGTGATGGTGCAGCCCAAAGTTTCACTTTCTTGTCATCGCTCGATGTGGCTAAAACAAAAACTTGCTTGTCTCCTGTATAACCCAAAAAAAAAAAAAAAAAAAAAAAAAAAAACAGTAAGCCACTTTATACTGTACATAGTTGCACACAACTAAAACAAGAGAGCAACAGATCACTTTATAAGCTGAGATGTCAACTCTAGAAAATCAACTTCTAGTCGTTCTAGAGTTTCTGGTTTTCACTTTCTATTGTAGATGAGGATGTCACTCAAAATGCTATATGCAAGGGTGTAAGGCAATGGTTTCTGGTTTTGCTGTCGAAGTTAAGATGCTTTTGGAATTTGGACAGAAAGTTTAGATGGTGCGGTGTTAGAGAATCCTTTTTTACTTCAATTGCTAATCTTGTCTAGCATTGTCTCTCATTCTTAAATTATACTATGAACCCACCATGTACTTGAATAGTGTGTCTTTCACCATTGTTCATCATAAATTTATATTATGAGGCAAACTTCACTGTGCATTCCTAAGAATTTTGGATACTATTTTCTTTCATTTTGCACCCGGGGGGTTTGGAGTGGAGGATGGCGGTTACTTGCCTGAAGGGATGGTGCGAGGTGACCAAGCCATGTCTGTGATGTTACCTGCTAGAACATATGGTAAATAAATAAATAAATATAATCTGATAAAAAATCTGAAGAAAGGGGGTTTATAGATTGGGAAGTGTAGAAGATAAAGCTTTATGGTCTTCAACATCAAGCAACTAAACAGGAAGGCATACCATCATGGGGTTTCTCAGCTGTATCCAAAACCTTCCCTGTCTCAGCATGTAACCATTGCAATGTTGAACCATGAGTAGCTGCCAATATCTTACCGTCAGGTGAAAGGCACATGCGGTCATAGTGTAAAGTCGCGCCGTTTGCATCATGAAGTGGAATAGGAAACACTTTCAAAGTTTTGGGGTCCTCATCAAGATGATAACGCACTACATTAAAGAAACCTGTAAGTATCCTACTGGAAGGAAGAAGGTTTTTGGAGTTGGTGGGTGCTTTTAACGTTTAAAGAGATCAGAGAGGAACGTAGACATAGAATGCCAGAACATGTTTGGATGAACTTATACTAAAATAACATACCATTGATATTCCACACTCTAATAGAACCATCCTTGGATGCAGTAATTATTTGTTCTGAATTTGGAGTAAAGCAGAGCCAAGTCACTGCACTCTGAACAGAATTCACATGGAAGAAAAGAAATATCAGGCAAACATTTGGACTTCAAGCTAAATATTACTACATAGAATTAATAAAAACAGGCAACAGGAAAACATGTTACACCAACTGATGTAAACAATTGAAGAGGCACCAGACATCAAATTAGAAGGTTAGATGGAAATCAAGCTGTCTTCCTGCAGTTACCCAGAGAGTGCATTCATTCCCTAAATAGTTTTAAATTCTTTCAAATTGTTTTAAAACTCAAGATTTCACCTTACAGCACCTTATAGACAGCGACAAGGCTATTCCTAAATGGGGTCAAACCTCTCAAATTGGAAATATTTTAAGTAGAAAATAACAATACAAAGAGAACAAGAAAAGGACCTAAGAAAGAGAGAGAGTAATAATACAATCTTTTTGGGAATCTAGATTTACCTTGTGCCCCTTGAGCTGCATAACTCTCAACACTTCCTTCACTGAACCATCTTTTGAGTACACAATTTCCCAGACCTGCCAATATAAAGATTTATATATTTCAATGGAAACCCAAGAGCTGAAAATCCTGCATCAGTGACATAGAAACTCTTTCCTATTGGAAAATGGGAATAATATCAACTTAGATATGGTAACCAAAATAACAATAGGAAAAGAATGTCCTCTGAAACTATCATCTTCTCTAATCCAGTAACTAAAACCATAAGCACGTCATTTCTGTACAAGTTACAAACCTTAGCTAACAGAATTTATGATGCTTAGCACCAAAAAGGTTCCCATGTTGCCATGTTGGAAATCTACTGAACCAAAAAGGGAGCAGCAGGGATATTGAAATTTGTTACGTTATCAGATAACAACAATCAGCACCAATATTAACAGCTGGTCAGGCTGATGTAGGCAAGTTGTTAGATCAGTCTAAAAGTGATTGTTCTAGTCTGAAGAAAAATCCACCCTAACCACCTTGTGGTTATGGGATGCAAAAAGCCACATAAGAATAGAATATACATATCACCTTAACATCAGCAGTGAAAGCTGCAGCAGCAATGAAACGCCCATTAGGAGAGATAGTGGCCATGTGGTTTTTTAGCTGATTTGTGTCAACATTACCCAAGAGCTTTCCAGTTTTTCCATGAAAAAGCACAACATCAGTACCTAAAATCACAAAAGACAAAGAAGACATGTTAGCTAATCATTTCTCCTTCGATATCTATTTTAGAGTGGGGGTAAGAAAACAGGGAAATTAGTTAACCATTTGAGCAGAGTGAAATTCATCCGAGTAATATAAAAATATGACATACCTTCTGAACACGAAACAATAATTGTACTCCCATCAGCAGTACCATAAGTAGCCTTGGTACTAAACAGAGTGAGGACAGCCCTCTGGTCATGGATTTTATGGTGCTCCCATTTCATTTCTGGTAGAGGCAACTTGGTCTGTTGTGTGCCATCAGTGGCTGCTTTTGGTTCCCCATACATGTATAGAGAGGAACCAGAAAAGGCTGGGCATGCTACAACTATTGAAGATTTTTCATCAGCAAATGCAACTGCAGATGTATGACCTCCAGCAGGTAAATTAATCCTCAAAAACCTACGAAGGAAAAAAAAAAAAAAAGGTTTTGACATTATGTCATTCAAACTAGGTTCGTTAATCGTGAGGGGAAAATAACTCATACTTAAAGCTTTTACTTGTCGCATCATCCAACTTGAATACCCTCACAATTCCATCCGCACAAGCTGCATGAAGAAACATCTTATAGTTAACAGTGATTAATTACCACTTTTACCAGTCAGCAAATTTTTTTAAAAAATAAAAATAAATAAAAATAAAAAATTGATGTCTACGAAAAGAAGAACTGACACCTTAGATATTGAAATCTTTTTGTTAACTTGCTTTGATAAGTCTTTTATATATTCATCTCATAATTAGAGTATAGCATTTGACATTAAAACACAAATTAACAAGAGTTTATTTCAAAAAATACATTACTCTAATTTTCATCCCCTGCAAGATATAATATATTCACTTTCTTCAAGGAAAGGCATACCTCTTTGTGGGCAAGAATTTATGTGACCATGTGTTTTAGTTGTTTGCTATGCTTGCTAATCCCAACTAGTTTGAGATAAAACCTTAGTTCACTCGAGTTCAGTGCATGCTACATGAACAATTCACCATGACATGAAAGTAACACGCAAAAGAAAAATACAAGAAACAGGAGTGGAAAGATAAAGCCCAAGTTTACCAGTCGCCAAACTACATCCATCTGATGAGAAACAAATCCCCGTGACAGAATCTCCATGACCTTTTAGAGTATTCAAATCCAGTGGATGATGCCGTTTGTTCGAGTCCTACAAGGTGAAGCCACTACCAAATATCATTTCCATTTCTCCAATCATGATGCAAAAGACGAAAGCTCTTTCCAAAAAATCATCAATTTGCCTGCATACTAGGCTAAAAAGCTGCTAGTAGGCATTTCAATTGATGAAAAATTTTCAAGGCAGTTAAATACGTACAGTCAGTAGCTATCCATGATCCATCCATCTATATCTAAAACCAAGTCGACTAATAAGATTTAAGAAACCAATTCACTTATTTCATATTCAAAAATCCACCAAAAAAATAAAATCAGAGCTTAAATTCAAACCAAACCTATCATCATTGATAATTTGATATGCATTGATTGGTTTACCTTATCGGCGGCGGCGTGAGAGTGAGACTTGGAATGAGATTTCTTAGAGGTGTGATGCGACTGCTGCGAATGCCTCGGAGTAGGAGAAGGCTTCTGATTGGGCTGAACAGCATCAGCCTTAGAGATCGATTCCACTTCGGATTTCCTATTCCGGAAATAGTTCCCGAATGCAAGAAATGCAATAATAGCTCCGAGAATCACCGATACAATCGCCACCGGAACAATCGCGTCCATCGCCGGAACCCAACTATCAACACCGCTGATCAGAATTTCAGTAGTAAGCCTTTTGCCGTGCTCTCAAGTCTTCTAGCAAGTAGCAACAGTCGTGCGTGGCCAGATTTTGCACAAAATGAGAAAAAACGACAAAGTTCAAAAATGTCAATATTACCCGAATGTTATACATTATTAATATTACACCCCCAAAGTTTTATTAAATAACAATTATATCCCCAAAATTTTGGTTAATTTATTGGGTTTTATAATTGAACCATTCATGGTTTCAAACAAAAATAATAATAATAATTGAACCATTCATAGATAAGCCCAACAACAAATGCATATCCAGACCATTATAACTTATATGGCCCAAGTACTGAAATTGTCGAAATCAGCCCACATTAACTTTATACGTTTAAATTATTATTCTATTAATTCTAAAATATCACATAAAGTCATCATCATATTGCTTCTAATGTTCAAAGGATTAGTATTCTACTGGATTAGGTAGATATGAAATTGACTTATTTGTTTTTTTTTTAAGTTTGACACACCGTTAAGACTTAAGATAATCTTATATATAAAAAAAAAAAAAATTGTCAAACCACGAGGTATCTTGACTATAATTAATTAAAAAATATATAACAATTTTAACTAATATTGTTTCTTCCACAAACCCAGAATCTCCGAAATTTTATTAGTCCATGATGTTTGGATGCACAATTGCTTTAAGATAAGTACCAAATTTCATTTTTATTTTTTCTACCTCCAAAGCTAAAGTTGACAACTTTAACCAAACATCTCATTTCTATTGTTGCCTTAATTGTAGACAGTAGTAACGTAATGGAATTCTTCTGAATGTCTTCAACTCTTCTAGAGACTTTTGACAAGTTTACAGCTAGTGATATGATTCAACATTTGAACCACAATCAATGATACATGCTTCTTTGAGGAAGTCTTATTTTAAATATTAATAAATTATTTAAAAATTATTAAATAATTATTTAGAAACTCAATATCTTTTTCTTTTCCTTTTTCAATTATTATTCCTTCTTTCTTTTTTCCTTATGATTCCTTGTCCATAATTGAGCACATAGCAACCAGCCAGCCAACTCAGTACAGCGCAGCTAGTCCACCTTTAATAAATTTTGCTTTTTTATTCACCGGATCGCTTTGGGGAAATTAACGCATACTAACACTACCCCAGAAAAAGAATGTGGAGTGGCTACTCTGCTAGCTTGGTCGTCGTCTTCTTCCTTGTAGTGGCGGCGTTGTTCAATCTCAGCTGCCATAGCCGCCATGTAGAAGCTGCAGCTTCACCTGTCAAGTTTCTTCCTGGCTTTGATGGTCCTCTTCCTTTTCATCTGGAAACTGGGTTAGTTAATTAGTTGCTCTAATTTTCATTTCTGCCTTAATTACTTTCATTATATAAGAGCTAGAATTAATGTATAATTCAATATATATATATATATATATATATATATATATATATATATATATATATATATATATTTGGATTTTAGGTACATAGGCGTGGGAGAGAATGAAGAAGTGCAATTATTTTATTATTTCATAAAGTCGGATTCAAATCCAGAAGAAGACCCTCTAATTCTTTGGATTACAGGAGGCCCTGGCTGCTCTCCATTACGTGCTATCATTCAAGAAATTGGTATATCTATATTTCTATATGATCATACTTTATAAATTTAAAGTGAAGTTATAATGAACTGATTAATTATATATATGTGTGCAGGACCATTGCTTATTGAACCAGTGGAGTATAATGGGAGCTTGCCCAGGTTGCTACCATTTCCCTATTCATGGACTAAGGTAGTGAATATAATGTTGTTGGCCCTTGTGCTTAATTAATCCGATCATAATGTAAATTAAATATGATCCGGAAACATCATGGGACTAACTTCATGTTGCAACTGTCGTATAAATGCTTCTAGGTAGCTAGTTTTATATTCTTGGATTTGCCTGTCGGTACTGGATTTTCATATGCTACAACTTCAAATGGTGCTCAATCTGATAATTTTTTGACGGGTAGCAATGCATATGAATTTCTTCAAAAGGTTGGCCCTTATCCTATTTAAGAATCTTTGCTTGCATGGCAAAAGATTTTTTTTTTTTTTTAGTTAAAAATATCAAAACCAATTAATCTATTATGATTTTCAGTGGCTCGTTGATTATCCAGAATTCCTTTCTAATCCTTTTTACGTTGGAGGGGACTCGTACTCTGGCATTACAGTTCCAATAGTTACTGAAATGATATCTAATGGTAACAAGAAATGACTTATGTTATTTCTATTATATATCTTGATTGATAAGAATATATATTTTTTCACATTAACAAATAATTTTATTTATGATGAAATGCAGGTAATGAGAGAGGAATTAAGCCATTTATCCAACTTAAGGTTTGTTATCGGTTAATAAATCTTCAATTTTCACAATAAATATGTGTTTAAATATAATAGCCAACTATCATGTAGTGTGATCACATCTGTTACCATTCTAAATGGATAGGGCTGAAAAAGATTAAAAAAGTATAGTAAACATATACTACCTTATAAATTATAGAGTGTTTCATAAATATATTGCATACATAATAATAATAATAATAATAATAATAATAATAATAATAATAATAATAATAATAATAATAATAATAATGTGAAATCTTAACCGTTTAAATATATGAATATGATTGTGGTTGCAGGGGTACATAGTTGGCAATGGGTTAACCTTTCCAGATGAAGGAAACTATAAAATTCCCTTTGCTCATAGAATGGCTCTTATTTCAGACGAGCTATACGAGGTAATTGTATATTATTACATTTGAAAATTTATAACTTTGTCAGGCTTTATATATGCAGTCCTTAAAAACATCCCTTTGCTCATTTTAATGTTATATATACATCTTTGTCAGGCTTTATAATTATCTATCTTTAACATATTTGTATATATGCAGTCCTTAAAAACAAATTGCAAAGGAGAGTATTTGGACATTGATCCCACTAATTTATTATGTCAACAAGATCTTCAAATCTTTAATCAGGTCGGATAATATATATAATGTTGCCCAGTTGGAGTTAGCTAGTTACACCTTTTCTTTGACTGATACCCCTTTTGCTGCAGTTGATTGAGGGAATATATCCTAATAATATTCTGGAGCCTATTTGTTTGTCTGATGATTCTTCAACATTATCGTCTCTTATTATGTTGAATGGACAAAGAAGGTTTCTTTACGATAAGCATCAAAAGCTCAAGAATCCTGATTTACTTCCTGGATTAAAATGTCGGGTATGTAAAAATGACTTCAATCAACACATAAAATTTTCACTTGTTTTATTTTATTATAATCCTTACAAATTTCGATAAATATTTAGTTTAAACATGTTAGAATATTCATACAAATTCACATGAGTGAAGATTAATGTGTTATATATAACCTTATAGGATGATTGGAACAAACTATCTGGATATTGGGCCAATGATTATCGTGCACGAGAGGCCCTTCATGTCCGTAAGGTATATATTGATTTTCTTATTATGAAATGTAATAAGTTATTTATAATTTATAAATCTATATGGAAGATGATAATAGTACCAAGTACACAAAACTAATGCAGGGGACTAAGGGAGAATGGGAGCATTGCACTTCAAATTTACCATTCGCAATGATAATCAATAACACTATTCCATATCATGCAAGACTCAGCAAAAAAGGTTATAGGTCTCTTGTCTACAGGTTAGAATAATGTTTTTTGAAGATAGTTGATACATTTAATATCTTATGAATATGAAATGACTTATCGTTTATGTATTTGATATACTTAATAGCGGTGATCATGACATGCTTATTACGTATCTTTCGACACAAGCATGGATAAAGTTGTTAAATTACACTATTGTTGATGATTGGAGGCCATGGATGGTTGAAGGTCAAGTTGCAGGGTAAGTTATAAAGTTGTATAATACGTAAACCTAGCTATAAAATATTAAAATTTCAGTCGAATATAGACACACACCTAACAAAAGCTAAGGTGAAAATTTTTATATCTTTCACAACGCCATATAGGTATACAAGGACATATGCTAATCGAATGACATTCGCTACTGTCAAGGTATTTTTGTTATTTCTATTAATTATTACTTTGTTTTAAAAATTAATGTTTTTTTAAAACGTCTTTAAAATTAATGTTAATTAAAACAATTTATACTTTATAATTTATCTATTGCAGGGAGGTGGTCATACTGCACCTGAGTTTCGCCCTTTAGAATGCCAAGCTATGTTTGAACGATGGATATCTTATAAAGATCTTTAGTAAGGTCCAAAGTATGGAATACTAAATTTATTATAATTAATGACTAAAATTCATAAAATTAGTGTGTTATGAATTTAACAATAAAATGTAATGGAATAAATGTTATTTTAGGACATATCCAATGCATAATGAATTTTTTTCTTCCACATCATCAATAAAAAAAAAAAAACACGATCATGTCAATCAAGAGTAGTGACTTATAGTTGCCTGCCATCTTTCTTATGGAGTATTATACAATGATTAATTAGAAAACAAAAGGGGCCACTATTTCTGTTCATTCACCCTTTTTTTTATCAAATAAAATATGTATAAGTGGCTGGAGTTATACTCATTGAGAGGCCATACCTAACATTTTCCTTTTCTATGTTCTATTGTGGCCGCAGTTTACTAGATAAGGAGTACTTTTTTTTATCATTTAAAAAAAGAAAATGTTTTTTTTTAGAATAAAAAAGAAAAGGTTTTAAACATTTACGTTGCGTTCGGTGGGAGGAAGGAAATTACGTGAGAAAAAGAATTGCAATTCCAGGAGAAATTAATAAAGTGGTAATTTAAATTCAGTGTTTGGTTTGCAAGAATATAATTACTGAGAAAGAAAAAAAAAAGAAAAAAAAAACTATTGAAAATGCTCTAAATGCACGAAAGATACAGGTAATAGTACTGCCACTTTTGTTCATAATCCTCATAATGTCTTCTTCAATAATATGTTTCAGGAACAATTATTAAGCATAAATGATTTTATGTAATTATTTTGTAATATCGATCAATATTTTATTCAATAATTATTAAATATTAAATTACAATGATTATTATTTTTTGAATAACGAGAGAAATAAATAATCACCTTAATTAATAAAGAACCACAAAGATGTATGTAAATCAGTTTAAGTTGTCTAGAGCAAATAGATTTAAACTAAGGGCATCCCCAATAAGGGGATCTTGCCACATTTTAGAACAGTAAAATTAGTTTGGGTTGAATTTTGACAAATGAAAAAGCCAAAATTTCATCACATTTTTCTCCTGCAAGAGGAGAACTCATGTCAGAAATAAAATAAAATAAAATAAAAAAAGAAAAAAAAAATAAAGGGTGAGACGCACAGGTGCCTCTCACCCTTCAGCCTAGCGGGCGCGTATATTACACGCGCCCGCCAGGGCGTTTCAGAGTGGCGGCCACTCTGAAATTAGTTACTTTGGCCATTTTCGGCCATTTTGTGTTTGCAACGGCACACAATAGTATTTTTTTTTTTTTTGTTAATAATTATTATTTTATTCTCAAAAAAATTAAATAGAACATCTTTCACACATTTTACTCCTAATTTTTATTTTTTTATTTTATTTACTATGTTTATTTTAATTGTAATTTTGGAAATGAAAGCTTGTAATTTTTACTATTCATTTATTTTATTATAAAATTATAAATCAAATAAATAAAGAAATAATTAAAATATGGAGATAAAATGGTGGGTCGACCAAAAGTTGTGAAAAAGTTTAAAACTAATGGGAAGAAGAGATTTTGTGATTGAATTAGATAGTGGATGATGGGGTGGATGTTGGGGCCCACAAAAATGTGGGATAAAATCCTCAACTATTGAGGATGCCCTAAGAAGCTCAATAGGTCACTCTCACCAATAATCTTAGAATTTTGTGGTTATCAAGCCAACATCCTAACTATCTTAAATATGATTAATCCTAAAATAATGATTATGACAGTATTTGTTACCTACCACATAATAAAATATTGTAAAAAAAATTAATTAGTGTTGTCTTATCTCAAGTCTCAACAAGTTGCGCATGCCAGGAAAATTATGCCACATTGATTCATTAGTATTCAAGGGATTATTCTACCGGATTTTGTAGTTGCCTAATTGAATTCCTCTTCTTCTAGAGGTATTTGACAAGTTTTCATTTATTTTTTTTTTAATAGAGAGATAATGCTATGTTTCTCAAATTTTATTTTATATCTTTTGTTTCTTTGGAAAAGGGGAAGTGGGAAACCCCAAAGGAAACTGATTCGCAATAGTCACTCCTCATAGGATACCTCAACATGTCATTGTAAAAATAGGACTTCTATTACATATACTCTCAAATCTTATATATTTCATGATGTGACAGGTATTGATATGTTATTTTTTTCATATGGGTTCTTATAAATGTATCTACATCAATATTTTAAGTATGGGAGTAAAAATTGAGAGTAGAGGATAAGAATACATGTAGTATTTTCCTAAAAAAAAATAAATGCATAACTTCATCCCATACTGCATGATGGAAAAGACTACTTGTACTCCCACATTTTACCCCAAATTTTTACTGACTCTCACAAATTTTGGATGCAGGACAACTTTTCATGAACTCACGAGATAAAAATATTCTATCCAAGCTTGCCACATTAAAGAGTATAATTGATGGAGTAAAATTTGAAAGTCCTCATTGTAGAACTCAAGTTAAATATATATGTAATTATGTGGGTTAGCATGTTTTAGTAACTATTTGGTATTTCTTTCCACCAAAAAAATAAAAAATAAAAAATATCTGAGATTTGGATTGATTCCTACTATTGCTTTAGTTTATATTTATTAATATAAAATAAATATGCTAATTCATTAAAATTTAAAGTTTTATAACAATAATTTTTAAAATATTTTTAAAAAAAATTGCCAACTACCATGTAATGTGATGACATTACCGTTAGCATTTCAAATGGGTGGTCATAGGTTCTAACTCTGGTGGTGAGGGCTTATATTATTTGAACTGAAAATGTTTGAGAAAGTATAGAAAAGAAAAACTAATTATGAGTATTTAAAAATAATATTGAAAATTTGAGGCTTTAGAGTTAGGGAGGAAAAAAAGAGTTTAGCTTAACAAAAAAACTAAATAAACCCTAAAATCCAAGTTGAGTGGCCTAAAACTATGTGAGTTGTTCTAACTCAAACTCCATTAGGTAAATTGTAATATCATGCAAATTATATAATAATTTACTCACTCAAAAAGAGTTGGTAATAATTAAATTTGTAATAAAATTTAAAAATCATGTTTCATCTATTTAATCACAATATTCATGATATCTCTTCTCCTAAATATTCATGATATCTCAATTGATATATACGGTGTATTATGGTTGTTAAATAAATACAATTAAATTAATTAATTGCATTTATAAATTAAGTAATTTATTTATTACGTGTTTGAAAATATTAAAACTCTGTATGCGCACAGGTCTGATAAGCGTTTTCACATGAATACTGACATGCATAATTAAATTAAAAGAAATGATCTCGGCACAAGATTCCCGACCGGCGACCACAACTAATCCACAATATATAATTCCCGAATCTCTGAAAGTGCTTGTCTGATTTAGTTGGAATTTTTGGACAAATAAACTTTTTATAAAATAAAAATTTGAATGGTTAAACTACAACTAACTTAAAAATAAAAAACGTGGAATACAAATTTGTTTTTGCATAGTATATGTTTCGCGCATTCACGTCTACTTTAGTACTTTATTACAAATTCCCTCAATCTTAGGGTGTTTGATAAATAGCTGCTGATATTTGTTACTTATTAACAAGTTTGACTAGTTGATAGTATTATCTAATTGTAGAAAGATGTTTGATAAATTAGTTGATAGCTAATTATATACAAAATGACTTTCTCAAAACGTTAATTGAAAAAACTGTTTTGAGCAGTTTTTTGAATTTTAGTGTTTTAAAGTAATAAGTTGTTACAAAAAAGTCTCATTAATTAAACAATCATATTGATTATTTAACCAAGTTAAACAACTAATAGTGATCACAAGTTAAAATTGAGTAATAAGCTAATTATTTTACCAATCAGGGCCAGTGTCTTTGTGTGTGTATATATATATATATATATATATATATATATATATATATATTAATTCTAGTTAATTAATCATTCATTATTATATTAAATTATTATTATTTTCTCCTTTAAAGTCAAATTATTATTGGACTTATTTAAGAATTTTTTTTTTCTCAATATTTACTATTCAATTTATAAGAATTAAACATAAGGTTTAATTTGATATCAGATCAAGCAAGTGAAATATTTTAGTCCACTTTGAGGAAGGCATACTTTACTTTAATTTCATCCAAGAAAAAGATTGTGGAGTGGCTACTCTGCTAGCATGCTCATCGTCTTCTTCCTCTTCCTTGTAGTGGCGCCGTTGTTCAATCTCAGCTGCCATAGCCATGTAAAAGCTGCTTCACTTGTCAAGTTTCTTCCTGGCTTTGATGGCCCTCTTCCTTTTCATCTGGAAACTGGGTTAGTTAGTTGCTCTAATCTTCATTCTGCCTTAATAATTACTTTCATTATGACCTATTTGGTAAAATAGTTAGTTTTTTGGTCAATTTTAACTTATTTGATTACTATTAGTTGTTTGACTTGGTTTAAAAATCAATATAAATGTTTAGTTAATTAGCTTTTGTATATTAAAATGCTAAAATTCAAAAAGTTATTCAAAATAACTTTTTGAGTTAGCTTTAAAATTTAAAAAAAAAAAAATTATATCAAACAACTATCAGTTAATAGCTAATTTATCAAACACCTTTCAACCATCAACTAATGTTATCAACTAGTTATACCCTCTAATTAACCAATCAACTATCAGCTAATAGCCATTTACCAAACATGGCCTATATAAGAGTGAAAGTTATGTATAAATTAAATATATTTGGATTTTAGGTATATTGGCGTGGGAGAGAATGAAGAAGTGCAACTATTTTATTATTTCATAAAGTCGGATTCAAATCCAGAAGAAGACCCTCTAATTCTATGGATCACAGGGGGCCCTGGCTGCTCTCCATTACGTGCTATCATTCAAGAAATTGGTATATATTTATGTATAATAATTGTACTTTATTGATCTAAAGTGAAGTTATAATGAAGTGAATATATATGTGTGTAGGACCATTGCTTATTGAACCAGTGGAGTATAATGGGAGTTTGCCCAGGTTGCTACCATTTCCCTATTCATGGACAAAGGTGAATATATATAACATAATGTTGATCCTCAATTATACTTTGTCAATATTGTAAATATGATATGCAATATGACTTATTAATGGTGCAATTGGCATATAATATGTTGTTAGG